GATTACGGCTTCAGGGGGCTTTGCATTTTGGCTTTGGATTGATTGGTGTTGGCTAACTATCTGCATTTCGTGGGGAGATGTCCTGTCCTGTCCTACATGTCACTGTGGGCATGGTATGTATGCACCCTCATCATTTTCACCCATATACACACTTCCATTACACGGGTTACAGCCAACTAACTAAACCTTGATCCACCGGGCCATCCAGGTCCTGGTAATCTCCTTGGCCTCGTCGACGAGCCCGAGGTCGAGCAGCAGCTGCACGGTGCCCCGGGCCGCGCTCTCCAGCGCGCTGAAGATCCAGGCGTGCGTGAAGCTCGTGTGCTCCCCGATGAGGACCGTGTTGTGCTCCGTCTGCCAGTACGCGGGGATGTATAGCTGCTGCTGCGACCCTATGGGCGACGCCCACGAGCCCCCGTGGTTCTCGTCGCGCGCCCAGCACTGCCGCGCGTAGTTGCCCGTCCAGTTGTCCGCCGCGACCTGCCCGAAGATGTCCACCACGGCCCGCTGGACGTACGCGACGTGCTGCTCCTCGGTCATGGCGCAGGCGGCCGTGGCGTCGGAGCCGGAGATGTACGAGGCGAGGAGGACGCCGGGACCCGTGCTGTTGAGATCCCAGGCGGGGAAGCAGATCTGGCCGATGCGGGGGGCGCTGACGCGCCCGCAGCCGCCGAAGATGGGGCGGTCGAGGTGCTCCCAGAAGCGGGTGTCGTACTGGATGGCGACCTTGGCGGCGGTGGAGAACTCGAGGCGGTCGATGGCGCGGGACAGGAGGCTGGAGTAAGGCGGGAGGTCCCAGAAGCGCTGGAGGTTGAAGGGGACGCTGTTGAGGACGTAGTCGAACGTCTCGGTGGTGGACGCGGTGTCGAGGGGGTTGCCCTTGGTGGGCCGGTGGGAGACGCTGACGGTGTTGGAGCCGCTGTCGTACTTGAGGCTGTGGACCTTGGAGTTGTAGCTGATGCGGTCCTTGACGATGTTCCTGAAGGCGTTGGGCAGGTGGTTTAGCCCGCCCTTGATGGTCTTCCACTCGGTGGCGAGGAAGTAGCCCGTGTCGTACTCCCACATGGGGCCTGTGGAGGCGGATGAGGCGACCTCGTCGGAGACGTTGAGGCTGGTCCCGACGACCTGGCGGAGGTACTGGATCTCGGAGAAGTCGAAGAGGCCCTCCTCGACGGCCTGCTTGTGGGCCCGGAACACGTTGGTGGCGTACTCCTTGATCTTCTCGTCCGTCAGGCCCTTGAAGGCCTCGAGGGCCTCCTCGGCCTCCTTGGCCTCGGCGGGGTCGGAGTAGGTCGTGTTGGTGGCCCAGCTGGGGTTCGCCGCAATCTCGTTCTTGCCGGGCCAGGTGCCGTCCGGGCGGCGGAACTTGGTCGTGACGGGGGTGTTGTCCGCGTTCTGGATCCAGGGGATGAACTCGACGGCGAGGTCCTTGTCGCCGCCGTTGAGCTGGTTGAGCTTCTCGGCGAGCTGGAAGACCAGCTGCGAGTCCATGAACGGGTAGGTCTCGTTGGTGTCGCTGTTGGTCAGGGTGTAGGGGAAGCGCATGGGCCCCAGCTCGTGATACTGGCCCTCCTCGGGCGTGGTGTTGTTGAGGTAGTGCGTCCTGATTCTTCCGCCGAGCCTTTCGGAGGATTCGATGATCTTCCATTTCTTGATGCCAACTGAGTCGAGAAGCAGCTATTTGTTGATACCGTTAGTAAGTCGGGACGCGCAATGGATAGGATGCGCCGGTGGGCGGCTGTGGAGGACTTACTGATGTCATCAATCCAGAGATTCCGGCACCCAGGATACCAAATGTCTTATTCTTGACACTGGCAACAAACGCCTCGTCTGGCTGCTTCTGGTCCAGGTATGCGACACCATCAAACCAAGGGCCCATGGCATCAGTGTTGTCGGCGAAGGTGCCTCGGCGGCGAAGCTTCGCTGGGGTAACCTCGATGGTCTCGGACCGCCCTACCAGTATGCCATCAGAGAAAGCATGAAGGCATCCCTCAGAAACCTCGGAGGGAATAATCCAGACAAATTTGGTAGGGCGTTGGCTCTCCCAGTCAAGATGACGCTTGGCGAGAGGGTGGCTGCCAATGTGAGTGCGACCAACCTGGTGGTGCGCCTCGGAAATGGAGGAGATGCCGCAGGAGCCGTAGACAAGAGCAAGCTCGCCATCCACATCGCCAGTGTACTCGACATTGATGTTGTGTACGCCGCCCATTTCAATCTCGAAGGGGCCCCTGAAGGACACGGCATGACGAGATGGCAAGGGCTCGGCGTGGCCCAAGACAAGCACTGCCGCCGCTGCGGCAAAGAGGGAAGAATATCTGCGAGGAGCCATGATGGCGGTTCTCTCTCAAGATTGTTCTGCTTGAGCTGCCACTAAATGAGATGAGTGAGCTTGTCCATCGAGTGACGGCCAGATGCCACGCTGAGGACGGCTTCTTTATACTCCCAGAATCATAGCCTCCCGCACCCCGGCTCGTATAAATTTCGCCCAACGACCGTCAACCCCCCATCATTACCAATAGACCTTATCATGACTGTGCGGTGAAAAGTACGAGGAATACCGTGGTGGCACAGCAAAAGCCTCCCCAGTCGATATGGCCCCCTTCCCCATTCAAGGCCCAAGAATCCATCACGGACGAGATTGCAGTCGGAGATGGCCAGATGATTTTATGTTGGATATCCGTTACCTAATTTATTATCGACATGTCCAAGATAACGCATTGCCGAAGTCGAGAGAGAGCAACGCCTAACCCGTCTCTGCCAGACAAGACACCACCCACCAGGTCGTGGGAAATGCATGACGACGGGGTTCATTCAAGACGATACAGATAAGATGTGGGGTTGAGAAAGAGCAGAGTTGCAATCAACAATCTCTCCTCAGCAAAGCCTCGTCTGACCAAATCAAACCCTGTTTCTGCTAGCTGACCTCGTCGGGGTTGACCGAATGTGCTCTCCGGGGTGCCTCGACCTCGCCAGAGGTACGTAAAGCCGGGCCGAACGGATTGGACAATAGGTGTCGACGAGGGCCCGGGTCTTGGGCCAGATGCCGGCTGCTCGTCCCTCCACTCTCCGCAATATTCGCTATCTCTCTCCATGTCCCAAGGCGGTGGATCCGACATGACAGCACCAGCATCCGATGCAACACTGCCGGTCGTCTCCAGACTTTTTTCCCCGCCAGATCACTCGTCGCCATTCGTCCAGGACGACGTCTGTCCAGATATCAACTAAAAAGACGCAAGGTGGGCGTTCACAACGACCGAGATAAGGATCCGCCGAATCCAAGATAACGGGTAAAAAGGGCCCCATGCGAGGCATCATGCAAAGGGCTGGATCCCATTGTTTCGTAGGGCGCGAAAGGCATGGCAAGGCGGGGCTCTCGGCGTAATCGAGGGCAGGCTGCTGACCGGCCGAAGAGCACAAGATCGCCTGGCCGGGCTGACTGGATGGCGGATTACCAATGTAAAAAACAAGCTTGAATCAACTGTCGGGAAGGAATTAGGTGAGAGGAAACTCACAATGGTGATGGTGCAAGCGCGGCGCAGGGGTCACGTTGGCTGCTCTGAGGTCAACCCACACAACAGCATTACATCAGTTCGGACGGTCCTTTTGAAGCTTGGTGGAGGGCCAATGACGAGTCGTTTTTCTTTGCATGAAGCACTGAGAACGTTCTTAGGAGTGCTCGAGGATGGATTGATTGGGTGTGCCGCTAACAGATAACCTCTGCAACCCCCGGAGGCTGATATGCGGTGAAGTTCTGGATGCCCTCTTCATGGCGGGTTGATATGGACGACTACTATGACGAGCTACCCCGGCAGGCCCCCACCACTTGAAGGGAAGTTATACATGATCCGCGGGGCATTATATGTGTCTTCCGGGGGCTTAACATAAGAGAAGGGCTGTGATTGGTGACGGTCGAGGTGAGAGGACCCGAGGATTTACAAAGAGGCCATCCCAAGAATGCTACTACTTACTTGCCCGGCATCGGCCAACCCTCCCTGCAACTTGACCTGCTTCAGAAGACCCTACGCTTGATGAACGGAATACGCACTACGTTGTACCGGCAGCTGGAGATCCATAGGGCGGAATCCTGCTCCTGTGAAAGAAAGCATTGGTAATGGAAATACCTGGAGCGGCGGAGCCCATCGTATCTATTTCGCAATTCTGGCACCTCGCGGGTTTACCGCACGAGATATCAAACGCACAAGACGCGGCCCTACAGTGTATTCCATGGCAAGGCCAACCTAGGACAAATCCTGTTCGGTATCTTGCTCCAGGGTCATCTACACCCTGCCTCCCACGGCATGCACGAGTGTACCGCTGCGCGTGTTGTCTTGAAGACACTAGGTACTCCATAGAAAGATCCCATGCGACGTCTTATTCACTTCGGTTCGATCGTTCGTACGTGGAAATGTCGGGAGATGTTGAAGCCGGGGATATGGTCGTGGATGTAGGAGGGGGGCCCTTTGAGCGTTCTCGCTCTTGCTCTATTGTCGCCTTGTTTCGGTCGGGCTAGTCTCCTGCACCACTGGAAATCAAAGTGAGGTTTGCAAGTCCTTTTTCAATAGCAGATGAGCAAGATTCGGGGCCTAACCCTGTGGAATGAAGTACGTCGCGTCATGGATCGCGTCGCTGAACATCGCAGTGGAGAGGGACGGGACTCTGATGATGCAGCGGATGACTAATATTCTCGGTCCTCTGTATTACATAAGCCACTTTCTACAAGAACAAAGAGGACTGACCGCAATAGAAGCCTGGAACTTGACCTGTATTAACCCAATTGCTGGAATCAGAAGATTTTGTCACGCGTCGACTGAAGATTTCGCTCGTGGCGGCTTTTTTATTTTCTTTATTTGGCTAAGCACTGAAGGCAATACCACAGGATCGAATAAATTGTTTTCTAAAGATAACTCTAAAACTGACTAAACTACAAATGATGTTAAATAAAAAAGTTGGTTTGTTCATTGCCTATCCACACCACCAGTGCCCTTGAAAATGTTGCACACCTAATTCGAAATATCCCTCGTCATATCCTTTGTAAGATCAATATTCTGCATCCAGGACTGTAGAGACGCGTCAGGGTGCTTGTTCAAATCTTCAATAATCTTGACAAGCGCATCAACAAGCATGTGTGCTGTCTCTGTTTCCATCATATGAGTACCGGCGCTAAATATAATGCTAATCTTATCCCCCTGTGCCAAAGACATCATACTAATAGCATCAGGAACATGGCGCTCTTTATTCTCAAAGAATTGGACCCGCGCTGGACCTTGCTGGGTCCGAATCTCTGGGTGCTCATCAACATTGCGGTGATGAATAGTTGATTCAAAGTCTGACCCAGCTGGCCAGTCTGTACAGTTCTCGATGATATCCCCGAGTGAAAGTGAGTCGGCATCTCCAATGGCCAGGAACTGCTCCTGAATGGCTTGTAGCATCTCGGCCAAGGTCTGGGGAGATGTGAAGTTGACTCGCACAGGGATAACATTGAGAAGACATCCTACCACATTCTCTATTCCCCGAAGTGCAGCATTGCGGCCGGCGACTACATGGCCATAGACGACGTCGTCGGACCCAGTTATACGTGACAAGAGCACAGCCCATGCGGCACTGATGAGAGTTGCAGTGGTGATCTTACTAGGGCTATGAGGAAGATGGGCGTCGGCCTCGATCTTGATGGCTTTTGCCTCGGAATATTCCAAATTGCCGCGTGATCGTACATGAGGTTGAATGGTGGTTAGACCTGAGCCCTTAAGAAGTGAACTCCAGTGCGCTATGGATTTGGAGCGCCTGCGATAAGCATAGGATAGGAAGGACGCCAAGCTCGGCTGGGTAGGGATGGCCATGGTCCCATCACCATCAAGCAGCGATTGATAGATGATTGGAGCGCAGAGGCCATCGTATTGAGCGTGAGACATTCGGAGTACCAGCTTCATGCCTTGGGTCTGGTGCCTGAGGAGAACGAACATTAGTGGAGGCTGGTCCGGTGAGAACTCGTTAATGTCTTTGAAGCAAAAGTTGTAGAAAAATTCATCGAAATCGCCGCTGATGTCCTGCACGCGAAGAGACATGTGTGATTGGCGGAGGATGACAGACCAATACCTGCCCTTGAGATGGGGGAAGCATGCCCGAAGGATAGGAAACCTCTCTAGAGTCCGTAAGCAACCTCGTTCTAGGAAGGGTACGCTGACGTCGTTGCCGATATCGAGGTAGAAATAGTTGCAGAATTGTTTGTATTGCCTGCCGACAACTATGGCCTTCTCTTGGGTGCTAGTCATGGGATAAATGTCTTCGACGTTGGCAGAGCGGATGTTGTCAATACCCAGGGCATCAATCTCCCGAAGGAGACTTGCCATGATGGAGGGTTCTACGAGGGCAATCTGGCCAAGTTCTTCATCATCAGCAAGCACTATCTTGGCATCCTGCTCTTGAACAAGGGACCCAAGGGTGTCGCATCTGAAGAGATCAGCCACCGTCGCGTCCATGCCGCACTTACGAGCCTCACCAACTACCTTCATGGCTGTAATCGAGTCGCCGCCGAGTTGGAAGAAGTTGTCATCCAGCCCAATAGTTTCAGCATCCACTTTCAGGACTTCTGCCCAGATGCTCTGCATTTGCTGTTCGGCTTTGGTCGTCGGTTGTTGAATCATTCCTCGAGCTCTTCTTCGGGGCCTGGCGGTGTGTGCAAGTGCTCGACGGTCAACTTTGCCATTGTCATTAATTGGCATCTTATCCAGGATCGTAATGCTTTGGGGGATCATGTATGAAGGTAACTGGGCTTGCAGCTTCTCAAGCAGCTCTTGTTCCACTCGCTTCCTCCGTTGATGTTGTAAGGGCCGGTTGCTGAACGAGTCGTACGCCCGACGACTGATGTCTTCAGTAGGGAAGCTGAACATGACTCTGCTCTCACTGTTGGCTGGTTCATAATGATGAAAAACCGCGTCTAGACCGCCACGTTGCGAGTGCTGGCGGGCCCAACTGATCTCTACTCTATAGCCTGCTTGCGCAGCCATTTCGGAGAGGTCTATCGCCGAAAAAGAGGGAACATTGTCTGCCCTTTGACGAATAGCCGAGAGCCAATTGCTGTTATCGACGTCTCCGTTGCTCTGATTATCAAGCGAGTCGACAACGTGCCTCTCAAATATAGACTTATTATGAGGGATGTTGCAAATAGCAACATGCGGCGCCGATCGAGATTGCAGCATTTGTGACAGGGTCTTCCGGTCCAATCCCTGTGCGGCGAAGTCAGTCCACTCATCTTGACTGATATCATGGACCTGTAACTTCTGCTTCTGCTGATGCTGACGCCGGGACTTGGGCCGCAAATGGACGACGGCGCTGTACCGGTAAGAACTCAGCTCGTTGGTGGCGAGCATCAACTTGGGCAAGATTTCAACATGCTCGACCTGATCTGGGAAGCGGGTTGTCAGAGCCGTGAAGAAAGCTGGATCAACAAGTAATTCTGACTCGGCTCGACCCATGTCAGCCATTATTCGTCGGAAGTCAGCCCTACTTGGACTCTCACCAACTACATGGATGGCTCGGGCTGCAAGAAAATCTTTGTGCAAGGCATAGGATCTGATATCACCAAAGAATATCGTCTTGGTATCCCCTCCCAGACCAACAAGATCCTGGATTACCCTGTAAAGATAATCTTGACTAGGAAAGTACTGGACTACTGAGTTTAGAATTACCATATCAAGTCCAGTACCAAGCCCATACTGGGCGATGTCGGTTGCTGTTGCTTTAAGCATTTTGACTTTGTTGCTGAGTGAGGGCATGGAATGGACTGTTCTCTTAACGAAGTCAATAGCTCTTCCAGAAGGCTCAAGCCCAACGTAGGTCTGGAGGGTTTCCAACATGTTGAACAGAATCATCCCAGACCCCGTACCTATCTCAACAACGTGCGCAGAAGGACCGCTTTTTCGGATGGTGTTGATAGCATCATCCAACCACTCACTCATCTCCTCGTTGTTAATATCCTTTCCATCGTACATTGATGTCCATCCTACGAAATCTCTGCCGATGCTATTGGCTTGGATATCATCGATAGGACTATATGTTTTAGTATTGAAGCGTTCTTGCCATACCTCGACGTGTTGCGATTCCTCTTCTTGGACGGGTTCGGCATCGGCCAAATGGTCGTCTTCGCAGATAGTGACGAAGCCAGATACAACACGTTCCTGCTCCTCTTCTATATTCTGAAGAACAGCAACAGCACTTGATACCGCCTTATGGCTATTGAGTACATGCTCCACTTCGGCCAACTCCACCCGCTGTCCTCGAATCTTGACCTGCCCATCGATTCTTCCCAGAAACTCTAGCTGGCCGTCTGTTGGACGGTAGCGAACATAGTCTCCGGTGCGGTAAGCTCTGGTGCGGTTGGGGCCAATAGCCACCTCAACAAACCGACCGGCATTCTGCGTAGCATCGGTATATCCTCTGGCGAGACCATCACCTGTCACCACAAGCTCGCCAACAACACCGATGGGTACGAGGCGTTGCTGTGCATCCATGACATATGCTCCCGAGTTGTCTATAGACTTTCCGATAGGTACGCCGTTAAGACAAGGTTCTGATTGAGATAGGCAATATATTGTGCTTGCGCATGTATTCTCCGTCGGCCCGTATGCATTGACAAGCTCCCCTTTGATAAGTCTTCGAGCAGCGAACAGATCATTTGGGTCAGCTCGGTCTCCTCCCACAAGGAGTGTATGAAGTCCGGTGAAGATATCAGGGTTTTCGAGTAAGTATTGCTTCATTAGAGCTGGCGTGATAAGAATGGTATCGATCTTCTCTGTGGAGAAGATATCTCTGATGGCTAAGGAATCTAGAAGGGTCGAATATTCTAGACAGATGAGAGTTCCGCCGTTTAGCAGAGTAGAGAAGATCTCCCATGTCGACATATCAAAGGCTATATTTGAAATATGGGCTGTGGTGGGCTGATTGGGCAGATATTTTACCAGGTTATTCTGCTTCACCATGCGTAATATGCTACGGTGCTCTACCATAACACCCTTGGGCTTTCCTGTGGACCCGGATGTGAACATGACATAGGCGAGAGTTTGGGGTGAGGGCTCAACGCGCGGCTTGGCCCGTTGAGTGATGCCTTTTGATGGAGCTTTTTCGTCGAGAATATCCTCGATACGAATAAACTCTACAGCTTGAAGATGTAGAGCTGGAGCCTCTATATCCTGACCAAGAAGGATGAGCTTGTGGCCCTGGATAGACGATAGAATGTTTTCAAGCCTGCCCGCGGGCAATTTGGTATCAAGCGGGAGGTACGCTAGAGCGTTTTTGAGTATTCCCAGGAAAGCCGCAACAGTATAGCAAGATCGGGTTGCAAGAACTCCGACTAGGCTTTCCGCTGGTAACGAGCGTGTAGCCAGCCAGCGTGCAATAACATCAGAGGCTCGGTCTAGCTGAGAATACGACATCTGCGTGGATTTGTCCTTCACAGCTATCTTTCCAGGGAAATTCGCCACCTGTTGGCTGAAAACCTCAATGATGCTACAGTTTCGTGGATAATCTGTTTTGTGAATCTGAATCAGGCCCATGTTATCAAGGGTTTGATAATCGCTGTCAATCAACAGTGGGAGGGATATGATTGGAGTCCCAGGTTGTGCTAGACCTTGGTTCAATACATTATTGAAGACAGACAGCAGATTGCGTATTGTGTCTTCCTCGTAGAGATCGGACGAGTAGATGATCTGTCCGTGGAGCGCATCATCGACTTGGAAGAAATGGCACTCGAGATCAAACCTAGTAGTCATCTTTGGCGATACTGGCTCCATTTCGATGCCTTCGAAGGAGAAGTTGCCCATGTCGGTGTGTGAATGTACTGTAAACGCCATCTGGACTATTGGGTGTCGAGAGACATCTCGGGCCTTTCTCAGCTTCGAGACGATGCTCTCGAACGGGACATCCTGGTTGGCGAAGGAGGCAACGGTTGTGGCTTGGACCTGGCGAACCAACTGCTCAAATGATTCACCCTCTACTCGAATGCGAATACACTGAATGTTAACAAAGAAGCCTACCAAGCTCTTGAGCTCCGGCCAGTCACGATTCGCATTTGCAGTACCTATAGTTGCATCTTCGATGCTTGTAAGACGATAGTGGGCAGCCCGGAAAGCAGCTAGGAGCACAACGAAAGGCGTGACCTCTTGATTCTTGCAAAAGCTCTGAACGCGCTTGTATAGTTGTCCGTCGATTGAAAGTTGCTGTACACCTGCCGCGCCAGACAGGGTTGGCGGCCGAGGTTTATCACAATAGAGTTCGGCTGGGCGGCTGGTGTCTAGTTGACCAACCCAGTAGTCAAGCTGTCGTTGGTATTCGCCAGTCTTACTCTGTCGCTTTTTCTGCCAAGCGGAGAAGTCCCGGTATTGAATCGGCAAGGACTCTGCCTTGCCCAGAGGGTCCTGGCCGCGAATGGCTGCTGAGTAGAATGCAATCAATTCCTTGCGGATAACGTCAATTGACCATCCGTCAGAGATGATATGGTGCATAACAATGGAAAGAATGTGCTCATTTGGGCCAAGGCGATAGACCGAAGCTCTCCACCCTGGATCAGTCTCGAGGTTGAAGGGAATTGTTTGCTCCTCCTTGACGGCCTGCATGGCGTCGTTTTGAGACTGAACATCGACAACCCTTAGTTTCTTGTTCTGGAAGGGGCGAATGTACTGCATATTAACGCCTCCTTCACTCCCAAAGACTGTTCTGAGGGTGTCGTGGCGACGCTCTAACGAGAGCAGTGCGAGTTCAAGCGCCTCGACCTGGAGCGGCCCTCGTAGTCTCATTGCCAGCGGCATAAGATACCAAGTGAGACCGGGGTACAGCTGATCCATGAACCAGAGGCGTTCTTGTGCAAAAGACTGCTCAGACTTGTGTCCTGCTGGCAGACGTGGGATGCGGCAGTGAGTGTTCCCAGGGTGAGACCTGGTCATTTGGCTGGCAACTTGATGCAACTTGGGACTGCGGAAAATATCGGCGACGGAGAGCTGAAGACCAGCGTTGCGAGCCTCGGCCACTACTCTCATGGCCGTGATGGAGTTGCCTCCCTGGTGGATAAAGCTGTCGTCTACACCAATGGAGGATTGCTCGATGCCGAGGACCTTGGCCCATATCTCCTGCATCTGTCGCTCTATATCCGTAGTGGGCTGCTTCTTCGGTTCTTGCGCCCCCGTGTGTAGCTCGGCTAGTTGGGAGCTTGAGAAAGACGAACCCTCTTCACGTAATCGTCTGCGATCGGTCTTTCCCGTTGACGTGATGGGAATGTTCCGGACAGATACGAAGGCCGCCGGCATCATGTAGCTGGGAAGGTCCTGTGCTAGTCTGCCCTTCATGTCTGCAGGTATAGCCAGCAACTTGGGAGCTACGTCTTTGCCGGAGCCGTTTTCACGAGGTGACTCCCGCCCTTCTCCCAAGAGGAACGCCACTATCACCGGGCTTGAATCCACGCCCCGTGGTACGATGACCTCGGCCACAACTTGTGTAGATCCTGCGACGCAATCCTGGACTCGCCGCTCGACTTCTCCTAGCTCGACTCTCTGACCGCGGATTTTGACTTGAGCGTCCTTTCGGCCAACAAAGGATAGGCTACCGTCATCGTGGTATTTGACTAGATCTCCTGTCTTATAGAGCCGACCACGGCGTCCCTGTTGACCAGTAGCACCTTGAAGCAGCCACTCTGGGTCAGTAATGAAGGCCTCAGCCGTCTTGGCAGGATCATTGAGGTAGCCACGTCCGACGATTGGACCTTCGAGGAGGAGTTCGCCTACACATCCAGGCGGAAGCAGAGACTCATGGTTATCCGGATCCACAACCCAAGTCACTGCGCCCACACCTTTGCCTATGCGAGTTATAGATTCGGGGCTCGACTGCTCACTGTTTATTGTGCTAATATTACACTCAGCAGGTCCGTAAGCGTTGACAATCCGAGCTTTGCGCCACCACCGCTCTACTTCATCCAGGAATACTGCTTCACCTGCAAGGATTAGAGTTTCCAGTTCAGGAACGGCGCTCGGGTCAATAAGACGCGCCACGGATGGGGTGAGATTGGCAAGTGTAACTTTCATATCTGCCATTGCCTTGGTGACATCGTTGCGGCGATCAGTCTCGGAAGGAACACACAAGCATCCTCCAGTGACGAGCGTGGCAAAGACGTTGTGGACAGAGATGTCAAAGGCATATGATGCAAAGTCGAATACCCTCGAGGCTTTGTGAAAACCAAGATGCTGCGTCTGATATCGTAGCCCGGAGCAGAAGTCTTGATGTGATAGCATTACTCCCTTTGGCGTGCCTGTGGTGCCCGAGGTGAAAACGGCAAACATTGTTGAAGATGGCTGTTGGGTGCTCGGTGCTGGAACAGGCTTTGGGTTGAGTTGGCTTACCGTCTCACGGCTGATCTCGACCACTGTCTCGGACAATTTTGAGCACTGTTCTTTGTTGACAGAGGAACAGAGAATAAAGGAGGTCTTGATCTGCTGCAAAATAGACCTGAGACGCTGCTCAGGGAGCGAAGGGTCGAGCAGCACAAAGCCGCCGCCGGCTTTGAGTACAGCGAGCATAGCAACGGGTGTCCATACTGACTTGTCAAAACAGAGCGGCACCAGAGTATCCCGCTCAACGCCTAGATTGAGCAACTGGCCGACTAACCTGTCCGCGTGCTGGTCCAGCTGTTTGTAAGAGAGGTTGCCGTCCCAAGCGCAGATGGCAGGGGCTGTAGGCTGAGATCGTGCTCGTTCCTGTACGACATGATGGACACACCGCTCGATTGGCGGAGGAAGAGATCTGTTCCATTGCCACACTTGTTCAAGATCCTGCGGGGCGAGGACTTTCATTTCGGCCAAGGTGCCTCGCGATTGCGTGTTGGGCTTTCCTAGCTGCTGCATCACAAACTCAAGCCTGTTCAGTAGACCACGAACCTCCCATGCCTCGATGACCCTCGAGTCAAAGCTGGCCCTGACCGAATGGCTTTCCTGGCCAATTTGTATCTCAAACATGAGTGCATACGTGTTGAACCAGCGTTGCTGGTCAGCTGCCTCAGCTTTGTTAGATGACTGCTCAGTGTCCTCGTCGCCAGTAGTCTGAGTTTTCTGAGGCTGAATAACAAGCAACGTTTGAAACGCACATGCTTCCCGGCTATCGGCAGAAGCACTGGCAATCTGGTTCAAGCCAGTCTGCTCGAAAGGTACCATGTCAGCTACCTGTTGCTTTATAGCTTCCAGATACTTCGTGACGGTCTGGGAGCCCGGCAGCTTTATCCGGACAGGAACTGTTGCAAATGTGGGAGCAACCATATTTTCAATGCCGGCCACAGGCGCGTTTCGTCCAGACACGGTAGCACCAAAGACGACGTCCTCCGAGTTGGTCATCTGTCCGGCGACTAAAGCCCATGCGGCGCGTATCATTGTTGGGGCAGTGACACCCAGCTCCTGGCTCACCGAGTACGAGAGACGATGATGGAGGACTCTGTCAGTCACTGGTTGCTCAACCGATCCTGGCGGCTTGGGGAATATGGTGAATGTATTATTGGCCAAAGCATCGGACCAATAAGTCATCGAAGCCTTGGAGTCCTGGCGCTTGATGTGCTTGATGAAGGACTGGAACTGAGGCCCAGGTGTGATTGCTTCACCTCGAGTGGCCCGGTTCATTGCATCGGTGATGAGCCCAATGGACCAACCGTCATAAAGGGCATGGTGAATTGTCCAGACAAGCCATGTGATTTTGCCAGTGTCGTCCTTGACAAGCGCGTAACGAGCAAGAGGCTCACCCAAATCCATTGATTGCTCACGGTCGGCCTCGAGGTATTGGTCCAGACCAGTCGCGTCGGCCCAGTGAATTTCTTCGTCCAATATGACCTGCAAGAGGCCAAGGCTGTGGTGTTGGACAAACCTGGTGCGCAGGATCGGCAGCTCTCGAGCGACCGTGTTCCATACCTCACGGACCTCATTGGCTGTAGAGCCCGACTCGAGAGCAATGACATTCTGTGCAACGTACTGTCCTGTATTCCTCGAGGTCAGTGCCATGAGGCCTTCCTGGAGTGGCGTGGAAGGATACATGTCCTCGATAGTTTCTGCGTCCAGGCCGTATGTGCTGCAAACACTGGAAATGGAAGACTCGGCATCAATGCCCTCCCCTAGGAGAGCAAAAGGCGGTATCTTCTCCTCGTTGGCGAAGCCATGAACGCTCTGCTTGGAGAGCCCATGCAGGGATGGATGCCGAAAGATGTCTGCCACGGCGATCTGGATGCCAACTTTGCGTGCCTCGGCGACGAGCGCCATAGCAGTGATGGAATTTCCTCCCAACTTGAAGAAGTCATCGCCAAGGCCTATAGCTGCTGGCTCGATTTTGAGAGCGTGGGCCCAAAGCCCCTGCAATTGTCGCTCTGTATCAGTGGCTGGCTGTTGCTTCGTCGTCCGACCGGCTGCGACCTGAACGTCGAGACTCTGAGCCAGCGCCTTTCGATCAATCTTGCCACTACTGTTGATAGGCATACTGTCAATTATCTTGATTGTTTGAGGAATCATATATGAAGGCAACTCGGACTCTAGTAGCTCCTGTATTTCTTTCCGAATCGTCTGCCTAATCTGCTGACGCATCGGGTGGCTGCTAAGTGAGTGAAGCGGTCGGTGACGTTGCTCGGTAGGGAATCGATGCATGATCCTAGCCTTGCCTTGATCTGCGCGGTAGAATATGGCGTCTAAGCCACCGCGTTGACTGTATTGCCGGGCCCAACTAATTTCCACTTCATACCCAGCTTGCTCGGCCAGGCCGACAAGATCAACCGCAGAGAGAGAGGGGCATTGCTGCGCTCTTTGACGTACCAGGGAGAGCCAGGGCTTGTTCTTGGGAGTTTCGTTGTTCTCGTTGAGCAAATCGACCGCAAAACGTTCAAAGATTGTCTTCTCATGAGGGATGTTACATATGGCGATGGTTGAAGAAGAGTGATCCTGGAGCAAATCCTGCAACGACTCCTTGTTTAAGCCTTGTTCCATAAAGTCAATCCAATCTCCAGCCCCGACTTCCTGAAGTTGAACTCGCTGCTCGTGGCCGCGTGGTTTGACGTGTAGGATGGCGGCATATCTGTATGCACTAAGCTCGTTGGTGGCATTCATCTTCTTGGGCAAAATCTCCACATGTTCAAGTTGGCCAGGAAGACGGTCAAGCAATCCCGTAAAGAAGGCAGGGTCGACGAGCAATTCAGACTCAGCTCGTTCCATATCGGCCATAACCCGACGTACTTCGTCTCTGCTTGCATCTTGGCCCAGGAGATGTATCGCTCGTTTGAATAGGAAGTCTTTGTAAGTTGCGTGGGATCGAATGTCACCGAGGAAGATTCTTTCAATATCGTTATAAACAAGAAGGTCTTTGATGGTGTGGAATAGATAGTCCTGGCTTGGGAAGTATTGGACCACAGAATTGAGGACCACCAGGTCCGGAGAAGAGAGGAGGGGAACTCTCTTGATGTCCATGGCTGAGGCCTTGAACATTTTTACCTTGTCTGCCATTTCAGGGACTTTTATCTTGGTTGCATTGGCAATGAAGTCGATTGCCCTCCCCGACGGCTCAAGCCCAGTATAGCTTTCGAGTCCTTCATCCAGATTGAACAAAATCATCCCAGAACCTGTTCCAATCTCTAGAACGTGGCGAACTATGTGGCCGCTACCCAGCAGGTTGTCCATCGTATCTTCTAACCACTCGGACATTTCCTCCTTATCAACATCCTTTCCATCATACATTGAAGTCCAACCGATGAAGTCCTGTCCGAGGTTGTCAAAGTCCATATCATCGATAGCCTGGTAGGTTTCCGAATCAAAACGTCCCTCCCACTCTTCTACAAGCTGTAACTCTGCGTTCCCCAACTCATTTTGTGTTTGGGCATTCAACTCTTCTTTGATGATGATGAAAGCCGCAATTTGTGTTTCTGGGTCGTCCGTCAATACTGCTGCAGCATTGCCCACTTGAGCATGACTTCGCAGGAGATGATCAATCTCTCCAATTTCAAAGCGTTGTCCTCTGACCTTGACTTGGCCATCTATACGACCAAAATACTCAAGCTGACCATCATGGGGACGACGGCGGACATAATCCCCGGTGCGGTAGGCTCTGACCTGACCTGCTCCAACCCTGATCATGACAAACCGGTTGGTATCTTGCTTTGAATCGATATATCCTCTTGATACACCGTCACCTGTAACTACTAATTCACCAATGGCACCTATTGGGAGCATTTTCTGTTGCGGATCCATGACATAAGCTCCAGAGTTACTCATAGGCTGGCCAATAGGGACTCCATTGGTATATTGCTCTGTATCTGGGATACAATAGAATGTACTGATGCCTGTATTTTCAGTAGGCCCATATACGTTAAAAAGATCTCCTCGGAATCCTCGTTTCACAGCTTGTATGTCCTCTGGGTTGCAGCGCTCTCCTCCCACAAGAAGCGCGCGTATATTCTTGAAAAGGGATGGGTACTGAACGTACTGACTGAGCAGACTCGGGGTCAGGAACATGAGCTCTACATTCTCGCGAGAGAATATGTCAGACACGGCGACAGGGTCTAGCATAGTCATGGAATCAATACAGACTACTGTACCGCCATTCAGTAAGGCAGTGTATATTTCCCAAGTTGATGCATCGAAGGCAAGATTTGACATATGAGCCATCGCTGCCATGCTAGGAATTCGGTCGACTAGATTATTCTGCTTTGCCAGGCTGATGACATTACGGTGGTTTATCATGACTCCCTTTGGTACGCCTGTCGACCCGGAAGTGAAAATGACATATGCGAGACTCGTGGCCGACGGTACCGTCAAGTTTTGTGTTTTCAGTGACGAGTTCCTTAACGTGCTCTCACCTTCCATTCTCAAGGCGTCAACTATGCAGAAAAGCTCTGTATCTGGCGATTGGAGGCTAGGCCTGGAAACATTGGGCCCTAGTAAGACAAGTTTCTTTTGATTTGGAATAGATGACAGGATAACATCGATCCGGCGAGCAGGAATTTTTACATCCATGGGCAGGTAAGCCAAATTGGCCTTGAGAATGCCGAAAAATGCAACAATTGCGTGACATGATCGGTTTGCTAGCACGCCAATGATTGTTCCAGGTGATAAAGAACGTTGTGAGAGCCATCTAGCTAGTACGTTGGATTTGTGATCCAGCTCGGCGTAGGTCAGTTGGGAAGTTGAATCTTTGACTGCAACCTTTGTAGAGTTGGCTGTCACCTGTTGTTTGAAAACCTCAACAATGCTCGACTCTCGCGGGTAGTCTGTTACGTGAGGCTGAATTTGATATTGTCTCTCGAGATCCGAGAAGCTGTTCTCAGACATTAATGGTATCGTACTAACCGGGACCGAAGGCTGAGTAAGACCTTGATCGAGGATTTGGTGTAAGACAGACAGAATGCTCTTGATTGTGCCAGGCTCGTAGAGGCTAGTGGAGAATATCATCTGTCCTTGTATAGCACGCGTTTCCTCATACAAATGAAGTTCAAGATCAAAGCGGGTAGAGAGGGGCATAGGTATTCCCTCCATCTCAACGCCCTCCAAGGCAAAATTGCCGAGATCAATCTGGGAGTGAAGTGCAAAGGCTACTTGAACTAGTGGATGACGGGAAATGTTTCGCTCTTTCTGCAACTCTGAAACAACCCTCTCAAAAGGTATATCCTGGTTTGCAAAGGAGGAGATTATGGTTTCGTGGACTTGACGAACCAGTTGCTCAAAGGATGAATTATCTGTGCTCTTAATCCGAATGCACTGCATGTTGACGAAGAAGCCGATAAGGTTCTTAAGCTCCCATCTATCGCGATTAGCATTAGGACTCCCTATTATCGCATCGTCAACACCAGTAAGGCGATAATGGGTTACTCTAAAGGCTGTAAGGAGAACAACGAAGAGCGTAACAGAGTGCTCTTTGCAGAAGCTCTTCAAGCGTTGGTATAACTCCCCTTCAACTCTAAACTCTTCCACTTCGGCCGTTCCAGAGGGGATTGCCGGTCGGGGATTGTCAAGAAGGAATTCTGCTGGTCGACTATTTTCCAGTTGTGTGACCCAGTACTCAAGCTGCCGTTCATTCTCATTGGTTTGCTGCCGTTGCCAAAGTGAATAGTCCGAGTACTGTATTGGTAGGGGCTCGACTTGCGACAATGGATCATGGCCTCGAATGGCAGCAGAGTAGAATGTTGCCAGCTCCTTACGGATAATATCAATGGACCAGCCATCCGAAATGATGTGATGCATTACCAAAGATAGAATATGATCTTCGCCTGAACAGTAAATGGCAATTCTCCAACCCGGCTCTTTCTGCAAATCGAAAGGAGTTCTCTGGTCTTTTCGTATAAATTCTATCAGATTGTTCTCATCGTCGCTTGAGACATCAATCACAGGAGCATTTTTTTCCACGTAAGGATGGACAATCTGTATATTGAGCCCCTCGGCTTCTGAGAAGGTTGTTCGAAGAACTTCATGACGTTTTGCCAATGCGAGCAATGCGGTCTGTAGAGCCTGGACCTGAAGATGTCCTTTGAATCTAAAGGCGGCGGGCATAATATACCAGGTCGACCCTGGATGTAGGCGATCCAAGAACCACAACCGCTCCTGAGCAAACGATTGCTGAGCCGGCTCGCTAGACCTGGCCCGTGGCTTGATCCCAATTGCATCGGGCGTAAAACGTGCTTTCTCGGCCATGTCATGGAGCAGGGGACGACGGAAGATGTCGGCTACTGATATTTCGAGACCAAGCTTGCGAATCTCACCGACCAATTTCATAGCCGCAATAGAGTTTCCGCCAAGATGGAAGAAGCTGTCTTCTACACCAATAGAGGCTGATTTAATATTAAGCACTTGTGCCCATATTGCCTGCATCTGTATTTCTGCTTCTGAAGTTGGCTGGCGAGTTGGCTTTCGCTCTGCCGTTTCCGTCTGGAGGATTTTCAACAGAGCTCGGCGGTCAACTTTGCCGTTGTCATTGACCGGAATTGCATCCAGGATAGTGAGGGTACTGGGAACCATATAAGACGGTAGTTGGTTTGATGCAGCTTCCAATACGTTGGATCGAATACTCTGCCTGAGCCGGAGCCTCAGTGGGTGGCTACTCAGCGAATGGCAAGCCCGGTCCTGATCTTCCCCTGGGAACCGAAACAACACCCTGCTCTCTCCTCCACTGGTTGAACGCTGACGATGGAAAATGGCATCTAGGCCTCCGCGCTGGGCACGCTGTCGAGCCCAACTGAGCTCCACTCGGCAGTCCATTTCTGCGGCTATCTCAACCAGGTCCATCGGAGAGAGGCTCTGGCAGCGTTGGGCTTTCGCGCGGGCTGACGGGAGCCAGTGGTCATTACTTTTACTTGGGTCCTCGCCGTCTGCATAGCTATCGAGAGCATTGATGATATGTCTTTCTATCACAATCTTTTGATGGGGAATATTGCTCACAGCAACAACACCGCCCGAGGTGAGCTGGCGTTGAATGAGTTGACGGATTGACTGAGAGTTTAGCCCTTGGTAGGCAAAGTCAACCCAAGCGTCCTTGGCAATATCATGGATGTGTCTTTTCGCTTTGGCTGGGCCCTTCTTCTTGACATGAATGACAGCTGCGAATCGATAAGAGCTAAGTTCATTCGTGGCATGCATCCTCTTGGGGAGAATCTCAACATGCTCGATACAGGGTAGGCGATCAGGTAGACCTGTGAAGAAGGCTGGATCAATTAGAAGTTCCGACTCGGCTCTTTCCATATCACGCAAGACACGTTGAAGCTGGCCCTGTTCTACTTTTTCTCCTGTCATGTTTATTGCTCGTGACACCAAGAACTCCCTGTGCAGGGCAAAGGAACGAATATCGCCAAGGAATATTGTTTTCGCTTGTTTGAGCTCAATCATGCTTTGAATGGTCCTAAACAGGTAGTCCTGACTAGGGAAGTATTGGGCAACGGAATTTATGATGATGAGAGATGGAAGGCTCCGGTCATCTAGGCTCAATCGACTGAGGTCTGTTGCTGTGGCCTTGAACATCTTGACCTTGCCCTTGAGCTGTGGGAGGGAAAAAACTGTTTTGTTAATGAAATCTATCGCTCTCGAAGACGGGTCGAGGCCGATGTAGCTCTTTATCCCTCGTTTGGAAAGATTAAAGAGCACCATGCCTGAACCACTTCCGATCTCAAGGACATGCTCCGGGGACCGACCATTTGTTATCGTGTCGATTGTTTCGTCGAGCCATTCATTCATCTCTCCCTTATCAATATCTTCCCCGTCATACATCGAAGTCCAGCCGATAAAGTCTCTTCCGATCATCTCTGGTCGCATTTGTTCCAGCGTGCCATAGGTATCTGTGTTCCACCGACCCTCCCATGACTGAACCAACTCAGATTCCTGACTATCGCTCTGAGTACCTTGCTCAGCTTCTGCATAGTTTTCAGGAACTGTGATAAACCCAGCGATGCCGGATTCTTGGCCGTTCTCATGTAACACGGCTACGGCGTTATGAACACCGGTATGTTTGCGCAGGACATGTTCGACGTCCCCCAGCTCAATACGATGGCCCCGGACCTTGACCTGTCCATCAATGCGCCCGAAGAACTCGAGCTGGCCATCTGCTGGACGATGGCGCACATAATCGCCTGTTCGATATGCTTTAACCCGTTCTGTGCCGATAGTGACTGTAATGAAGCGATTGATATTATCTTGAGGCTCAGTGTAGCCTCGGGCCAAACCATCTCCTGTCACCACGAGCTCGCCCACAACGCCAAGCGGGACTAGAGACTGATTCGGGTCCATGACATATGCACCAGAGTTGCTCAGAGTCTGACCAATAGGCAGTCCGTTGGTGCAAGGGTCTCCCTCGTCCACACAGAAGAAGGTACTTGTGACCGTGTTTTCCGTCGGCCCGTACGCATTGATAACTACGCCACCTGCCATTAGCTGTTGGGTTGTCATCATATCGATAGGATCAGCTCGCTCTCCTTGAACACATAGCATTTTCAATCCGCCTATCGCAGCAGGGCATCCCGACAAGTATTGCTTGAGCAGTATAGGTGTCAACATGGAAGCCTCCACGCCTTCCCGAGCAAAGAGCCCACCGAGAGCTGCACTCTCTAGGACCGTTGCATCATCGACGCAAAGTAAAGTGCCGCCGTTGAGCAGGGCTGCGTATATCTCCCATGTTGAGTTGTCGAATGCAATTGTAGTCACATGGGCCATGGTTGGGCAGGTTGGCAGATAGGAGGCTATGTTGGACTCCTTAACCAATCGCACTATACCACGGTGTTCAACCATGACGCCCTTTGGTCTTCCAGTAGAACCAGATGTAAACATGACGTAGGCAAGGCTAGTGGCCGAAGGCGCTGAACTTATATTTTCTCCATCTTCCTGGGAGGCACTATTTGTGCTTGGCACATGAACGTCCAGAATATCTGTGAGATGAACAAACTCAGGCGTCTGTGACTCCATTACGGGTGGTTGTATCTCGGAGCCAACCAAGACCAACTTACGGCCTGGGCTTGCTGAGAGAATAGCCTCAATCCTAGCGCTAGGAGTCTTGATATCGAGCGGAAGGTAGGCAAGGTTAGCTTTGAGGATACCTAAAAAGGCAACAATAGTGTAACAAGACCGTCTTGAGAGAACGCCAACAAGCGTTTCTGCAGGTAAGGATCGTTTGACCAGCCAGCGAGCCACTGTGTTACTTCTTGTTTCCAGTTCCGCGTATGTCAGTTGCATAAAAGAATCTTTGATTGCGATGCCGCTGGGCTTGGCTGCTACTTGGTGACGGAAGATATCAATGACACTTGAGTCACGAGGATAATTTGTTCTAGGTAGGCGTATCAGGCCTAGCTTATCCAAAACACCGTGATCAGCTTCGGTCAATAACGGTAATGAGGCTATTGGAACCTTGGGTTCCGCGATTGCGGACTTGAGCAGTTTGCTAAATACTGATAGGATATTTTTAATTGTCTCAGGCTTGTATAGGTCAGTAGAATAGATCATCTGGCCTTCTAAAGAGTTTTTGCCTTGATAGACATGGAACTCGATATCAAACCTGGTTGTAACAGGAGCATCGATGGACTCTGTGTTAATATTCTCAAAAGCAAACTTTCCTAAGCCCTCCTGGGAATGTAGAACAAACACGATTTGGACCATGGGATGACGGGACATGTCTCTGTCCTTGTCTTTGTGGAGCTCAGAGACAATCATGTCAAACGGGACATCTTGGTTTTCCATAGAAGCAACTGTCGTCAAATGAACATCACTGACAAGGTCGTCAAAGGAACAATCCTGAACCTTGATGCGGATGCACTGTAGATTTATGAAGAACCCGACCATGTTCTTCAGCTCCCAACGATCGCGGTTAGCATTGAGCGTGCCAAGTGTGGCATCACTTGAGCCGGAAAGGCGATAATGCGTCGCTCGGAAGGCAGCCAGAAGTGCGACAAATGGTGTCACGCTCCGGTGTCTGCAAAATTTGGTCAAACCATCAAATAAGGCACCTTCAATTTTGACCTCTTCCACGCCAGCTTGAGCTGATAAAGCTTCCGGTCGCTGCTTGTCACAGATCAGCTCGGCCGGCCGGCTTGTTTCAAGCTGCGCGAGCCAATATTTAAGCTGCCGTTGATGCTCTTCGGCCTGGCCTTGCTGCTTCTGCCAAACAGAGTAATCACGGTATCGAATTGGCAATGGCTCAACTTTTGAAGTAGGCTCTTCTCCTCTAAGGGCAGCGGAGTAGAAAGTCGCTAGCTCACGGCTTATCACATCTGCTGACCATCCATCTGAGATAATGTGATGCATAATAATGGATAACACGTGGTTGTCCTTGTTGGCTCGGTAGAGTCTCACCCTCCAGCCGGGCTCCCTCTTCAGGTCAAAAGGCGTGGTTTGATTCTTGTACAAAGCTTGACTCAAGGCCTCCGCATCGCTGGGAATATCGATAATGTCCAGCTCTGTGGGCTGGATGGGCAGTACTTCTTGCATGTTCGAACCGTTCTGAGACTGGAAAATAGTTCTCAACGCCTCGTGTCGGCTCTCTAGCGCGGTCAAAGCCACGTTGAGCGCTGAAATCTGTAGCGGTCCTTGTAGTCGGATTGTCCAAGGCATCAGATACCATGTCGAGTTCGGATACAATTGATCAAGGAACCACAACCGCTCTTGAGCAAACGACTGCTCGACTGGTCCATCCCTATCCGTCCGCGGGATGCAACCAAGTTTCCCTTGTCCCGGACTTAAGTTGTGGACGTGGCTGGCTATATCACGCAGGCAAGGATAGCGGAAGACGTCTGCTACAGATATTTCTAAACCAATCTTGCGAGCTTCACCGGAAACCTTCATGGCGGCTATTGAATTACCTCCAAGGTGGAAGAAGCTGCTTCCTAAACCAATCATGCTTGCCTCCATTTGCAACACTTGGCCCCATAAACCTTGTATCTGCGCCTCAGTATCCGTTGTTGGCTGTTGAGATGGCTTATGCTGTGCTGTACGGCTCTCCAAGATTTTCCTCAACGCGCGGCGATCAACTTTGCCGTTTTGATTAAGCGGCATCTTATCAAGGACTAAGATGATATCTGGGATCATATAAGGCGGGAGCCTACTACGCGCGAGTTCATAAACCTTGGAATGTACATTTTCCTTGAACTGGAGGTTCAAAGGCTGGCTTGTGAGTAAGTGATGTGGTCGGTCGTGGCTGTCGGTAGGAAATCTGAACATGACTCTAGCCTTGTCATCTTGCGGCTGATACCGATGGAACACGACGTCGAGGCCTCCATGCTGGGAATATTGTCGCGCCCAGCTGACTGCCGCTCGGAATCCCTCCTGCCTGGCTAATGAATCTAGTCCTACTGCCGAAAGTGAACGGCATTCCTGAGCCTTTTGACGAGCAAATGACAGCCAGTTTGCATTGCCCTCGTCGCCTAGGCTATTGACTGAGTCGACTACATGTCTCTCAACAATTGTTTTGCTATTGGGGATGTTGCCTATGGCGATGACCTTGTCAGAATCTTTGTTCTGTTTCAGAAGCTGCAAGATGGACTGGCGGTCGAGGCCTTGTTCCACGAAATCAATCCACTCGTTTTGGTCGATGTGGTGCACATTCTGTGATGTCTGCTGACTGTCAGTCTTGAGATAGACGACAGCTGCATATCGGTAGGAACTCAGTTCATTCGTAGCATGCATCTTCTTGGGTAGAATCTCAACGTGCTCAATCTGACCCTGTAAGCGAGCCGGAAGACCGGTGAAAAAGGTTGGATCAACTAGTAGCTCGGATTCACCCTGTCTCATGTCACTCATAATACGTTGAATGTCTTCCTTGGTAGCGTTCTCGCCAGCAATGTACAAGGCTCTCTTACAAAGGAAGTCTTCATTTATCGCATACGACCGGATATCTCCAAAAAATATCGTCTTTACACTTGGGAATGCGATGAGTTCTTGGATGACCTTGAAAAGATACTCCTGGCTAGGGAAGTATTGGACAACAGAGTTCATAACGACAAGGCTAGATGGTATGGACTTGCTGAGGAGTTGCCCAAGGTCTGCTGCTGTGCCTTTGAAGATTTTGACCTTGTCCTCTAGGCAAGGAATTGCTTTGGCAGCCTTCAATGTAAACGCCACAGCCCGAGCTGCAGGCTCAAGGCCGATGTAGCTTTGAAGATCTTCGACAGGTAGATTGAAAAGGACCATTCCCGTACCTGTGCCTATCTCGAGGACATTCTCGTGAAGCCCACTGTGGATTAGGGTTTCAAGTGTGTCGTCAAGCCATTCGTTCATCTCGTCCTTGTTAATATCAGCACCATCGTACATTGATGTCCAACCAACAAAGTCTCTGCCAATCGTTTCAGCCAGCAAACTCTCGAGAGGGTCATACATATCGTCGTCAAAGCGGTCTTCCCAGAATTGAACAAGCTGTGATTCTTGGCTATCATCGGCAGCTTGAAGAGATTCTGCGGCATCATAACGCACCGTGACGAAACCAGCAAGGCCTGACTCTGCATCTCCTTCTCGCTGCACCATTGCTACAGCGTCTTCCACGCCGCTGTGACTGCGAAAAAGGTGTTCAATTTCTCCCAGCTCAACACGGTAGCCCCGAACCTTGACCTGGCCATCCATGCGCCCAAAGAATTCAATCTGTCCGTCAACCGGCCTCCATCGAGCAAAATCTCCGGTACAATAGGCCCTCGCTTGCTTCGTACCAATTTGTACCGAGATAAACCGGCCAGCATCTTGCTGAGAATCTACATAACCTCGGGCAAGACCATCGCCTGTTACGACTAGTTCGCCAAAGACACCAGGGGGAACAAGACGATGGAGGGAATCCATGATGTAGGCACCGGAATTGCTTATAGCTCGACCGATGGGCACTCCGTTGGTACAGCTGTCTCCCTCGCCATCGGGGAGACAATAGAGGGTGCTTATCACCGAGTTCTCTGTTGGGCCGTAGGCGTTGATAGCATTGCCTCCCGTGAGTCGCCGGACCATGGACAAATCCTTAGCATCGGCCCGGTCTCCAGCTACATAAACCGTTTGTAGCATCTTGATTGTAGCGGGGCTTCCCTCGAGGTGCTGCTTCAGGAGTGCGGGCGTGAATATAGCGGATCGCACCCGGTTGACAGCAAACGCCTTCCTGAGAGCCTCGTATTCCAAAACTGTCTCCTTGCTGATGCAAACCACTGTACCGCCATTGAGAAGAGCGGCGAACATTTCCCAAGCGGACACATCAAAGGAAATACTTGTTAAGTGGGCTATGGCTGCCGATTCTGGTAAGAAACTGGCCATGTTGCTATGTTTGACAAGCCGCACTACACCACGATGCTCGACCATGACACCCTTCGGCTGACCTGTTGAGCCGGAAGTAAATATCACATAAGCGAGGCTTGTAGGCGACGGCTTGGGCAGATCCTGTGGCTTCGATTGGCCGTCACGAACTTGAGATTCTTTGATCATGTCCTCGATTCGGATGAATTCCAGATCAGCTAGCTGGATTTCGGGGCACTCAACGCTGGGCCCAAGCAGAACAACTTTATGGTCATGAATAAATGATAAAATGCCCTTTATCCGAGCTGTCGGTGATTGTACATCCAGAGGCAAGTATGCAAGGTTGGCTTTGAGAATCCCCAGGAATGCAGTAATGGTGTGGCAGGATCGAGTTGCAAGCACAGCCACTATAGTTTCAGGCTTGAGATGCTTCTTGAGGAGGCATTGAGCTAAATGGTCAGATTCCTGGTCCAACTGCGTATACGTCAAAGACGTAGATGACGAAGAATCCTTCACCGCGACATGGTTAGGGTATTTTACCACCTGTTCACGGAATATGTCGACAATGCTGGAGTCTCGGGGATAATCTGTTGTCTGCACGTGAATAAGCCCCATGGAATCAAGCGTGGAGTAGTCCTCGGTCTTTAGTAGCGGTAATGAGGAAATCGAAAGCGTGGGCTCCGCGAGAACTTGATCTAGTACTCTCTGGAAGATGGACACTAGGTTGTCAATAGTCTCTGGCAAGTATAAATCTGTCGAAAATATTGCTTGGCCATGAAAGGCGTCTTCCTTCTGGTAAATGTGAAATTCAAGGTCGAACCTGGTGGTCACTGGCGTTTCCATGAGCTGCATATCGACGCCCTCGAGGGTGAACTTTCCAAGGTCCTTTTGAGAGTGCAAAGCAAATACCAGTTGGACAAGTGGGTGGCGAGACAGATCTCTCTCTAATTGTACTCTTGAGACAATACTCTCAAATGGGACATCTTGATTGGTGAAAGACTGGATGGTTGTGGCTTGCACTTGGCGCACCAGTTCTTCAAAGGACATTGTGCTGCCGTCAACTTTGGTTCTTATACATTGCATATTGACAAAGAATCCAATGATATTTTCCAGTTCCCAACGGTCACGATTTGCGTTTAGTGAACCAATTGTAGCATCTGTAACACCCGTTAAGCGATAATGAGTTGCTCTGAAGACAGCGAGTAGTGTGATGAAAGGCGTAACAGCTCGTTCTGCGCAAAATTGCCGTAGTCGTTCATAAACAGGACCTTTGATGGAAAATTCATGCATACTGGCCGCCCCTGAGAGCGTTTCTGGGCGAGGCTTATCACATAGAAGCTCCGCTGGCCGACTTGTTTCAAGGTGTTGAACCCAATAGTTGAGCTGGCGTTGGTGATCTGCAGCCTGATTCTCCTGTCTCTGCCAGACCGAGTAATCCCGATAGTTAATAGGCAAAGGCTCAACTGATGGCTGGGAGTTGTGAAGAGCAGCAGAATAAAATAAGGCAAGCTCCTTGCGAACGACATCAGTGGACCATCCATCAGATATAATATGATGCATAACGAGACTCAAAACATGATCTTCTTTATTCATCTGGTAAATCCTCACTCTCCAGCCTGGTTCTTTCTCCAGGTTGAAAGGTGTTGTCTGGTGTTCATCAATGACTTTGAGAAGGGCGTCATTGTCGTCGCTATCACTACTCGAATGCAATGGAGTGATCTCAAGTTCCGTTTCTTTATAGGGATTTATGATTTGTACATTAACGTCATTGGCAGATGCGAACGTAGTACGGAGCGTCTCGTGACGTCGCACCAGCGAAAGAAGTGCCGTTTGAAGCGCACCAAGATGGAGGGGACCGCGGATTCGGAATGCATAAGTCATGAGATACCAGGTTGAGTCAGGATAGAGACGATCTAGAAACCAGAGCCGCTCCTGTGCGAAGGATTGTGAGACCGGCCCATCATATTCAGTTCTTGGAATTACGGAACCGGCATCATTAGTGGGAACCTCTCTCTGCTTTGCTAAATCATGTAGATATGGGGTGCGGAAGATGTCGGCGACTGAGATATGCAAGCCTAACTTGCGAGCCTCTCCAACCACCTTCATCGCTGTGATTGAGTTTCCTCCTAGCTGGAAGAAGCTGTCGTCCATCCGAATTGAATTCGGTGCCATATTCAGAACTTGGCCCCAGATTACCTGTATCTGAGCCTCTGCTTTTGATTCTGGTTGTCGAGATGTCTTCCGTTCTGCTGTTCGACTAGGCCGGAGCTCCAGAAGCGCCCGACGATCGACCTTGCCGTTGTTGTTCACTGGAATTTTGTCAAGCACGACAATAGTAGCCGGTACCATGTATGGTGGAAGTTTGCTCTTTAGCCCTTCGTATACTTTGGATCGGATGGCTTGTGTCAACTGCTGCTTCATCGGCTGGCTTGCCAGGGTGTGGTACGGTCGGCTCGTGCCATCTTCTGTTGGGAACCTGAACAAAACTCTCTGCTCTTCAACTGATGGCTTGAGGCGGTGGAAGATGACGTCTAGAGCGCCGCGTTGTAAGTGTTGTTGGGCCCAACTAATCTCGGCTTGGTAGCCCATCTCCGTAGCCATGTCCACCAAAACAGCTGCCGATAGAGAAGAACAGGACTGGGCTTTTTGACGTATAGATGACAGCCAACTTATCTCGCTGGCTCTGTCCTCTTCAGCGTTGCCAAGAGCATCGACGACATAGCGCTCAAAAATGGTCTTGCTGTTTGGAATGTTTCGTATGGGAATAACTGACGAGGCTGATTCGTGGGCTAGAAGCTGAGCCAGCGAGTGGCGATTCAGTCCTGCTTTCACGAAGTCGGTCCACGCATCAGGGCTGATATCGCGGATACGCTTCGGCTGCCGTTCCTTTGCTTTGGTGTGGATAATTACGGCGTACCGGTAGCAGCTGAGTTCATTCGTGACGTGCATTTTCTTAGGAAGAATTTCGACATGTTCAATATGGTCTGGCATCCGACGGAGGAGACCAGTAAAAAAGACCGGATCGACCAGTAACTCCCCTTCAATTTGTTCCATGGTCGCTACCATACGGCAGATCTCATCCTTTGCTGGACGTTCTCCTGACACCCTAAGAGCCTTTGATACCAGGAATTCTTTATGCAATGCAAAGGACCGTACATCGCCAAGGAATATTGTCTTGCTGCCCATTCGGACAAGCTGATGAATAACGTCAAACAGGTAGTCTTGACTCGGGAAGTATTGAACCACGGAGTTGAAGACAGCAAGGTCCGGCGATGTTGATATGTTCAGTCGAGGAAGGTCTGCTGCAGTTGCCTTGAACATCTTGACCTTGCCAGCCAGTTCGGGGACCCCCCTTGCTGTTTTGTTGACGAAATCAATGGCACGGGAGGATGGCTCAAGACCAACATAGCTTTTTAGTCCACCTCCACCCACCATGTTGAAAAGAATCATCCCAGATCCTGTGCCAATCTCCAAAATATGGCCCTGAGGGCCATGGCTGAGTAGTGTGAGTGTATCTTCCAACCATTCAGTCATCTCCTCCTTTTCGATCTGGCTCCCGTCATACATTGACGTCCAGCCAACAAAATCTCTTCCTATCTTCTCGGTCTGTACAGTATCAATCTGACTGTAGGTATCCGAGTCGAATCGTGTCTCCCATTCTTGGACAAGCTCCGCTTCGTGATCGTCTGCCAACTTGGCCCCCTGAGGCTCGGCCTGGTGAATTGTAATGAAGCTGGTGATCTGCGGTTCGTCACCATCCTTGTGTAAGATAGCAACAGCGTCGTTTACACCACTGTGGCTTCGGATAGCATGCTCAATTTCTCCTAGCTCAACCCGGTTTCCGCGGATCTTGACTTGTCCATCTATTCGGCCAATAAATTCTAGTAGGCCATCTGTTGGGCGGCACCTTACGTAGTCTCCTGTCCGGTAGCCTCTTAGTCTTGATCTCCCTACTTTGACGAAAACAAAACGTTCGGCATCTTTTTGCGAGTCTGTGTATCCTCTAGCTAGGCCATCACCTGTTACGACAAGTTCGCCAACGACCCCTAGAGGCACGAGACGTTGTTGCGAATCCATAACAAGTGTTCCTGAGTTATTAAGGCTGCGCCCAATTGGCACAGTCTCAGAAAAGACATCCTTGTCTTGCAAGTGGTATACCGTGCTCATGCCCGTGTTTTCAGTCGGTCCATAAACGTGAAGCACGCTGCCCTGGATCATATCTCGTGCTGCTAAAAGATCATCTGGATCTCCTCGCTCACCACCTACATACAATGCCGATAGTGAACTGATGACACTTGGACATTGCGTTAGATATTGTTTCAGCAAGGCAGGTGTAATAAACAGGGCTTGGACATGATGTTGATTGAAAATTCTGGGCAGCGCGTTGTAGTCCAAAACGGCCATGGAATCAACACATATCAACGTGCCTCCGTTAAGCAAGGTTGAATATATCTCCCAAGTGGAACCATCGAATGCAAGGTTTGATATGTGTGCCGTGATGACTGCTGTGGGCAGATGCTGCACCATGTTATTCTTCTTAGCTAGTCTTAGAACACTACGGTGTTCTATCATCACGCCTTTTGGCTGCCCCGTGGAGCCCGAAGTGAACATAACATAGGCAAGGCTGTCAGGTTTCGGCGCAGCACACGGTATTGACGACCCGATAATATCCGCTTTCTTGTCTAGTATATCTGCAATGCGGATGAACTCTACATTGTCGAGCTGTGCTGCTGGGATCTGTGTGTCAGGGCCAAGTAGGACGAGCGTATGCCCCTGAACTGATGACAGAATCGTCTGTATACGTAAAACAGGGGACTTGACATCGAGTGGCAAGTATGCCAAGTTTGCCTTGAGAATCGCCAAGAAGGCAGTGATTGCGTGACAGGACCTGGCTGCGAGCACCCCAACCAGGGTCTCTGCTGGAAGCATTCGTTGTGCCAACCACTGAGCGAGTGTATCAGATTCCCGATCCAGCTGGTGGTATGATAATTCTGTGAACGAATCTTTCACAGCTACTCGATATGGAGTTGCTTCAGCCTGAAGACGGAAGACGTCTACTATACTGGAGTCTCGTGGGTAGTCTGTCGTATGGATCTGTACCAGACCTAACCTATCTAGGGTGCAATAATCGTCGTTTTCCAGCAAGGAAAGCGACGAAATTTCGCAACTAGGCTCAATCAGAGCTTGCTCAAGTATTTTTCTAAAAATCGAGAGCAAGTTTTCAACTGTTGCAGAATGATACAGGTCGGTTGAATACATCAGATTTCCTTGAAGAGCGCCCTGTTCTTGGTAGAAGTGGAACTCTAGATCGTACCGTGAGGTTTCTGGAACAATTACCGGACTTGACTCGATCCCTTCGAATTCTAGAGTACCTAAATTCAGCTGCGAGTGTAAGGCAAAGACAATTTGTATCAAAGGGTGGCGAGAGAGGTCCCTCTCCACCTGCAAATCGGATACGATACGGTCAAACGGAACATCTTGGTTCGTAAAAGATGCAACCATGGACTTCTGGACCTGTTCAACTAACTCCTCAAATGAATCACTTTCTATCTTTGTTCTGATGCACTGCATGTTGACAAAGAAGCCAATTAGGTCTTTGAGCTCCCATCGGTCCCGACTAGCATTTGCAATACCGATTGTCGCATCACTACTTCCAGTCAGATAGAAATGTGTAGCTCTGAAGGTAGCAAGGAGCACCACAAATGGTGTAACGGCTCTCTTCTTGCAGAAAGCCTGCAGACGGTCATAAAGCATTCCGTCAAGCCGGATTTCTTTGATATCCGCGTTTCCGGAAAGGACTGCAGGGCGAGGTATATCAGAGGGCAACTCTGCCGGGCGGCCGGTCCTTAGCTCCTTGACCCAGTACTCAAGCTGCCTTTCATGCTCCTTGACTTGTTCTTGTCTCTGCCAAGTGGAAAAGTCGTGATATTGCACAGGTAAAGGTTCTATCTGTGAAAGGGGATCGTGGTCGAGTAGAGCGAGAGTATAGAAATGTGCCAGTTCTCGACGAATAACATCGACAGACCAGCCATCGGAAATAATATGGTGCATGACAATGGATAGAACATAGTAATCCTCACCCAGTCGAAACAACACGGGTCTCCAGCCAGGTTCAGTCTGTAGGTTGAAAGGCGTGGTCTGTTCTTTGTGCAACTCGTCATGAAGGGCCTGCTCATCAATATCAACCACCTTCAACTCCCTCGGTTGAAACGGCTGCACTGCTTGAATATTGACACCATTCATTGATTTAAATGTTGTACGCAATATGTCATGGCGGCGTTCTAAGGCAAGTAGTGAGTCACTAAGGGCGGAAATCTGCAATGGGCCACGTAACCACGTTGCAAAGGGCATCAGATACCATGTCAAGTTTGGATACAGTTGCTCCAAGAACCACAGACGCTCCTGCGCAAATGATTGCTCAACTGGCCCGAGGCTGTCACTTGGTGATATGACATTGGATGTGTTGCGAGTGGATATGTACGCCTGTTTGGCTATCCCCTGTACGTCTGGGGAGCGGAAGATATCAGCTACGGATAGTTTGAGCCCAATCTTGCGGACTTCACCAACCACCTTCATAGCAGCAATAGAGTTCCCGCCAAGATGGAAGAAGCTATCATCGACACCAATAGTAGTTGTCTGGATACCAAGGACCTTGCCGAATATTTGTTGTATCTGGCGCTCTGCCTCTGAAACAGGCTGCCGTACATTCTTTCGCACTGCAGTACGACCCTCTAGAATTTTGAGAAGAGCCCGGCGATCAGCCTTGCCGTTTTCATTGATTGGAATCTTGTCAAGGATGGTGACGACTTCGGGAACCATGTAAGATGGGAGCTTAGCCCGAAGGACCTCATACACCCTAGATTGTACGGTCTGTCTGACTTGCTGCTTTAGTGGCTGACTCGCAAGTATATAATACGGTCGCTCATCTCGGTCCACAGGGAACTGAAACAGCTTTGTGTTCGAGTCCCCTCGTTGACAAGGGTGGAAGACGGCATCAAGTCCACCGCGCTGAGGGTATTGACGGGCGCAGCTGATATCGACACAGTATCCTTCCAGTTTGGCAATTTCGACCAAATCAACAGCCGATAGGGATGGGCATTTTCTGGCCTTTTGACGGGCTAATAAAACCCAACTAGTATTTTCGAGAGTTTCGTCTTCTTCTTCATCAAGCGAAGCAACCATATGTCTCTCAGCGATCGTCTTCTGAGATGGGATGTTGCTCACAGCAAGAATGCCTCTTTTTTCTTGGGTTTGTTGTAAGGCTCTTTGAAGAGATTGACGGTCCAGTCCTTGACCCATGAAATTAACCCATTGAGATTGGTTCACCTGATGTAGATCTCTCTGTCTTTGACCCTCAGCTTTAACATGAATGACCACATCATAACGATAGCAACTCAGCTCGTTCGTCGCGTTCATTCGCTTTGGGAGAACTTCAACATGCTCGATTCGATCAGGCATGCACTTAAGCAGCCCAGTAAAGAACGACGGGTCAACAAGCAACTCTGACTCTGCTCTCTCGAAGTCGGTGACGATTCGGCGAACTTCTGACTTGGACACATTTTCCCCAACCATGTGCAGGGCTCGTGATACCAGAAAATCCCTGTACAAAGCATGTGATCGGACATCGCCAAGGAAGATAGTCTTTACATCCTCTAAATGGAGGAGGCTCTGCACAAGCTTGAAGAGATAGTCTTGGCTGGGAAAATACTGCACAACGGAATTCAAAATAACAAAATCCGGCGAGTTGTCAATTTTTAGCTGAGCAACGTCTGCGGCTGTACCCTTGAACATTTTGACCCGATTTTTCAATCTCGGGGTCGCGTTTGCTGTTTCGGTAACGAATTGACAGGCCCTTGCAGATGGCTCAATCCCGATATAACTCTTTACGCCTTCGCCTAGGTTGAAAAGAATCATACCAGATCCAGTTCCTATCTCAAGCACGTTCTTTGGGGAGTGGTTGTTCAAAATTGTGCTGATAGTGTCATCAAGCCACTCATTCATCTCCCCTTTGTCAATATCATTGCCGTCCAGCATGGATGTCCAGCCAATGAAATCCCTCCCAATCAAGTCTACTTTGACTGTACTATCAATCTGAGCATAGGTTTCGGTGTCGAAATTATTTTCCCAAGTCTCAACCAGAGCTGACTCTTGACCGGGTTGCTGGGAGTCGGCGATCTCCGCGAACTCTTCCTTGACGGTGATGAACCCGGCAATACTTGTGCCCTGGTAATCGTCATGTTGCGTAATAGCCACAGCATCTTCCACGCCACTGCAGCCACGCAGCGTGTTCTCAATCTCCCCTAGCTCAACACGTTGACCACGAATCTTGACCTGGCCGTCTATACGACCAAAGAACTCCAGCTGGCCATCCGACGGACGATAGCGCACATAGTCTCCTGTTCTGTACGCACTAACCGGCGGCTGATTCTTGCCGGTTGTGATTGTGATGAACCGGTTCTTGTTCTGGTGAGAATCCATGTAGCCCCTGGCTAGTCCATCACCCGTGACGACGAGCTCACCCATAACACCCAATGGCACAAGCTGTTGCTCCGGATCCATGACGTAGGCTCCTGAATTACTGAGTGCTCGGCCGATTGGAACCCCGTTGGCAAAACTCTCAGAATCTGGGATACAGTAAACGGTACTGGCAACTGTATTCTCGGTAGGTCCATAAGCATTCAGGATCTCGCCCTTTATTAGCCTTCTCGCGGATTTCAGGTTTTCTGGCTCTGCACGGTCCCCTCCAACGACGAGTGTGCATATACTATTGAGTAAAGTAGGGCATTGAAGGAGATACTGGCTTAACAAGGCTGGTGTGATGAGCATGGTCTTGATATCTTCGCTAGAGAATATATCGGCAAGGGCAAAAGGGTCCAGCATCGTCATTGCGTCTATGCAAATGAGTGTGCCACCATTAAGCAAGGTGGCATAGATCTCCCAAGTAGCGGCATCGAACGCAATATTCGACATGTGAGCCATTATGATAATTTCGTCAGGCAGGTGAGCGGTCATGTTGTTTCCCTTTACGAGCCTTATGATGTTGCCGTGCTCGATCATGACACCTTTGGGCTGACCTGTTGACCCAGAGGTAAACATGACATATGCAAGGCTCTTGGCCCCCGGTGCGTTGTATTTGCTTAGCGAAGATGAACTGTTTGACTTCGTATCCTGATTTTCAAGAACATCCTGGATGTAAGCATACTCGACATCTTGAAGCTGCAGTTTAGGCGGCTTCATGCCAGCTCCGAGTAGAACAAGTTTCTTTTGTCCATGAATAGATGATAGAATGGTTTCCACTCTGCTTGCTACCGTTTTCTCGTCGAGTGGCAGATAACATAAATGGGCCTTGAGAACACCCAGAAAGGCAACAATCGTCTCGCAAGATCGACTTGCAAGAATTCCGACCAGGGCTTCCGGTGCCATCGACTTCTCGGACAGCCACCGGGCAAGTTTGTCAGATCTTTCATCCAGGTGAGCGTATGACAACTGGCAAGAAGAGTCTTTCACAGCCACTCTGTTGGGATGGATAGCTGATTGCTGCTGGAAAAGATCGACTACACTCAATTCTCGAGGGTAGTCTGTTTTTTGAATGCGCAGCAGGCCCATCTGTTCCAACGCAGCACGACCAGCATCCGTCAGAAGTGGAAGTGACGCAATAGGTGCTGCAGGCTTGGCAAGGCCTTGGTGCAAAAGCCCAATGAAAACGTCAGTCATATTGTGTATAGTTTCTGGATGATACAGGTCCTGGGCATAGATAATCTCGCCGCGAAGCCGGTTTTGCTCCTGGTAAAGATGGAACTCGACATCGAATCTCGAGGATTCAATCGGAGTGAGCACTTCCGTTTCAACTCCCTGGAACTGGAACTGTCCCAGATCCATATAAGAATGAACAGCAAAGGCAATTTGAACAAGCGGGTGCCGGGACAGGTCTCTGTCCTTTTGCAACTTGGCCACTATTTGCTCAAATGGAATATCCTGGTTGTCAAATGAAGCAACCGTTGCTGCCTTGACTTGTTGCACCAAGTCTTCAAAGCCTTCTTCTTCATCAATCTTAATACGGATACACTGCATATTGACGAAGAAACCGATAATATCCTCCACTTCCCACCTATTACGGTTTGCATTGGGAATACCAATTGTAGCATCATTTACACCTGTGATACGGAAGTGTGCGGCCCTGAACGCCGCGAGCAGCACAATAAAGGAGGTGACGCTATACTCTTTAGAAAATCTCTGCAATTCATCATACAGCACGCCGTCAATCGACAGCGTATGGATCCCTGCTCGCCCAGACAGCGTAGGCGGCCTGACCTTGTCTGCAGGCAGCTCCGCTGGCCGGCTTGGCTCTAGCTGCGTAACCCAGTACTTCAACTGACGCTCATGCTCGCTGATTTGATCCTGTTGCCTTTGCCAGATTGAATAGTCAAGGTATTGGATTGGCAGTGGAGCGACTTGAGACAGCGGATTTTGCCCGCGGGTGGCAGCAGTGTAAAAGGCAGCCAGGTCTCTTCGCAAAACATCAACTGACCAACCATCGCCTATTATGTGATGGATAACAACGGACAATATGAAGCTTTCCTTCTCAAGCTGGTAGAGGGAGATCCTCCAGCCTGGCTCAGCCTCCAAGTTAAATGGGGTCGTTTGATCCTTTTCTAATGCATCTGTCACAGCTTCCTGATTTGAGGTGAGGTCTACCGCATTCAGGGGCTTAGGCTCAAAGGGTCGAACTTCCTGCAAGTTAACAGTATCATGGGACCTGAAGACGGTACGGAGGGTTTCATGACGGCGTTCCAAAGCATGAAGTGCAGTATTGAGAGCATCAAGCCGGAGTGGTCCATTAATGCGTAAGGCGAACGGCATCAAATACCACGTCAGGCCTGGATACAGCTGCTCCAAGAACCACAAGCGCTCTTGAGCAAATGATTGTTTCGCCTCTCTCCTATTGTCCGTATGGTAAATGATGTCGCCCTTGGTAGACGCCGTATCGCTTGCCTGCCTAGCTACTGCCTGTAACTCTGGATGGCGGAAGATGTCAGATACGGCCAGCACCAAACCCAGTTTTCGAGCCTTGTGTACGATCTTCATTGCGGCGATCGAGTTGCCACCGATATGGAAGAAGTTGTCATCTAGACCAACTTCGGCAAGTTCCATCTCAAGGACCTCTGCCCATATCTTCTGCATTTGCCGCTCCGATTCCGACAGAGACTGCCGGGCGGGCCCTTGGCGGGTCTTCCTGGGCTGGAAGCTGCTCTTTAAGAGCTGACGATCGACCTTTCCATTTGCATTGACGGGCATTTCATCCAGGACCGTCACTTGTTGCGGGACCATGTGAGGAGGCAACTTGCTCCGTAAGATCTCATAAAGCTGCTTCTGCGTTGTCTGTTTCAGTTGATGGAGAAGGGGTTGACTGCTGAATGAGACGCTCTGCCGGCCTTGATGGTCGTCGGGAAATCTAAACAGAACTCTGCTCTCCGCGTGGTCTTGGGGAACAATACGGTGAAACACTGCGTCCAAGCCGCCGCGTAGAGTATATTGCCGGGCCCAGCTGATCTCGACTCGGTAGCCGAGCTGTCGGGCCATGTCCTCCAAGTCCATTGGGGAGAGAGATGGGGCGCGTTGAGCCTCCTCACGAGCCTGCCGAAGCCAACTGGTGTCGTTTGACATGTCACTACCGTACTTGTCTAATGATTCGACCATGTGTCTTTCAAAGGCGGTCTTGCTATAAGGAATATTCTCTACCGCCAAAACAGAGGACGTTGGATTGCGCTCCAGCATTTGAAAGAGAGAGTGGTGATCCAAGCCCCGTTCTTTGAAGTTGATCCAGTCATCGTCGCCGACTTGATGAATTTCTCGATGCTGCCTGCCTTGAACTTTGGCGTGAATGACTGCAGCGTAACGATACGCGCTGAGCTCGTTAGTAGCGTGCATCCTCTTTGGCAAGATCTCTATGTGTTCAATTTTATCTGGGAAGCGGTCAAGCAAAGCCGTGAAAAAGGCTGGGTCAACCAGGAATTCCGACTCGGCTCGAGTCATGTCATCTACAATTCGTTTGAACTGTTTCCGACGCGCGTGTCCACCAGCGATATGCAGTGCTCGCATCGATAGGAAGTCCCTGTGTAGGGCGTAGGATCGAACATCGCCAAGGAAGATAGTTTCAACACCACCCAGGTCCAGGATATCAGCGATAACCGTAGACAGGTAGTCCTGGCTGGGGAAATATTGTAGAACAGAATTAAATATGACCATGTTAGGTTTAACAGGTAGGCTCAGCTTGTTGAGGTCTGCAGCCGTGGCTTTATACATCTTCATTTTGTCTGCCAGACCAGAAATAGATTGTGCAGTCTTGCTGATGAACTGGACAGCTCTTGCGGATGGATCGAGCCCCACGTAGCTTTGCAATCCATCCAACAAGTTGAAGACAATCATGCCCGAACCCGATCCAATCTCGAGCACATATCGTGGAGGCGCGCCATTCAGCAAGCTTTTAATAGTATCAGCAAGCCATTCGTTCATTTCTCCTTTATCAATGTCCTTCCCGTTGTACATGGAGACCCATCCCATGAAGTCCCTACCAATGGCAGCGGGTTTGATGTTGTCCAGAGCCGTGTAAGTCTCGACATCAAAGCGCTCCTCCCACTCGTCCACAATCTGTGTTTCCTCATCCTGATCCGACTGCTGCTCAGACGCAACCGCATCAGCTCGAAGGGTCACAAAGCCCATGACGCATGACTCCTGTTTATCTTGCTTAAGGACGGCGATGGCGTTATTGACCGCGTCGTGACTGCGTAGAACGTGTTCGATTTCTCCCAGCTCGACACGCTGGCCCCTGATCTTGACCTGGCCATCTATGCGCCCAAGGAACTCGAGCTGGCCATCTAAGCGATAGCGTACACAGTCGCCGGTTCGATACGCCCTGACCTGCTTCCCGTCGATTGTCACTGTAATGAACCGGTTCGCGTTTTGCTGAGGGTTCAGGTACCCTCTCGCAAGGCCGTCGCCGGTCAAAACGAGCTCTCCAACAACACCCAGCGGAACAATGAACTGTCTGGAGTCCATTACATATACGCCCGAGTTGCTGATTGCACGCCCAATAGGAACCCCGTTGGTACTTGGCTCGTTATCCGGAATGCGGTACTGTGAACTAAAGGTTGTATTTTCGGTTGGCCCATAACCATTCACAATAGTTGCTTTTGTCTGTCTGCGTGTCGCAAGAACGTCCTCAGGGTCGAACCTATCTCCCCCGACATAAAGCAACTCCAGCCCTTGAATCGCTTGCGGGCATTGACGCAGATACTGCTTGACCAATGCTGGTGTAATCACGGCCACATTAACTCCTGCTTCGGAAAACACGCGAGGCAGCCTGACATAGTCCAGCACCGTCATTCTATCAATGCAGACGAGAGTGCCACCATTGAGCAAAGCAACATACATCTCCCATGTCGCAGCGTCGAATGCTATGTTTGAGATATGTGCCATATTTGTAGGAGTTGATAAGCACTGCAATAACTGATGCTCCTTTGCCAATCTTACTATTCCGCGGTGTTCTACTAAAACACCTTTTGGCTGGCCCGTAGAGCCAGAAGTGAACATGACGTAGGCAAGGCTGGTCGCGGACGGCGATGAGGTCCTAAGCCTTGGGACCCTGCTACTTGCGGCAGTCCTATTCTGTTCATGGAGGATGTCGTCAATGTAAGTGAAGTCGACCTCTTGCTGAAGCTTGAGACGCTCTATGCCGGAGCCGAGCAGTATAAGCTTCCTCCCTGGTATTGACGACAGCATCACCTCCATCCTTGCAGCTGGAGTTTCCATGTCAATCGGTAGGTAGGCCATATGAGCTTTTAGAATGCCAAGGAATGCGATGATAGTCTGGTGCGATCGATTAGCGAGCACTCCGATGAGTGCCTCTGTCTCAAAGGATTGGTCCACAAGCCACATAGCCAGCAGATCTGACTGGTGATCCAGTTGGGAATACGTCAGCTCAGTGGAGGAGTCCCTAATGGCCAATCTTTCAGGATTGGCAGCTACCTGTTGACGAAACACATCGACTATGCTCTCCTCTCGAGGATACGAAGTTCTGTGAATATGCATCAGGCCCATTTCCTCGAGTATAGTTTTATCTGTACTACTAAAGATTGGCAGAGATGCAACTGCCGTTTGGGGTTCGATGAGTCCTCGTTCCAGGACCTTGTAAAAGATAGAGACCACATTATCAATCGTATCTAGCTTGTAGAGATCGGTTGAGAATACAATCTGCCCTCGCAGAGCATCCTTCTCTTGATAGAAGTGAAACTCGATGTCAAACCTGGTGGTAGTTATAGGAGGCAATCGCTCAGAAGCAAGATTCTCCAGCGTGAACTTGCCCAGATCCTCTTGGGGATGTAAGGCAAAAACCATTTGAACAAGCGGGTGACGAGACAAGTCTCTTTCTACATTCAGGCCGGAAACAATCTGTTCAAAGGGCACATCCTGATTGGCCAAGGAGTCAATGGTGCGCTGATGGACCTGATGAACTAGCTGTAAAAAGGACTCATCTTCCTGCACCGTGGTTCGGATGCATTGCATATTCACGAAGAAGCCTATCACATCTTTGATTTCCCACTGGGCCCGATTGGCGTTTGGTATGCCCACCACGGCATCATCCACGCCCGTAAGGCGAAAATGGGTAGCCCTGAAAGCAGCCAGGAGCGTAGTAACCAGGGTCAGATCTTGGCCTCTAGAAAACTCCTGTAGGCGACGGTAGAGTCCTCCCTCAATACGAACATCTTTGGTACTGGCCTGGCCAGATAGTGCTGATGGTCTTGGTTTATCGCACAGTAGTTCAGCCGGTCGACTAGTTTCCAACTGAGCAACCCAGTACTCCATCTGGCGCTGGTGTTCGTCAAGCTGATGCTTTTGCTTCTGCCAGATTGAATAATCACAGTATTGGATCGGTAACGGGTCCATTTGCGAGAGTGGATCTTCGTGGCCCCGGATATCCTGGGAATAAAACGTAGCCAAGTCCCTTCTGAGGACGTCGGCCGACCAACCGTCCGAGATGATGTGGTGCATAACGATTGACAAAATATGACAATCAGAAGACATTCGGTAAACGGAAACCCTCCACCCTGCTTCTGTTTGAAGATCAAAGGGGGTGCTCTGGTCTTTGCGTAGTTGACACTGAATGTCTTCCTCGCTATCAAAGTCGACCACTCTCAGCTTCTTTGCTCTAAAAGGGTGGACATGTTGCACGTTGACGTCGTCAACCGATGAGAATGTCGTTCGAAGTGATTCATGACGTCGTTCTACCGCAGAGAGGGCGATGTCAAGTGCTTCAAGTTTCAATGACCCGCGTAGCCGTACAGCGTAGGGTATCAGATACCATGTCAATCCGGGATGGAGCTGATCAAGGAACCACAGCCGTCCCTGGGCGAAGGACTGCTCGACAGGCCCGGCATGCTCAGTTGCTACAATTCCAGCGGCCTGACAGTCGGCCAAGGAAACCGCTTCCTTAGCAATCCGTTCCAAGGTGCCATGCCGAAAGATATCGGCAGCTCCCACAGCGAAACCCAGCTTTCGGGCCCCGCCTGCAACCTTCATTGCCGCAACAGAATCACCTCCCAAGTGAACAAAGCTGTCATCTAACCCGATACTGACATCGTCGATGCCGAGAACGCTTGCCCAGATCTTCTGTAGGCACTGCTCCGCTTGAGAGGATGGCTTCCGCTTGGGCCCGGATCCCGCTGTTCGTACCTCAGCAAACTGTTTCGCAGAAAAGGACCGGCCAAATTTGCGCAGTTGCCTCCGGTCCATCTTCCCCGTGGCTGTCATTGGTAGCGTGTGCATAGACAAAAAGGCCGTTGGAATCATATAGCTTGGCAGATGCTGACGCAACTGGCTCTCTACACCAGCAGGAACAGTCATGATCTTTGGGCCAGCCTCATCCTCACTTGGAGTATGCCCTTTTGCTGCTGGGGCATCCTCGTCTCTCTGGAGAAAAGCAACCAGCATTGGGCTTGAGCTCTCACCTTGCGGCACAATCACTTCAGCCACCACCCGCTTCACCTTGGGCATGCATGCTTGGACCCAGTGTTCCACCTCTCCCAGCTCGACTCTCTGGCCACGGAGTTTTACCTGCTCATCTTTTCGGCCGACGAACACGAGACTTCCGTCTTCGTCATCGTACCGAGCCAAGTCACCAGTCTTATAGAGACGGCCACGCTGTCCTCTGCTACCGGAGATTCCCTGAACCAACCAGCTCGGGGCTTCGATAAAGGCCGCGGCTGTCTTCTCCAAGTCATTCAGGTAGCCACGGCCGACGAGAGGTCCTTCCAGAAGAAGCTCGCCTATGCATCCAGGTGGTAGTAGGCGGTCGTGGTTCTCTGGGTCCACGATCCAGGTGACATGACCGGCGCCTTTGCCTATACGGGTAGCCTCCTCCATGGTCGCCGGATCGCAGGCGAGAGTACTTACTGGGGTGCACTCGCTTGGTCCATACAAGTTTATAATACGTGCCCTCCCCCACCAAGGTTTAACATCTCTTTCATGAACTGCCTCGCCAGCGAAAAGGATCAATTCCAGCCGAGGGCAGTTGTCTGGGTCCAGGAGCCGTGCCACAGACGGGGTCAAGATAATGGCATTTGCTTCGGAATGCGCAATGGCCTCTACTAGATTGTCCCGTCGACTCTTCTCATCTGGAACGCACACGCAGCCACCCATCGTCAAAGTAGCAAAGACGGTATAGATGGATATATCGAAGCTATATGAGGTAAAGTCGAACATTCTGGTCTTTGATGTGAGCTTCAGGCTCTTCTTCTGGTGATGTAAAGCCGATGATATGTTGCGATGGGTTATGACTGTCCCTTTCGGGGTTCCCGTGCTTCCTGAGGTGAAGATGGCGTATGCGGCAGATGCTGGGCTTGGGACTGGCAACTGGACGCTTGTTTGGACATCCCATGTCGCCATGGACTGCTCATCGAGAATGACCACACGGGACACTAGTTTCATTCCAAGATCATGGTTGGAACGTGAAGAGATGAGGACAGTCGCTCCGGTTTCCCTCACCATGGATTGAAGACGCTTCACCGGCAGCGAAGGATCCATTAATGCAAAAGCCGCGCCAGACCTCAGAACGCCAAACATGGCAACAGTTGTCCACATTGACTTCTCAAAGCACAACGGCACAATGGTGTCCGGCTTGACACCATCCTTGACCAGCTGGCGAGCCAGTCTTGTGGCAAAGCTATCCAGTTGGCCATATGTTAACTCGCCATCCCATGCGCGTACAGCCTGGTCGGTTGGATGGGCAGCGCGTTCCCGGATCCTGTCCTGGACGTAATGGTCGAAAGACTCCGGGACCGTGGCGTTCCATTGCCATATCTTCTCTCGGTCTTTGACGGCCAACGTCTCAATATCAGAGATTCTTTCTTCAGAACTGGCTGCGTGAAACTTCTGTATGACGTGGTCCATTTGTTGTAGCAGGCTTCCCATCATCCAGGGACGAATTGCTCTCGAATCAAAATGTGCCGTCATCCTGGTCTGGTCGCTACCATGTTGAAGTTCCAGTATGAGAGTGCAACCCGTGTTCTGTTGGTTTGTATCAAGGACTTTTTTCTTCTCGAGTACTTGACCAAAACTACCATTCTCTTGCATCTTTTCATAAAGCAAGGTCTGTACCATGCAAGCCTGTTGCATGTCCGCTCCAAGATCGGCCGTTCGCTCCAGATCATCTTGCTCAAACAGCGGCATGTTTGAAATCTGGGTTTGAACGGTTTCCAGGTAGTCGTAGATCTTCTTTCCATTTTGCACATTGATTCGCATAGGCAAGATGGAACCTGGCGACTCTGAAGACTTGTATCCAGCCACGGGCTTCTCATTCCCAGCTGTCACAACCCCAAAGACAACATCTTTGGAATTGGTGGCTTGGCTAACCACAAGAGCCCACGCAGCCTGAACAATAGTTGATACTGGAAGTTTGGATCTTTGCCGGCGTGGATGAGACACCAGATGGCTCGAGACCTCGTCTATAAACGGTGGCCCTTTGGCTGGCGGGAGGGCTGGAAAAGCAGCAGACTCGCTGTCAACCAGAACTCTGTTCCAATAGTCGGCAGACTGACTTTGCTTGCCTGTTGTGGTAGATCTATTACCAGGCGGGGGGTCACCACCTTCAAGAGGGAGCTTCCGCTCGTTGACACGTTCTGTGTCGTTATTTTCCATATCGTATGTTAGTGTATCTGTCAATTGCTGATCTTCGCTACGCTGAAAATTAGCATTTAGTTATCCCTTTGCAGATATTGGATTGACGCTTTACATACCTATTCTCTCTATGGGTGCAAGAGTCGCTAATAAGTCACGTCAGAAATATGCCAGCAACGAGCTATGCCTGAGAGACAGTAGCTTGAGTGTACCTCACCGGAATAATAAATAAGCAAGCATTCAGCTCCTGCCATGGTATTGACCGCAGAGCCGTATTAACCCTCGGAATTAAGCGCCGTCAAGGTCAGCAGTATTTGCAGCATAGCTCGATTCACGGCCCGAGGCGCGAGACAACGTCTAAGACATTTACATGCTACCCATATATGTCCAGCCAAAGGGACCGCACATCCTTGCTTAATCTTCGACCCAACATTTCAAAAGTCTCATCATTCAGCGGTGAGGCGAAAAAGGTTTCCCAACAACTTGAATCCATGGTCAATCACTGTGTTGGGGACAACGGGTTAGAAGTCAACATCGCAACACCGCCTGTTCAGCCCCATATACAAATATTAGTCAACGCGAACATGGAAGCTGGCAGAGAGGCGGAACTTGAGTAACGCTAAATCCTAAAGGCCCCGATGCAGTAGATCGAGGAGCATCACGACACCGAAGCCAATAACACAACTCGGGCTGCAGCAAAATGGATCATTTTGAACCGCTTTGACTTGTCATCAGGCTCCAGTCACTTTACCAGCTCCAATCCAGTCTAGTGCACGGCCACATACATATGACCTATAGTACAATTAATAAGCGATCCAGCAGAGCTCTATTTGCAGCAAAGAGGGATTGAGCGTCCGAGCTAGGAAGGTTCTGGAGTTGACCAATATCGGTCGCCAAACCCCGGCTTCCACCTATCGGATATGGCCCGCTCAAAATATTTAAGAGAGGGCGACGCTGAGCTGTGTTTCGGACGCAACTGTATAATTTTTGTCACTTTGGCTTAAATTAGGTGGATGACAAGCATATAGAAGCGATAAAGATACGGCCGCCGTCGCCCCCTCTTTAGGCGTAGCCGCGGGGGTACAAAGGAGAGAGACGTGAGAGACGCGACAAATTCCAGCATCTGGCCGGAGTATCCGCGTAATTTCGTTTGTGGATTTATTATCAATCTACCATAAGAAACGCCCAATTACCGCAGCATCTGCCCACGCCGCATTCCTCGTAGAGCGGTCTGATGACATTAGCCACCTTGTGCGAAGCATTGAGCTTACGAGCTCGGTCGAACGGATACGAAGATCCCTGAGACAATGTGTGCACTTAGAAATCCGAAGAAGAACGGAAGCGTTCTGAGTTCGGGCTGCTTGCACTAAGTTGACACCAAGGGATATCTAGGCATATAAGGGATCCTAAGCCCTTCGTGTTCGGGTTGTTACAAGATAGAATCAACAGTCTCAATATACACCTTTTACCTATAAACCTAGAAGCTATTTGTGGCGATACCAACCCACAGATCATTCACTTGAATAATCCCTCATTCTAATTATTCATCCATCATGATTCCCTGTATCCGTGTGTCTCTATGGGCAGCAAAGCATTTTGCTCGGCCTTCAAGCCTCAGCCACGCTTCTCGTGTAGGCAACTACAACTTGACAATAAGAATGCTGGCGACACCAGCAAGAAGCCCGATCATGCCGTCTCATCCTCAGCCTAAGGCACACGAATGGCTCGTCGTCATCCCAGATCACCAAGGATCTCTAAAGAAGCGCATTGAAATCCGCCCGTAAGCAGCCCATCTGTCCTACCCTAAAATTCACATCTCTCGAGTCATCTCCAAGCTGGGAGCTTAACTGCTTGGTTTTCTTGCGGGCGAGTACCAATAATAGTCGAGTAACCAAGCAGTGCAGAAAACACCTTGAGGGTCTCGGCATGTACACAGGGGCGGGGAACGCAAAAATGGGCGGTAAGATTACATTTTTCTCATCTCAACTTCTCAGATGTACCGTCTGTCAGGTCACTACTTAAATTCCACCCTCCCACAGGACCCATTCTCGCAGAGCCTGCAACAAACGACGACACGGCATCATTCAAGTTCATAGGCAGTGCTCTGGTACTTTGCGGTAGCAGCCAAGAAGAAGTTTTTTCGCTCCTCAAGAAGGATATCTACCATGAATGTGGTGTTTGGAACCTCGAAAAAGTAATGCATTGCTCATCTCAGAGCCGCCAAATTTTCAGCCTGTAACTGGATACGAGCTAACGCAAGCCATGTCTTAGGCCCAAATCTGGCCAATGAAGACGACATTTAGGGTCCCCCAGGATTGAATTTGCAGTCTAACTTTGACCAAAGGACTGAGAAAACATTCGCAAACAAGACCGGTTTCTATAGGCATTCAGTTGTGTGTAATGGGTTAACAAGCTTGTTAAAGCGCGTTCGATTGATTGTTTTCAAGATACTGAGGGCGAGCAACAGATTACTTTTGCACAACCACACTCTTTCATCAATTTCATTTCTTGAATTCACCGCGCCGTTGCCCTATATCCTGACCATGACGTAGCAGACATGATATGATTGGTCAACTTGAAACTAAAAGTGGTGAAACTCTTCTAGAACAACTAAGATAGCAACACGTCACTAAGTCAGTCATAGCCATACGATATGCAAAATTACTGAGACAAACCTACCGCTCAGAGTAGAATTTTCTTTCCCTCCCTTCTTGTCTATCATTTTAATCGAAGAGTCGATGAGACATATCCTAGGGCTCGTGCATGCCACCTCATACACTACTTCTTTCTAGGTTACATTCATTGTGCGACTCATCACAAACCTAAAAGGAAGCCGAGCCCCATCGAAGGCGCCTGTCGGACCGAAAGTGTTTCATCATGATCATGACACTTTCATAATCAACTTCTGAATGCGGTAATGAGTATACAACTGCCGGGCAATTACTTGAGCTGATGTGAGACACCACCTATGATGTGCAATAAACCACAATGAATGGCCAACCAACCACCTCTCTCAAGAGCAACTGTCGAATAGAAAAGTTGTCGTAATCAGTCTTAAAAATTGCATCCACAACTTCCCCTATACCGAAAAGAGCAGAATATGCCAGAGGGTGCTGACGCAATGTGAAACACGGCACGAATACATAGAAAATCGGGCATCCGTAACTCTGCATGCTCTTTTGCTTTGTTCATCACCGCCTTGAGCTGCAGATTAACTTGTATTTCTAATATGGCCGACGCATGTCTCAGTTGGCGCAAAAATCAACTCGGTCGGCTGCCACACGACGTGCTTTATGCAACTCACCATAACAATGGGGGAAGACGAAAATTTCAGACTCCTGATAACCTATATGAATGGTACTGGCTCAAGCTTCTAACAACTGCCCACTCACATCAATTCTTTCATATTTCCGATACCCGCGACATCTTGAGACAGACTTACTGCGACTCCAGATGCAGGTCTTATCATAGCAGCTGCGAATGGAAAAGAGTAACACCTTGCCGCTCTGGACCAGTCTTCCTTTTGGAGTTACATACTGCTAGTTCCAGGCTCGACTTGAATTTCAATGGGCATCCTAGCTGAATTTACATCCCTCGAAGATGACAAATGTCAAATCGAAAGAAGAGGAACAAAGGAAATGATAGGCTGTAAAGATTGGTTGAGTGGTTATTTTTGTAAGCAGAGCTCAACAGCTTACTTCTTGACGTTTGCCTCTTATGCAAGTACTCTGCATGTCTTAGACCAACAAAAAAAAGAAAGAAAAAAGTGTTTCTTCTTGTTAAAATTATGGGAGAGATATACCTGGGGGCTTCTGAAAGAGGTAAATGATATTTTTTTTCAACATTTGTGATCGACGAGTGGTGTAGTAGAGCTCTCAACAGTTTTCAAACAATACACTGCACAATTTGCTGAAGAAAAGAAAACAAATTCTCAGTGTGGTGAATTTTTCTTTTCCCATCTACCACTTTGTCACTTTACCACGTTCCCTTGATGGATCTTCTGACACCCCCCAGCGACCGCAGCCACGCGAGTCCTCCCCCTGATAACTTCGGCAATCAAAAGTATGAGGAGTTGGGTCTCGAACTTTTGCAAAGCATGAAGTGCTATGGAGAGCATTTGAAGAAAGACTGCGCGCCGTCACCCTCGCTATCGCCGAGTATGGTAGAGGATGGCCAAGCGAGCCCGTCAAGGGAGACTGCCAGGGAGAGAGTGGTTGAACTTGCGCAACAGATATTGGGTATGACAATGGATCCAAGAACTAACCTCCTAATCAATTCTTTATCGGTACGGTTATTGTGTCTCCTGCTTGGACTTGTATTGTGCGTATTGAGAGTGTGCCGCAGAGAAATAACTGACCGATCTTAGTTTCACTTCTGCTCGTGCTTGAAGGTAGCAGTAGACCTGCGGATTGCGGAATATATCCCAAAGCATGGTCAGGTTTCGCTAGGAGAGCTGTCTACCCTCACTGGGGCGCAGGAAACGCTTCTTGGTAGGGCAAGAGTTTTTATTTTTATTTTTATTTTTATTTTTAACGTCCTTTCCATATGCCACGCATTCTGTCCGTCTGCTAATTTTCCATGTGAATAGCTCGTATCATGCGTGTGCTTATATCGAAACACGTCTTCGCCGAGGCTCAGCCTGGGGTGTATCGTCATACCACCATATCCTGGGCCATATGCGAGCCTGACCAGAGTCATCTCCTAAAACATAGGTAGGCAAGCCTAGCCAGTAGACTTATCAATCCCCTGGCCACTGACTCTCGCACTGCAGATTGGACGATTGCTTTCGATCCGCCAGCCGCCAAGCCGACTCGCTTCGTCTCAACGGATATCGTGAGCCGGAGCTCGGCGACAGATGCGGCTTCAGTCTTGCTTTTCAGAGCGATGCGAGCTTCTGGGAGTACATCACTAAGCACGACCCTGTGCGAGGCGAGAACTTCAACAAGGCAATGAAGAGCGTCCAGATCAACAGTCTGTCTGACATACCCAACTTGTACCCGTTCGACAGCCTCGCTGAGACCGGGGGGCTGATTGTGGATGTGGGTGGCGGTCATGGCCAAGTAAGCCGTGCCATCTTGGCAAACTATCCCAACAGCTACTTGCGCTGCGTAGTGCAGGACAGGTTTGTTGCTTCGCTCCCAACCGCAGATGCAAACGGCAGTCAGACCAGTGAAGTCGGCAAAGTCGGCACTGGCAGTGTCACGTTCGAGAAGCACAACTTTTTCGATCCGCAGCCCATCAAAGGTGTGTCTCTCTACCTCTTCTTCCCCGCCTCTTTGACCGCGGCGCAGACTAATTCCTCTGGCTGAATCACAGGAGCTGCAGCCTACTTTTTTCGCCACATTTTCCATGACTGGCCGGATAGCGCTTGCAGGGAGATACTCAAGCAGACAGTGCTTGCCATGGACACACAAAGCCGTATATTGATATGCGATCAGATTGTAGACGAAAAGTCTAGCTCGGTCCACTCAATGCTATATGATCTTGATATGATGAGTTTGTTTGGAGGCAAGGAACGGAGGCTATCCGAATGGGAAGCACTCATCACTGAGGCGGACAAGAGGCTTCGAATCACAGATACGAAGAAGTCATCCAATTCGCCTACTACAATCTTGGAGATTAGACTCGGATAAAGACAAAGATGGAGGCTTTCAAAGGGGTAGTAATATTTGACATCCTACTTTGTTGCCAAAAGCGCAGTGTTAGATACATCCCGAGATAAATCAATTGCCAATAATGATCTTTATCTACCGCACTCATCCCAGTTTACTGAATTTATTCCATCATGCTATTGCCGCAATCTACCAAGCTAGTTGGGCTACTAACCATCTTGTCGCCTTGGGGCCGGAAAATGGACTGCCAAATAGCTGATCTGATGTGCGAGCTTACACTTGTAAGCGAGATGCTGCAAGCTGGTGTGAAGACAAAGGACCCAGCACTGTGTTTCACGAAACGTTGTACCTGTTGTTGGCCCACGAAAATGGCTCTATAATCGAGGCAGCAACTCGCAATTGGCCGCCGCCAGAACAGCTAACTTGGCCTACCTAGTCTTCGGAGATTCTCTGCATGCCGCCAGAGTGTATGAGCAGACTACCGCGATTTTGCCTCATCCTACAACTCGGGATTGATCTGAACAACGTCAATATGAGCGGCAATATGCGAAACACTCTAATCTTCGCTGCCGAGATGGACCGAGAGAGAGCGGCTTATATAATCTTGTTGTTTTTAACTGATGTCTATCTGAACTCCCAAGGTGGAACGAACTGCACCATTGGCTGGGCTACTTGAAAAGGATGTACAGATGTGGTTGTTACAAAGAGATAGCATTAATTTGAACCTAGGTACTACCAAAAGGGAGTCACCTCTTGGGGCACAAGGAAATATTGTCCCCTTCGGCAGACTCTTGATGGCAACGCAACTGACATTACATGCCTCCTCTTTGGGAAATTTTGCCACCAAATTGGCATTAACAAAGAGATCTGCAATAAATACACAGCGCTCGGCATGGCAGCGAACCGAGGATTCATGCCTATGGCCCGCATGCTTCTCAGCCTACCAGGTATTGACCCGGACAAACCTAGCGGTTGGGACACCACCACAGTACTGGTATGGGCTTTGATGATTGGTTATACAAAGTCATTTCGGGCGCTGCTGGAAGCTGATGTTGATGTCCTCAAAAAGGTTAATGGCAAGTTGCGTATGCAAAGCGCTCTTGAATTCGGCCGCGGGAACCTACAAGAAGATAATATGGCTTCTGCTAGCTCGGCAAGATCTTGATGTCAATGCGGGCCTGCAAGAAGTCTTATAGTCCAGTATGGCGATTTCATTCGAAGTTGCGGACAACTTATCTCTTGTTGGGAAAGAGTCTCCTCACGAGCCCCATATATTATATCGAGAATGCAGACAAACAGAGACCCGTTCCGGTAGCGGAAGGGATAGCTTTGATCTTACGTTTAAGGTGCTCCGCAGCGACTAGCGGACTAACCTACAGAGACATAGAGTTGAAACTAATCTTCAACCTTGAGCTAAACTTTTGAGATCATTACGGGACATCCTTGGACAATCTGATAGTGACAGGCTACTCCTGTCTGATGGAGACGAACGCGGCTATAATCTTACTGCCGTCGAGAGGTTGAGGGAGCAGGAAGCCCCGACGACTGAATATTGAATAGAGACTTTACCGCTTTGAGATGTCGGTTTTCTTCAGGAGATGGTCATGACACCTGACAACCAGCCTCATTGACCGAGTAACGCTATGCTTATAGAGCTTCTTTAGGTCTATAGCTAATCCTTGTTCGTTCACTCTGAAAACTTTACCAGAGTAGTGGCCTCCGTAGGGAGTATCATGGCCCCAAGGTGCTTATCTACATCGATAGAAAATCGAATTCTGGCGATCTCTTAGGCCATCCATCGACGAAAGCTTTGGCGCGAGGGAGAGTTGCCATGACGAAACTGCACTAACTATTTCGCCATTCTTCAAGCAATGCAGGCGTATAAACGTGGTGAAAGAAGTAACGGGTATCATCCCGGTCTTCAGCAGCAAACAGCTTCCAAGAGCCCTGGAATGATGTCATCTTCTCACTTTGGAGCGCTTCAGAGCTTCGATACGGTCGACAACCCTGTCAATCTTACTAGCATGCCCCAGAAGTGAGGGCAGCAGATCAAGGAGTGGCAGAAGCTCGTAGGCAGAAATCCCAAGGCTTGTGAATGCCAGGCGACCAAGGATAGCTAATCGATCTGTGGCAGGTGCCATCCATTGGACGCTTCTCCTCGTACTACGTTCCATATAGATTATGCAGATTGGCTAGACTACGTGCGATATTTCCAGTAAGTCGCGATGGTACGGTGACGTGGTGGTCTTGTCTGGGTCGCGGGGAATCCAAACTGGGCTCCTTTTCCTTGGGCTGGCTAGAGGGTAGGGCTCGGAATATGTGCTCGACCATCAAACATCCGTCCGCTAATTGCCAAGATCGAAATCGTAATCGGCATCCCACAACTCACAATCAAACATTGAGAAGTGCCTACCGCGGAAGAGTGCGACGTCACGGATGAACGCGGGATACGTCAGGCCGGTTGATGTACTGCTCGGGGGTCGTGGTGTTAAAGGGCCATTGGGCAAAGTAGCTGGTAAGCGTCTAGAGCGAGGATGCTCTTTCCTTCAGGATAGTTCGATGTGCCTCGTTTGCGGGGATTCGTGTTGGGAAATATGACTTGAGTGATTATTTATTCCAGCCTGTATGGAAATAAACCGTTAGCAAGATCCCCTCAAAGGCACAAACAGAAGACAAGGTCTTAATATACATTTTTCTGACTTAGCGTGGGCACGAAAGGGTTATTCCAAACAGCTTAGACTTTCTTTCTTGTTTAATAACCCTAATACTATTACTCCGCCTTTAGTCTCAAGGAGGTGTTTGGTGAAATCAGCAAGAACTGTCTCTATGTACTCGAAACAAAGGCTTAGTTAGTTGCACGAAAAAGAGTCGAGGAAGATAATCACATCAAAGGAGAGAGTGGGCTGTGATAGCAAAGTAAGACAGGGCACTTACAGGCGGTATTCATTCGCTGCCATTCGTATCGGTCACTGCCAAACATTAGGCCAAGATGAGAGATGAGAAGAATCCTGAACTGTTCCAGAATATACCCATCTTTTAATATGCAAGTGTATTGGAATCTGTTTTAATTATCGGCGTTCAATTACGGTAATCAGTCGAAATGGGTACGTTGGGTGTAGGTGAGAAGAAGATGAGGCTGGGCTCTACGAGGTGAAAGCAAGCTGGCCTTTATGTCCTCTATTATAGTGATGTTTAGGCATCCACGGTAATATGCCAATGGTCTTGTATGCCATGATGACTCTATGCATGTTGATTGTGTGGCAGTAACATGCGTTGTCTGCCGGCTGCCTACATAATGTACTTATGGCAGTGCAGCGACCACACGCGCAATTGTTGGTTCACTTTCGCAGCCTACCCCAGACATGTAATCATATCCAGAGCCATTTGACAGACTTATGAGGTCTGCAATTCAGTATCAGCGACATGCAAAGAGCACTTGGATGATCTGTGCAGAATTGGGAGCACAAGAGTGTTCCCATGTTAACGTCGTACTGTAACAACCGGGTCGGCTTTATTCCTTATATATGTTATTACGGCAATCTAAGTAGTAAGTACTGTACCAAAGCGGTCTCGCCGTCATTGCACAGCCCCGGTGTAGGAGGCCGATCTGTCCAGGGTTTCGGGCTTGTTGCAGGGATGAAGGGGATGGCAGCCCAATCAAGCCAAATAGCCTTCTCCATCACGATCCCATCGTTAAGCATCTTGGCATCCCACCGGGTACTGCCACAATGGCCCCATTTTATCCTCGTGAGCGAGCTCCCCACTGTCAGACTTCACGACGTGCCAGTTCAGTGTTGGTGATGGCTTGGTAAGGGTTTCAACTAGCCTAGACTGAAGATCCCCCCCGCAACTGGACTTTATGTAATTGCTGAGACGACCACGACACATGGGGAGGATTCGTTCGAAAACGGCTGATTTCCTCGTACCTTGGAACCGAAAACACAGCACAGCCCCAATTTAGTGGGATTGACCAAGTGGGAGCAGCGAGGTCGGAAGGAGGCAAATTGATAATAAATTAATATTCAAAAGTACTTCAGTTGTTTCTATCTTCAGTATATGGGTCACCCAAGATGTTCCCCCAGATGAAAGCTGAATGAATGCCTACACAATGGGCTTCGGTGGTTACCCGTTACAGTGGCTGCATGAAGTCCACAAGAGGGATTGACCTTGGACCATTTAAACTAGTTGTGGATAAAGTATCTAAGCTTCTACTCAACGGTGCTAGGCGCTCACAGGTTCTCCGCGGCGAGCTACCTTTCGGCTTCCTCCTCTTTTGATCCTCCGGTGTCTACATCCTCCGGCGCGCTTTTTTTTCATCCGGTCTGTAGAAAGGGGGCAACCCACCTAGCTGCAACTTATAGTTTAGCTTCCGCAAAGGAACTTTCAATGCGCATGCCATGACGAAAGATGCTGAAACACTTCGGGGATATCAGTCATTGCTAGCAGGATACATGCATGCCTGACTCCAGTGACACCCGTGATCGCTGGCCAATTTACCGCAAAAAATCCAAGCCAAGAAATCTGTTCGGATATCGGGACATTCCAAGTTGCTAATTGGGCAACGATATTGCGACGCGGTGGGGGCCCTCGGCCTTAACACGTTTTGATGGATGATCATGGATCTCGGGCGGGTACAACAGCCCCGTTGGTGGGCGCGTCAGCCAGCTCGTGGAAACCCAGGATAACAAATATGAGGGAATTCAGTTTTGGGACCAATGATTTGACTTAAGGGCTCGTGTTCACTGGATTGAAACATCCGAAACATGCACTGCCATGATCTATACACCGCCTCCCTCCCCCAAATACCTCTTGAGTAGCACCATCGCTTCCTCGCTCAGCCTTCCATGCCGAGCCAGTAGGTCGTTTTGTCCTTTTTTCTAGCAAATTCTGATCTGAACAAGTAATCAGAATTGGAAAGAGGCCCGGAAGTAACCTCGATGAACAAAAGTCCCGAGTGGATAATGGTGCCCATATGTTCTAAGAAACTAATCGGGGTATATTGTATATTGTAAACCAAATTGTAATCCAGTGATCGTCAACCCTGGTACTAAAATAGAAGCATAAGTAAAATGGCCCGAGGTTGAGTTAGGTTCAAAGTATCTGGAGGGGTGTGCAACGATTAGCATGTAAAGTTCTTGTCCCCTCCCACGTGTAAAGACACTTGCTCCTTCCCCAATGTTCTTTTAACATGGCCCTCCTTTCCGCTCTCAAAAGGTTTTCAAGTGCCAGACCACCGTTGGTGGATGTTGCCCTTGCGGCATTATGGCTCATACTGTGCCAACTTGCCGCTCTTTACTCCTGGAGAGATCCCGGCTCCTTCTTCTTCGACTCCGAGAAAGCTGCTAAGCCTCTATATTCAGCCATCAGGGAGTCTGAGGCTGATGAATTCATTCAAAAGGCACTAAACGCATCGGCAACGTCCCAACAGCCTGACCTCCAACACGAAAGACACCCGAACTCCCCCTACCTGGACAGCTATAGTGCCGCGCGGATCTGTGCAGGAATACCCACCAAGGGACGAGAGAAAGAACAGTTCCTGCCACGAACCATCGCGTCCCTTGTCGACACCTTATCCCCAGAGGAACGAAAGTCACTCCATATCATCATTCTTATCACCGAAGAGAACCCCGAAGCAAACCCCGCCTTTGGCCAGTCATGGCTCTCAAACATGGCCGACGAAGTCCTTCTCTATTCGCCCGTTCCGAAATACCTCAACCCCGATACCTATAAATACATCGACGAGAATAAGCCTAGCAAGAGCGCCGAGCGAAATGAACATGTACAGATGGATTATGCGACATTGATGGAGACATGCCAGAAACAAGGGGCAGACTACTTCTTGCTAGTAGAAGACGACATCATCGCCTCTCGAGATTGGTTATCCAAGTTGAATAGTGCGCTTCACCTACTTGAGGCTTTACCCGTTCCCAATGATTGGCTTTACCTTCGGCTCTTCTATACCGAACTCTATCTGGGGTGGAACGGAGAGGAATGGCATATATACATTCCTCGGATTCTTCTCGTCTACGCCCTGGTCGGTGGTATCCTCCTACTTGGCCGAGCGCTCCGGGGCCGATACACCAAGAAGCAATCACCATGCCATGCGACTTACATAGTGCGATTCCACATTTGGTTCATAGCTTTCACGGCGCTGTTCTTCATGGCCGGTCGCGTGACAGTCATACCAAGGTCCGAAGGAATCCGAGAGATGAACAACTACGGCTGCTGCGGACAGGGCCTGGCGTTTCCAGCACATCACCTAGACATGCTGGAGGAGAAACTGAGAGCGCCACCGCACCATGCCCCCGGTGACTCTTTTATCGAGATTATTGCTGACGAGATGAACCTCAAGAGATGGGCGATGGAGCCGAGTGTGTTCCAGCATGTCGGGGTTCGCGGAAGCTCGGAAAAGGGAGGGCCTCGGAAAGACCTTTGGAATTATGGGTTTGAGACTTGAAGCTCCTTGTGTTTGATTTTGATGATAATGTAATACGGAACATACGGATGAGAGTTCAAGTATAAAGTAAAAAACAGCAATGGAAGATGCCAGACCCGACATCTCAACACAATGAATAATAGTACGGAACAAAAATTGCCAGTCACAGTTCCTGGCTTCTCCTGCGAACTGGAAGTAGTGGGAGTTCCGTCGTTAGGCCAACGACCAACATTCAAAACACGCTTTCTCAATACACTAATTACGACACAATCCGATGGCGCAATGCGTGAATATATGGCATTTCGTGATATTGTAGCTTTCTATTGATCCCTCTCAAGGAGTTTCTTGAACCTGATGAAATGACTCAAAGTTCCAAATGGCTGCCAACAGCCAAGTAGGTCTAAAATAATGGGTGCGCGACCAGTTAATGCGCCAGAGCCTTTCTTTCAAGGCTGAACTATATACATAAATAATCAAATGGGGGCATGAACTGCAAAAGAGGAAGGCAAGCAGAGGAAAACCGCTCGCTCGGATCATCAGGCCGTGTCTGGGGATGCCGTCCAGGCCAAGGATGATGGCAACCGACAGGAGGGTCATGGAATGACCAGCTCAGATCACCGGTACTTATACCGATCACGATGACACAATCCTTACGAGGGAGAGAAAGGTCTGCCACCCCATGAGTTGCTGAGAGAAGCAGCGGCCAGGACCAGCTGACAACAAGCCTCCACCGAAGTATTCAATCGAAAAGAGGTGAGAGGTAAGGGTTGCGTCACATCAAAGCAGGCTGGAGGTGGCGATTATTGCTTCGAAGGGCGGCCGAGAACGATCTGATCTGAGTCGACATAGATATCTTGGAGAGTCTCTTTGGGAAGAGAGGGTTGAGCACTGGAGGGGGAAGCTGTAGTGGCACTGCTATCGCTGGCGGTCGCGGTTTGACTGGGTATGATGCTGGTGGTGAAGGAGGCGCTCTTGTGCATGTTGATCCAATCCGTGCGGTGCATAAAGACGTATCTCGTGCTCGTGGAGGTAAATGTGAGAGTGAGGGTCCCCTCTTCTTCATCGTCCCATACGAAGTCTTCCAGCGTGGAAGCAATGACGGGGAGCGCCAAGAGAAGAATGTGTGTGAGACGCATGTTTTCGCTTGAGGACTGGCTGATGGGAAACGGTACAGTAGTATTTGCTCAGAATTAAGAGAAGTATGAAAGGGAGAATCTTTTGCGGATGATCTAAATTGAAAAGAAAAGGAAACATTTTGGGGAACGAGATCCCTTATAATAGACACAAGTGAGCTTAGCCAACAAGCAACCTGAAGGCAATTGCCTAAAGCATAGAGTTCATCTTGTTGGTTGTTGGTTGGCAGTACAAGTGCATTGCATTGACGAAATTGACGATATGCAACCGTGATTCACCAATCAGATCCAAAGCCAAGTCTGCAGGGCATGCAGCAGTGACCTCAACGGTTTCAAGCCACTGCACGTCTGTCACCAACAGACTGTGACGAGGCAACACATCGATTCCTGTTACAGTCGAGGCTGCAACGGTGCTAAGCGCGGGCGGTTCGCTGCCAGGATCTGCCCCGTGAGCCCTGTAGGGCGGGCCAATGGGCGCTGGCAGCGAACATTGAGCTGCGTCTTGGCTGGTTGCTCCGCGCTTGGGGCTGGTTTTCTACTGGCGGAGCCCCTAACTGCCCCATTCCTGCAGGTCTCGCGCTTCTGTAGCCCAAGCGGCACTCACAAACACCCTCCCTCCCTCATTAACTCTATTTTTGACTCCTGGTTATTGTCATTCAATGGAAAATCAGGGTGCGTAGGATCGTTCGTGGGTCAAGTTGCAGAAGAAGGCTTGTCGCGGTTACGCGCCAATTGATTTCTGGGCAGCGCCTCCTGAGAGGAACCCACCCAGCCCTTGGCAGACTCTTACTCTTTGCGACTCCTTGTGCTTGTAGCGACAATTCCTTCCCGTCTCGCTGCGCCCCCAGACGCCTTAGTCAGGCCAGTGCATGCTTCTCTTGTCAAAATTAGTATATGAGGATGAGCAGCTTGATTGTTAAAGGAAGGAAGAAGTCATCTGGGATCTTCAACACAGATCGTGATCACGTGAGTAAAAGGAACATAAGTCTTGTCTAACTACATACCCTATACTCACGCCTCCTAGCCAGGTTTCGGCCTTTGGGTCAGGTATGTTCCAGAAGTTATTTGGTTAGAGTGGTAGCATATTCTTGAGAAGTCGTAATGTGTACCTAGTTAGCCCAAGAAACTCACTCAAGGAGTGGTCTGCACTTCCACCAATCCCTCTTTAGGCATTCCGGACTTAAAACATCTCCGTCTCACTCAGCTCGCTTGTCGAATTCAGTAGCTTATGAACGAGTTTATACAGTTACGTGGACAATGAATTATTTGAGAGCCCAAGTGATGAAGAAGTGGAAATTGAGAAATGGCACGCCGTCTGATCGAGGCCATTAAAGGTACATGTACATATCAATAACTCTTCCCCTACAGTCCACCCTTTGACCTATCCTCGCCCTTTCACTACTGAAATTCCCGATTACAAGCTTACATTCGATTCCGAGACTTTTTTTCCAAAGAATACTGAAAACCCCTTCTATGGTGCTAAACTGCCCTTGACCAAGTTCACGATAACTCTCACGGATGCCGGCAGTGGCGTCCGTTGCCCTGCCGCCATCCATGTCGAATTCAACATCTTGATAGAGAAGCCAGATGGTGTCACCAAGATGGATATTATTGATGCGCTCATCGCTGACCTTAATGGACGAAAATCACTTCTTGTATATATTGAAGTCATGTAGAGACTTTTCAGCCCCATGGTCAAAACATCATGGCTCAAGTCGCCAAAAGGTGGCTCTACCATTTTAAACGGTTTATGAAAACTGGAGAGCCAATTCAGGAGACGATGTCAGCATGGGCTAAACTGGGGGGGAAGGGGTGTCTGGCTAGCAAGGGAAAAGCTGAAGGGTAATCTTACAGGCGTCCTACACTCAGCCCCAGCCAAAATCATCTCCTCGACAGGGTATCCAAAAACCCGTATAAAACGGTAGAACTTGGGGTAGAGCCAAATTCTAGGAAATCGGTCCATGATATTTTGGCTAGGGGCTAACTTTAGGGGAGCTATAAGATCACCCAGGGCTACCAAGGATTGGCTATAGTGCTAAAGGTCTGAGCAGTACTCAACGCTTAGAAGACCTGATCAGATAGGGCGAAGGACCAGACAGGAACGCGGAGGTCTTCGTGTTGATGTATGGTGGTAACCAGACGCAAAAACTAGCCATCGTGTCACCTGAAAAATGAATGAATCCATATCCTGCTCAGTGAACCAGCTAAGAAGCAATACCCAATGTTAGCCATGGCGCCATCAGAGAGTAAGGCGCCAGGCGTTGAGACTCTATCGAGTGATAATCCAGGTATCATACTTGCCAATGTCCTAGATACTACACTGGAGGTTGCAAAGTCAGCCCATTCTTCATCATCGTTGTTGGCTTCCTGTCCATGTACAACCAATCCAACGACTTCCTTCCTCGGCCAAGAAAGCAAATACTCCTCCTATGTCTTACCTATTTCAACACAATTCTGTCTTCTTTTGTTCCGCGCCGGATATGCCATGGTGTAAAACCGAGCCTGATCGTCCCAACGTGGTCATGGGGAAAAAGACGTTACTCACCTTCTAGCCATGGCTCTATAGACAAGGCATGCCCGAGTGCTTCCCTGATATGGAAAAGGGGGAGAGTTCATTTCGATATGCCTACGATGTCGGAAGCTCTCGGCCGCCAGCCTAATCTTCAAGTTGTTCCAAAACCTTGTCTACTTCAAGGGCGGTGTGAGAATAGCTAGTTTTCCGAGAGAATTCATGTGGTGGAAAATGAGAACAATCGCATCAATCCCGAATTGAGAACAGAAGTATGTATAGCTCTCGAGGCAATCAATGGATATTCCCCACAACAGCTAGGTTACCATCCTACAGAAAACTACTAGGTGGCGATAGATCCTTTACGATTGAAGTCCCTAGACACTTGATCTTTCGGACCTAGTCAGATTTGGTCTGTTGCGACTCTTGTCTCGAAAAGCCTTGGCATTCAACCAAAGTTGGGGCGACTCGAGCTGATATCAATTGCAAACAAGTTCATCTACTAGAAGCGTGGAAAGCTACAGTGAAGTATTTTCTCCGTTTACTTACCCCATACCAAGGATACTAAAAGATACCAAAAGAGGCCCTGGAATATCGAATTATACGTGCAATTCTAGCTGGTGGCGAGGTTCACCTTAGTACAGTACATACTGATCAACAATACCTCACTCTTCACCTTGAATAAACTGCGACCCATACCTCTTAGCCTGGTTCTCTCGGGCGAATGATAACCCTGTAAGTTGCTTGCTGTAGCTTTCGATGGCTCCAAGAGATGATTGGAAATCAGGCTATCCGCAAGAGTGATGAGATGTCGGGATAGTCGACAGTGCAGCAATTTGAGTCCAGATTAGGCACCATGTCACGACCCTTGGAATATGTCGCAACAAGTTGCCTGGCAGCGGAAATTGGAGGATACCGGATGTTAGGGTGAGTGTGCTGACTAGAGTGGTGAGATCTCTATTTATTTGCCACAACATCTCCCCAATGAGAAGAGAAGGCGAACCCTGAAGCGTGTGATCAATTCAATAAGTCGTTTATACCTAGCCATTACAGGAAATTGCAAATCCTTTGGGCTCATGATGCGTGTTCAGTCATGATCGACGCGGATTTAGGACCAAGTCATGCGCGAGATCCGAGATCACGAATGTTGCCACAAATGGCGCTGGGGACTGGACTAGGCAGCGAATTTCAGAATTCTCGGTCCCCAGGAAAGAGCGGTAGAATCCCCGTCAGCCATCCAGGCTATCGCCTGCGGTCTAGCCCGTCTGTCAGGAACCCCCCGTTTTGACTAGACCGTTTGCTCCCCTTTCAAAGTAGACAGAATAACCTGTTGTGACCTTGACCCAGCCCCCATCCTTCGGCATGCCGAACCAAGCCCCCCCGGTTTGCTTCCTCCGGTATGCGCGATCGCAGTCTTTCCAGTGTATGACTTGGCCAACACCCAAAATCGCGCCTGACTCTTCCTCTAAAGTGGCGCCATCAAAGCCTTCTTGGTTGAAAGGATGAACCTCCTTCAGAAACCAGTTAGTCTCTTGGCAGGTTCATTTTTGAGGCAAACTGACTGTACCATTGAATTTAATCTCTCTCAAGCAGGTCAGCCTTGGACGAGAGAGGGTGAAGGATGGCTCGCGTGATGTATTGCAGGGATATGGTTGGGGCTGCTTATTTTCATAAAGTCTAGCACAAAATGGACAGTCAACATGGGCAACAAATTATGCCATTCTGTATCCAGCTCACGTGATTTGATCGGTGTTTTCCAGGAATCTACCAAAGTACTTTATCCAAGGTACCAATTCTCGGCAGAAATTCATTACGTATCCGCATTAACGGTATTTGATCCGTTATTGCGCGTATAGCTAATTTAAATATATTATTAATTCGCCGCAGAATCGCCCAATAATAAACTCAAGTCATCCGTAACTTCCACTCCACAATATTGAGGAGGAACATGAAATACTAGACCTAACTGCGTAATATCTAGGCTTCAAGAAGAAAGCTATGAGTGATCAAAGTAACTTGAATTTATTGTTTCTAATATTATGTCTTTTTCTAGACTCGCATCGGACTTCCATGTTGATCCTTGTTGGTAAACTAAAAATCAGCGTCAAGCAAATATGATGAACAACATGTTATTCGTAGCTTTAAACACTAATCTCAACACTGAACATATTCCTATTATTTTCAAAACAGAAGGTAATGTTTTCACGCGTAGGTTAAGACCATATGTGCGTTTGAGGTCAAGGTCTATCATTGTAGAACTGCCCGAGAGAGATTTTGAACAATTGCGAAATGCACATACAGGGTAGTGCAGATAGCAAGCGTCGGCATGGACGGAGCTTACTGCCCGTGTGGTCTTTGACTCCAGCTTCAGCCTTCCAATAGCATTCCCATTAAGAGCGGCCCGTTGATCACACCACCGGTAGTGTCATCATTTTGTGGGCCATCACGCAGCTATTAGCTTTAACAGGCAGCACAGGCGGAGTGAAGCCGGGGGTTCGGGACTAGTAGAGTAGCACGGCACGCTCAGGGGGTGCCGGGGGGAGGATGATTAGGATCATCGGCATGCTCCATCCGCCATATTGGGCACGGCAGTTACGGCTTGGCTTAATGTTGTGGGAAGGCGTAGGAGCCGGTACGTGTTTGAACGAGCTTCCACACTCAGAATTGGTTGGCAGCCTGTGCCTCAGGAGAAGAGGGCAAAGTGCTGAGAGGGCAACACTTCTCGAAGGTTCCTGGATAAAGGCCTCTCCAAGGTCTCGTGCCACTTCGCTGGGCTTCGATTAAGTGAGGCTACCGTCAGCTTTGTCCACTAGTATTTCTTGGCGACGTAGCATGCAGTCCGGGACGGTAAGTGGATTGCCCACCGGGACAACCTTGCAGTGATAGGACAGTGATTGTCAGATTGAGGACCTGTTTCCAACTAGCTGGGCTAATTTCGAATTCAGATGTGTCCCCGCTCCAGGTGTCGCGTGCTTGTTGGGGCAGCCATTCTTGTCCGTTCCCGCGGGGCGTCCTTTCAACTGGACTGGTAACTGGTGACTGGTCCACTTAATCTCATAGACCGACCGAGTTGGTCCCATCTTCCGAGAGTTACTAGACTGGTTGACTAGTTCTCAGATTCTATTCATAGGTACATCAGGTTGTTGGGACGGCGAACGGCACACCTGTGGATACCTGGAGCAAAATGCTGGCCTCCCTGAAACACAGAGCTGGAAGGACAGATCCAAAAACCCAAGCCACTGGACACTTCATGGCTAACACAACAGCAGACTGGCAAAGTGAGCAAAGGACCTTGTCTCGGCCACTCTAGGAAAGGGATGTGTAATTTGAGCGGCCGCAGCACTCTCGCTAAGAACCTACCGTAGTCGTTTGGGATCAGATTGCCGGGGCAGTAGAAGGCAAGTAAGCGACTGCCGCTAATCCTGCAACGGGCATGTATTGACAGAAGGATCGAGGGTGCGATGCAGGATTCAGGCACAGTTATTTTTACCTCACCCCGGTCGGCCATGTTCTAAGGAGAACGGAATTGGCAACCTCTGGAACTATCAAGAGGAACTATATAAGATGAGCTTTTCGTGCGATTAAGCAGAAAGGAACTCTTCATTCAACTCAGCTTCTTCTTTTTTACACATTTTTCTTTTCCCGTCTTCTCATCTCATTGTTTCCTTTGTAAAGCTTTCTGTTAGCTGGTCAACAGCAATCTTTCATTCACGATGGTTTCCATCAAGCAAGTTTCGATCATTTCGACCCTCCTTTTTGGCCTCGGCCAACAGGTGGTCGCCGACTCTTTCGACGACAACGAGCTTGCCGCCCGTGGCGAGAACGATGTCTCCGATGGCGGCTACCTCTTCGAGACACGCGACGTCCTCGATGATGAACTTGACACCCGCGACCTCCTTGAGGAGGAGCTGGAAATCCGCGACGACGAGGATCTCGAGGCCCGAGGCGTCGAGGGAGGTGATCTGGAGACCAGGAGGAACACTCCCCCTCCTACTCCCCCACCAACCCCACCTCCCATCGTTATCACGCCTCCTAGCCCTCAACGCAATGGGCGACGCCGTCGTGGTCTAGGACGACGAGGACTTGGTAAGAGGAGGAACACTCCTCCTCCTACTCCCCCTCCTACTCCCCCTCCTATCGTCATCACGCCTCCTAGCCCCCAGCGCAACTCCCGCTCGCGTGGCCGCCGAAGCCTCGGTATCCGGAGGAACACTCCCCCTCCTACTCCTCCTCCTACTCCTCCTCCTATCGTCATCACGCCTCCTAGCCCCCAGCGCAACTCTCGCTCACGCGGCCGCCGAAGCCTCGGTATCCGGAGGAACACTCCCCCTCCTACTCCTCCTCCTACTCCTCCTCCTATCGTCATCACGCCTCCCAGCCCCCAGCGCAACTCCCGCTCGCGTGGCCGCCGAAGCCTCGGTATCCGGAGGAACACTCCCCCTCCCACTCCTCCTCCCACTCCTCCTCCTATCGTCATCACACCTCCCAGCCCCCAGCGCAACTCTCGCTCGCGCGGCCGCCGAAGTGTCTACGGAGATATTGAGAAGAGAAGGAACACTCCTCCTCCCACTCCTCCTCCTACCCCTCCTCCTATCGTCATCACGCCTCCTAGCCCCCAGCGTAACTCTCGCTCGCGCGGCCGCCGAAGCGTCTACGGAGACATTGAGAAGAGGAGGAACACTCCCCCTCCCACTCCTCCTCCTACCCCCCTCCTATCGTCATCACTCCTCCCAGCCCCCAGCGCAATGCTCGCAACCGCGGTCGCCGCTAAAGCCTCGGGCCGTGAAGTGTCGCGAGGGTTCTGGAGTGATCTTGGGGAAGCAGGGCTATGAAAGGAAGGGTCATTCTGTGACCATACTTGCTTGTACAATACCGTCTAAATTTTGGCTTATCTGTTTGGTATTACTCTCGGCAACGTCTCTATTCGGCGAGCTCTGGCCTTCTCAATAATATGAGCATCCGTCGCAATAGGCTTTGGAATGTTGTCGGGAGTGGTTAGTGTGGAAGTTGGTTATTGGATATAAAAAGACAAAGTGGTGTTGGGATAGGATAACGCATTATCTGGGTTCCAAATACATATAACACTATTACTTTGATTTTCTATCTCTTCTCTCCTGTGATTTCCTGTTGATGTATACCTAACATGCTAACAAGTGAGTGGACGTTTTAATGCAACTACGGGTACGAATGAGGATATCACCCTAACATTTGTAGGGGACACTCATAGAGTTGTGGGTTTGTTGCTCGGATGGACGAATATCACATACAATCAATCATTCTGGATAGATGGTCCCCCAGCTACCTCAATATTAAACTTGGCGAGGTGCTTGTTTCGAGGGGATACTTGATGAATGCAGAGTGTATTGACAACTAAATTACAATGGTAGAGCACGAAGCTCGGACCATGGCAATTTCGTGTCGTCGCCTAGCAAGGCAAAAGAGAACGAGTCGGTACTTTGGTCTCAACTCACGTGCTGAGGTAACCCTGTTGAGGAGAATCCCTGTTGGTACCGGTAGATACTTTGGTGGAATTCACAATCCTTGCCGCCCCCTGGCCGGTACTTTTAAGCTAGTAGGGGCGATTAATTTACCCAAAGTGGAAGCATTTAGCGAGGTTTCCTTTGGGTTCGACTTACCAGTGGGATTGAAGGTGACGATGAAGGCCACCGCACTGTATTGTGAGCTGGGCCCTTATCCCTTTTCTTCGAATAACTGGGCCAAGTTGGCAGGATTGAGCCTTGACTCCGGAAGAACATCTCAAATTCACCTTTTGAAACCATGCGAGTAGTATTATTAAAGAGAGAGAAGAGAATCGATCAATAAATGAACACCCAATCAGCGTTTTCTTCAGTGTCATTTGATTCAGCCAAATCTTAAGATGAAACCCTCAACTAGAACATGATCAATAACGTATCTATCATTGCTTGGTTCAAAAGAAGAGTTGGCAATTGAAGACTAGATGAGTGATTGGAAAGGAAGCGAAATTAGAATTCACAGGAGACGGCACCAGTAGAGACGTTGTTATGGCGGATGTGACTTTTCGTCCTGGACTTCATACAGGCTAGCTCCATGGAGGCTCTATCGTTCGGTGATAATGGGCCAACACTAACTTCAAGTATCGCGAACCCCTGTTTTGGCTGAACTGGTCTGTTGATGCCCGAGGGGGTTTTATCCTAGCTATGTTCCTATCAGGTTAAGCTGAACCATTATTTCAACTACAGCATTAATATATTGCTTGAAGTTATGTTGATATATATAGTGCTGGGGTATATAAAACGAGGCTGCTTTTGATGATCATCTATGGGTAGTGCTAGTAAACAGGATCTTCGACTTCTTACGAGATACTAAACTCATTAGGCCCTTTCCCGTCTCAAATAACGAAGCGAAAGTTTGGGTTTTGATGAGGGTTCTCAGTCGAGCTAGCAATCAACAGGTGCGTTGGCACGTCTGCACTTGTCCAGTTGACACCCTGGGCCTTGTTTCGCTGAGCGTTTTGGCGCTGCATCCAGAGTCTCATGGAAAGGGTAGCCACAATGGCAGCAGCAAGGAAGGCGTAGTTGGTGACAAGAGCTGGGATGTACTTGGGGGCGCTGTCCGGAGTGAAGACGTTGCTGGAGACAAGACCGGCGGCGTTGCCGAAGAAGGTGATGAATGCAATGTTGCTAAAAGCGCAAGGTTAGAATGAAACCAAATGATGCATGCTAGGGGTGGGTACTAACAAGGCTCGTCTGTTTTCGGACAGCACGTTATTCTGATGCCATGAATGGAAGATGATAGATGGTGTGAAGCATCCGCCCACGATGAGGAAGACTGCGAAATAGGCGACGCCGATGTTCTTCTCCACATCAATAGATGCGATGATGATAAAGCCAACACAGGACTCAAAACAGTCAGCACATTTCAATAGCTTTCAATCGTATTGGTAATCTTTTCTTGGGTTGACACTTACCATGGTGAAGGCAGAGATGAGATGATATGTGCGTTCACGGAAATGATCTGAGCTGACAGCTGTCGAAAAAAGAATGACAGCCGAAACCAAGTAGGGGGCAACAGTGTACAGGTTGGTTTTAACAGCATTATATCCCTAAAGGCAGTCTAGTTAGTGAACTGATCGAGCCATAACGATTCAGCTTTACATACCAGCTTGGCAACGATTAGCGGGGTGAAGTTTCCGACAGACGAGTTGGTGACGCCAAAGCAGAAGGCGATAAAGGCCCAAACCCAGAGTTTCCAATCCTTGAGCGGCGCGAAGAAGTCGCGAAGTTCGAACTTGGAACCAACGGCTTGGGATGCATCCTTCAGGGATCGCAAGCGGCAAATTTCTCTCTCTCGCTCGTTGAGGAATTTTGCGGCGTGAGGGGGTTGGGGCAGGAAGACACTGTTCCCGCGTCAGCACACGACAAGATACCCTCGATTGATGAAAGAACACTCACAGAGCAATGGCACCAATCAAAATAGTCAGAGCTCCCTCAACCAGGTAGAGATACTGCCAGCCGTACAGCCTGCCCTTGATTTGGAAGACACCAAAGGCAATCAGGCCAGAAAAAGCACCTGAAACGGTTTGGCTGCCGTAGAAGAGCGCGATTCTCTTGGCCAACTCGTCACGTTTGTAGAACTGGGTGAGATAGAAAACTCCGCCTACACCAAAACCGGCCTCGGCCATTCCCAGGAGAATCCGAAGGGCAGCAAGCCCGCCAAAGTTGTGGCATGCGGGAGACAGGATGACAGTGGCACCCCAGAAAAGGAGGTAGGATGGCAGAGTCCATCGTGCAGAGAGCTTACGGGTCAGGATGTTGGCTGGGACTGTCAATCTGGGATGGGTGTCAACTTTCGACTGTCTAGGTAGCATTCCCACAGGTGAATCACTTACGCGCAATAAGGGACGTAAAAAACCGAGACCAAGATGTTGTACTGGTACTTGGAAAATCCCAGGTCTGTATCAATGCCATCGGTTTTGGCTGCTCCCAAGTTATTCCGATCCAGCGAACTATAAACAATGTTAGATCGCTAAGCAGAGAATATTGGTATTTCCGAGGAGGCGTACTTGAAGAAATACATGAAAAAGAGAAGAGGCATCACACGAAGGTCAATCTTCCACAGCAGTTTCCTCTCCTCTTCGGGATCGATCGAGATCTCCTCAATAACGACATGCTCAACACCGGCTTCCTCATTGCCCACCTCGGACGTGACCGGGCTTTCGACGCCCTTGTCTACAGCCATCTTTAATCAGTGAGTCTGGACGGTAGTACAGGCCTTGAAGGTTGAAAGTGATCGGCAATGGTTATGCGGATTTGTCTTTAAAGACCGGTGGCCATGTTTAATACCAATGCAACATGCCGTATGTGTCAACCCACTCCACAACGGTTGATAGGTTAATGCCACCTCTTCCCAACGCAACATTCAATCACCAAATCCCGCCCTAAACTGACGCAATATCCAGGATCCCGGCGTTTTGGTCACCGTCCGAACCAAAGCTCCACCCGGGGCACCGACACACGGCGACAAACGGCTATGCGGCACACTGGTGATGGGTTGGTGTGGGTATTAATCAACTTGCCTGCGATAACCGAGCATAATTATTGCTTAACACGTATTCAGTTGCTAACGGAGCTTCATCTCATGCAGCTCAATACGATTAATGTATTTCGTTAGTTTGATTTAGGCTCATCAACACCACGTGGGTTCGTTTGTCTTCTCCGCGGACCCTTGTCCTACAAGCCCACCCTGAAGAGTTGCAGATGCCACCCCTTGTCCCTCTGAGCTTAAAATTGCGAACTGAAAACTCACAAGAGCAAAAAGTTTTTTAATCTCTCAGACTATTCTAGCTAGTTACAATACGGTCCCGGTAATATGGAGCGTCTTTAGGTTCTCAACCCTGCGTTTCCTCTCCTCGACGCCTGCTTTGTATTTCGGGGTCCACTCATCCTGCCAACTGTGAAGCCGCAGCCCAGGCCCAGTGGTATTCTGCAGCAGGGTATGCAACTGATTCAACAAATCGACGCTGTTTGGATATTTGTTGTAGTGGAAGAGGCTTGGGTTGTTGTCTATTTCTTGTAGGCGCTCATTCTCCCACCGTTGCATTTCTTCCAAAACAGGTAGTTGGAGTCTTCCCGCAAGAAATGCCGCGACAATAGCTGCTTGATACTCGAAAATCCGAAACGAAACACTGTTTTGGATGAGCCCGACAAAGGACAACGTTGGGTCCTGTTGATGGAATGTGTGTAGATACGTTCCAGGGACCCAATCCGCTGCCAAGGAGCTACCATGGTTGTGGCTAGCATACGGCGGGGATAAGAACGGAAATGAAACATGGTATCCCGTGGCGAAGATAATGGCGTCCGGGTGGACTGGAGGCTCTCCGTCTGCGAAGAAGCAGTCCCCATTTTCCGGGTCAAGACGTTGGAGCTGGGAACGAACAGATATGCCAGGAACCCCCACCAGGGACGTGGGATACATCCAGCTGGGAGATCGATGAGCCACTGTAAGATTTGATACCACTGGCATGAGGTCCCGGATGAGATCAAGTGCAGTTATGCCATTTCCAACTACCAAGACCGACTTTTGGTCCGGATTGTTAGTGTACTGTCCCTTCTTAAGCGGCAATGAGCAAGGCTTACCCGAGATTTGAACCCTTCTGCCGACCGGAAGTACTTAGAATGTATGGCCCTCCCCGGAAAGCTGCGGTTGTAATCATGGAGCCCTGGGATATCTGGTATTCTAGGAACGGAATAGATGCCAGTGGCGACAACAAGAGCGTCGAAAGACTCTGCGTACCAATAGTCTGTTTCTGTATCCGCCCGTCTCAAGGTCAAATGCCATTCATTACCCTGTTTGACGGCCCGTTCTAGAGTAGTGTTTAGGACCAGGTAGTCCGAGTGCCTGCTATGAAGAGTTTGAATATAGTTTAGCACCCGGGCTGCAGAAGGAAACATGGGATCATGGTCTTCTGCCAGGGGTGTTTTGTCTACGTCGGCGAAATGAAGATAGGTGTATGACATGATTTCCTGTTGAACTTGGTGTCAGTATGCCTGAGTGCACTCGGTTTCGCTTGCATGATCTTACAACGTTGACATTGGTGGTAAGATTCTCGTACACAGGCGCTGTGATCCATCTCTCCGTCGTGCTCTTTGACGTAGTTGCTGGGAGCTCAGCCGGCGGCTGTACTGGAGGATCTCCTGTACTGGGATGAACCAGAGGATCTGCTACCGGTACATTAGGCGCTGGATCAAAATTCCTATTTTCATTTGATCCAATCAACAACAATAGTCTAGAATGAGCAGACGTGTCATGTTACATACCATGCGCCGCCCACCTCGCCTCTACGCTCGAAAACTCGAATCACGTCAAAGGCTTGAGTCTGTTTCAGTGCTTCCGCGGCTGCTGCCCCAGATGGACCAGCACCGATAACTGCAACTCTCCTGATGGGTGGCATATTGAGAACCGGTGACTCCAACATTTGAACGCCAAATTAGAGAATTCCAGCATGGATCTTATTCACTCTAGGTGCCCTCTTTACGGCGAGCTGGTGGATCCGAGATCCCAGCTGGTTCCTTCAGGCCTGGCCGTTCTAGCAACTGTTAGTGGCCGACTAGGACCCCAGGCAGTTTGAACGTTCGTCCGATTTCGCTGCTTGGTTCGAAATGGCACAATATCGGCGAGGCATTACATCATTTCCACCCCACATGTGTAGCTCCAAGCTATTGAAGTTGATTGGCTGCGAACCGGTTCGGCTCACTGCCATCCGGACAACCAAATAGTGCATTACTTTGAATATGGAGACGGCGAACATAATCATGTCATACATGCCTCTTTAGATCATCTGAGCGATTATTCAAATTGTCTATAGCATGGAGGAGAAAGTCTTGTTTGCGGCTATGGGTATTTCTTGATCCACTGATGGTTGGCTGAGTAGGTATAATATTATCTGGAGCTCCAGTGACACGATTTAGGAGCATCCGGGAATATTACCGGGTATACTTTCGTCTGAAGCAGTCAGTCTGTGGTCGCAAACATGGCTAGTCCTAGTAGTTCTATTATCATCGTTGGTGGGTGAAAATGTCAACCGATGGATCAATCCAACTAGCTAACAAAGGCGGTACTTCTCAGGCGCGGGAGTCTTTGGCCTTTCCACGGCTATCCATCTGCAGCATCGAGGGTTCAAGAACGTTACAATCTTTGATAAGCAAGACTATCACAAATCTGCCTACTCTCCATTCGATGGTGGAGATTCAGCCTCTGCAGGTGAGTGTGCAAATTGCTTTTAATAGCCCTCATTATCGATTTTGCAAAGAACTCATGATCATTAGATAGCCACAAGGTGATTCGTAGCGCCTATGGATCGAACAAGCCCCTACAAGACCTTGCAAACCGAGCCATTGGAACTTGGAAGCAGTGGAATGCCGACTCTGGCGTCGAGTTGTTCTCTCATTCTGGCTGGGCCCGAGTGACTGAGATTGGAAGACCCCAGGATGTCGATATTGCTACTTTCAATACTCTGAAGCTTGTCGGGCTTGGGGACACCCAGTACTTCCTCAACAACGATGAGGACTTGAAGAGAGCCCGGGAGCAAGGATGGTACGGGCCCAAGTTCGACCAGTTCAACAGGCGAGAGCGAGGCTTGCCGCTGGATGGTGTATTTGACTCAAATGCGGGCATGGTCCAAGCAGACCTCGCATGCAAGTATGCTCTCCAGCTGGCTAAGTCCGGAGGCGCCACAACGATCTTCAGTCCAGGGCAAGGAGAATTCACCGGGTTCATCCGTGCCGAGAATGAGCCCAACCGTGTTATTGGAATCAAAACCAAGGACGGGAAAGAGCACAGAGCTGATCATGTGATTGTGGCAGCTGGCCCGTACACACCGCAGATTGTCCCGGAACTGCAGTCATTTGTGACCGCAACTGCCGGCAACTTCATTTTCGTCAAGGTCCCCGAGCATCTCCGGCATCGATACGAGGCCGATGTCTTCCCCACCTGGGCATGGAACTATTCGGGAAACTCTGAGAGTGGTGGCCTCACAGGCTTTCCAGTTGACAGTAAGAATTGTTTGGTGGTCGTCTTAGGACCATTTCTCCCTTTCCTAGGCTTGTCAATCTGGCCGTGACATTGCCTAAACTTAACTTATTTCTTAGGGCACGGAAACTTGAAGATTTCGTATCGATCGCCTAAATGGACAAACCCCGTAGCATCGACTACGCAAGAGGCTCCAATTTCGATCCCTGCGACCATCGAGGAGATCGCGAGTCAAGGCGGACCGCCTCTGTCCCCCTTGGAGGAAACAAAGGCGTTCATCAAAGAAAATTTGCCGGAACTGGTCGGGGAGGAAATTACCTTGGCTAAAATGTGCTGGTACACCGATACAGTTGATCTCCAGTTTGTCGTGGATAGAGTTCCTTCAACGGAGGGCATCATTGTTGTCACAGGCGGCAGCGGACACGGTATGGACCATTGGTTTCTCTTTGTTTGCTTAAGTTGAAAGATTTTCTGACATTTGAACAGGCTTTAAATTCCTCCCGGTTCTTGGCGAATACGTTGTCGACGTTCTTGAGGGTAAGAGCAACGAGTATACACAGCTTTGGAAGTGGAGAACACCGTCGGCAGAGGATATTGCAAGGATCCAGACGAACACTATGTCGGATGCAAGGAATTGGCACAAACAACCGCTTGCATCAGCAGAGAACCTTAAATGGTAGTCGCGAGTAGAGTTGGGTAGTAAACCAGGGCTTTGGTTGAGCCGTGAATAAAAAGACATGGACATACAGAATTGAGCATCTGAGTCCCTAAATCAACACTCTAGCCTGTCCACATGTGCCAATTCCTAAGCACGACGGCAGCTTTGAAATTTAAGCTTTCAACCGAACTGGATATGCCAAGGGGGTGACATCACTTTTATGCTTACGGGCTTGGTTGTGATAAACTCCGGAGATCTCCAACGATTGCCAAATCGGGTAAACACAAAAGGCTTGGCACTGGGCTAAAACTGACCCTGACCAGAGTTAACGCAGCGATTCAGGTCAAATTGCCAATGACAAATGCAAATCCGCGGAATAAAGGATTTAACGGATGGAATCATGGCCTGATGAGCTGACGGAACAGAGAAACTTTGGTATAAATAGTAGACACGCCGAACAGTCTTCCTGCAATACTCACTCACCACAAAATCATCAAAGCAGTTACATTGAATCTTGGGTGAAACTTAGATCAAACTCCCAGAGCTGCCCAAATGCCTCAATTCAACCCCAGCGTCGACATCCCGGATCTCAGTGAAAAAATATGCCTGGTCACCGGGGCAAATTCCGGCCTCGGCGAAGCGGCCGTGAAAGCGCTCGCCCAGCACAAGCCCAAGAAGATCTACCTCGCTGCCCGCTCTCGAGTCAGGGCTGAAGAAGCCCTCGAGCGGATCAGATCAAGTTCTAAAACCGCCTCCACGGCCAACGTCGAGATTCTGGACCTCGACCTGGCCTCCCTCCAGTCCGTCAAGGCAGCGGCGGCTCGCGTGACCTCCGAGGCGGATCGGTTGGACATTCTCCATCTCAATGGCGGTGTCGCTATGGTGCCGCAAGCGACTACAAAAGAGGGCTATGAGATCCAGCTCGGAACCAACCACGTCGGACATGCGCTGCTTACGCAGCTGCTCTTACCTCTAATGCTTGAGACGGCCAAGCTTCCGGGAGCCGATGTGCGGATCGTCAGCACAACGTCAGCATCTCACAAGATCTTTGGACTTAAGGAAGGGATAGAGTTCGACCACCTCAAGTCAGACATGAAATCCTTCACCGGGCGAGCCCTCTATGCTCAGTCCATGCTCGCCAAATCTCTCTTCGTGTATGAGCTGGCAAAGCGCTATCCGCAGATCACTTCATCATCCGTCCATCCCGGCGGTGTCAAGACGGGAGCGTACAGTGGCGACAAGGATCTGCCGTGGGCCATCCGATACTTGATACTCAAGCCGGCTCTGGCTCTGACCGGTGTCACGCCGGATGAGGGAGCAAAGACGGGGCTGTGGGCGAGTTTCAGCAAAGGCGTTGTCAATGGACGCTATTACGAGCCGATAGGCGCAGCTGGGCGGGAGAGCAAGCAGACGAACGATGATGGGCTTGCGAAGAGGCTCTGGGACTGGACTGGGGAGGAATTGGCGAAGAATGGTGGCCCGGGTTGGCCGTGACTGGGATAATACGTGGAATATCGTTTTGCTTTTCTTTGTTTTTGCTTCTTCAGTGGTTTTAGAGAAAGAGAAGTTTACATAGTTACGTGAGGCTCAACCTTATAATATATTGGAATTAAACTAGTATTTCTTATATGTTGGGATGGTACCTATAAAAAAAAGTAATACCACACGCAGTCGCTTTTCTCCCGATTATCCCCTCGATAATACCCAAAAAGAAAACACAATCTCATTCATCAAGACTCTGGTCAGTCTAAATCATCCAACTTGTAGATCAGATCAATCGACCCAGCAGCCATAGCCTCATCAGTCGCGTTTGGCTCCTCCACGATATCATTCAGCGACCCGTTCCGCCGCACAAGCTTATCCGCCCGGTATCTCAACTGGATAAAGAACTCGGCGGCATTGGTAACCCGTGTCTGGTTCTTGAGACCCTCATTGAATATGTGTAAGAAGACGGCTAGCGCATTCTTGTAGTTGGTGCTCACACTCTCTATCACGCTGAAGTAGTCCTCCATCCGATGGAATTGATCGAGTGCGTCCTGGTTAAGTAGATGCGTTCTTATTAGGTCACTTATTTGGCAGACTGATCGCGCCGTCCTGCCATCAGATAGTGTGACCTTGTCCTGAGCAGAGCCGTCGAATAGGAAGGCATTCAGCTTCTCATTCGCCTCGGAGATCCCGATCGTAGCTTGCATGTGGGAATGCTGTTCCACAAGGTAATGGCAGAGTCTCTTCCAAACAAACAGCTCAATCTCTGAAGCTTCGATGGTCTCGAATAGAGAAGCTAGCCTGACGAGGGTGACGAATCCATGGATCGGGTAGCCAAGCAGCGGCGACTCCGTGGCAGTCGGCTTGATCCCCACGTTGGAGAAGGCCAGGCGGATCGTGTCCTGCATGGGCATCCTCTCATCTATCATGCCAGTCAGGGGACTGCCCACGGGAGTGAGGCCGGCCAATGTAGAGACACCAGAGAGGCGGGAGATGGCCCTGCAGCACCACTCAAGAGACTTTCGGACGCGCTGGACGCCCGCGTCGTCGCTCTCGGCAATGTCCTCGATGGTGGAGCAGAGGGTAGATAGGAAGACGAGGAGGACGATCCTGTCGCTGAAGCGGTGATCGTACACGGCGCTGAGGGTCTCAACCCACTTCTTCCGGTTGGAAGACACGTGAAGCGGGACTAGAGGCAGGGCGGCGGCGACTCGGCCTCCTCCGTTGGGGAGCTCGCCGGCGCGGAGGAAGAGAAAGGCGCACCCGTCGCAACACACCATGGGGAGGACGATGTCGGTCTCGGCGTAGCTGCCCAGAACCAGGGGATACCGATGGCCAGAGCGGGCCTTTGGCGCGGGCAGATTACGGGTGGCCTCTGTCGTGGGGTTTGACTGGAGCAGCAAGGTTTGAAGGGACGATTCTTTGCCGCAGAGTGAGCAGGTGCTGTAGTTCTGGCCGTGGCTCTGTGAAGGATATCTGGGAGGCGAAGGATCTGTGAAATCTGACAAGAATGTCATGGCGTGGCTGGAGGGAGGGATGTTGCCGGGACTCATGGGAGGCGATCGTAGGGCGTGAGCGAGGCCTCTAACAGGTGGTCCGGTACCAGGATTGAACATTGCAGATGGATGAACGAAGCTGTTGGATGGCTGGAACACGGGGCCCACCGCTGGTGAAAGGGGGCTCTTCCGTGGCATGTTGGGGCTCGTTGGAGCGGGAGGAGGGGCGTATTGATTGGAATAAAGACGTGGAGTTCCAGTATCATCGTCATCGGATTCATCATTAGGGTCAAATGGTGGTGATGCGGGCGTGGGCGAAGACAATGGGGTGAGCGCACTGGGCGTGTTCTGGTTCGCTTTCGTCTCGTAGGTCGAGATGGCAGTCAATACCTCGTCGACAGCCATGTTCACCTTGCCGGGCAGCTCGGCCTCTTCGTGGACCTTGTTCAAAAAGGTGTCCCAGTTGACCTTATGCTGCCACCTGAGTTCTTTCTTGAGCGATTCGATCTGTGGCTTGCTCGAAGACGCCTCGCTTCGGAGCATGTCCCAGAAGGCATCTGGGTCGTCTGAACTCGTGACGTGGGTGATGAGCTTCTTGAGTTGAAAGGTGCCCTTCCCGTTCAAGTCTTCACAATCCATTGACCTCGGCGGCCTGGATTCATTATCCTTGCGAGCCTTCTCTGCCCAGTTCTTCACCGCAGCGCTCTTTCCCCTCGTCTTGGCGGCGAGGAGAACGACATCGAGAGATGAATAATCGGCTAGCAGATCCATCTGATCTTGTTGAGAGACACTGTTGTCGTACATGGACCGCATGTCAAACGTCTTGCCCGAGGGAAGCAAAACAGAGTCTACGGACAGCTTGACAGGCCGAGGTATCTGCACCTGGGCCACCTCGTCATACGAGACAGAGTGCAGATCTCCCCATTGCGTAGATGCATTGAACGCGACGAAGCGCTTGTCCTCGGGCAGCAGCTTCTCGAAGCAGCCCTTGGCCTGGAAGACGTACACCTTACTGTCCTGGATCCCATGGTAGAGGAACAGGCAGTGCGGCGAGACGGCGAAGACGGACATGCCGACCGACACGTTGCATTCGAAGGGCGACCGCTGGTACCAGCCGAATGTGACGATGATGCATGCGGTGCCGTGGATGCCGGCTCTCGGGATCGCGTTGGCAAAGCTCTGAACCTCGAGCTTGTCGATGTAACCATCCGTCATCAGACACCAGAGACCTGAATTCTGGAGAGTATACTTGTGAATGGCATCGTTGATGACGGCCGACGGGCGTGTCCCAGCTCCCGAGACGAGACTCATGACGCCGTTCAACGGGCGCCGGGAGTGTGCTCTGTCATCCCAAGGTAGGATCCATGCCTCGTCCTTGGAGAACTGTCCGCCCTTGGTCAGGGCACTGCCAAGCTCATCGATGGCTGCCTGCTCCTCTCGCAGGACCCGACCTCGGGTGCTGCCTGAGACGTCAACAGCAAAGCACATCGACAGCGGCCCTTTGGGATTTGCTTGGGTCGGAGGAGGTAGTTGCTGTTGGTAGCCTTCGAAGCGGTCGATCTCGGCTTGCCTCAGACTGGGCGGGCCGGGTGGAATAGGCGACGCGGGGGGGAAGGCCTGGGGATCGGCCTCGTGTCTCGCCATCATCAGGCGCTTCTTGTTCTGCTGCTCCAACAACATAAGCTGCATCTGATAGTCTTGCAGCGAATGGTTAGACGGTGAGTATGGGGACTGGAACTGATGAGGGCTGATTGGGGGTGTCGCTTGTACCGGCGAAGCAAGGAATTGTGAAGTAATGTTGCTGCCAGACGCTGTTGGGGTTTGATCACCCGATGATGAGAACGACGTTTGGCTCTTGGAGCCGCGATGGAGGACCTCTGCACTGCAAGTTAGTCAACAGCTACTTCCGAGGTCAGAGCCCATCTGTGAACTTACTCTTCCTGATGCCATGGAGGAGGCCATTACTCCAAGACTCCTTGGGAGGAATCGGCTGGTTAGGTGTCGTGGGCTCAGATTTGGTCATTGCGATGTGATGCACCAGGTCAATAAAACAGGGCTTTGGAGACACGGAGAAGAGAAGACAGCAACCTTGGGCACTAAAAAGAATTTTATTGAAAGTTATTACTGTGAGCTGTTCCAGTGCCGTCATAGCCACCGATGCTGCCTACAGCTGAATGCCGCCAGTCCGCCTCAAATGCGACCCAGACTGCATCTCACATATGTGCAGACGCGGGGCGCATCTTACACTGCACCACATGCAACGGCGAATATGGAGGCGAGGCGTCCTGCACTAAACCCGAGGGATAAATGGCTAGCGACAGATCACCCGCATCAGCCCCTCCGCAGAAGCCTAGACCATCCCTTTCGCTTTGCCTGAGCTGGTAGAGCCTGCGGATGTGGTTGTGGCGGCGGCGGCGGCTCTGGAGGGCCAGTCTGCTGCTCCTCGACAATGACACCGAGATGGTTATCCGGCGCCTGTTGAGCTTGAGCAGTTGGCTGTCCCGCGCCTGCGAATGGCGACGCTGGCGACGACGCAGACGGCGCCCCTGGTTGAATCGCGGGCGCATCCTGTCCCGGGCTGTTGGTCTGGTGGCCGCCGCCACGGAAGATGGAGAGGGCAGGGGACGTCGTGGCCATGGAGGATGGCGTCGTTAGGTCTGGGGGCTGTGCGACTATCGACGATGATGGTTGCATCTGCTGCGGCTGATGCGCCATCGCGGCCAGGGTCTGCTGTGGATAGGGTCCAAGGTTGGGACCAGCAGGACGGTCAAGGTCCTCCTCCAGCCAGTCGGCTGAGTGTTCTGTCACATAGCGCTTCTTCTTGCCCTTTGTCGAACGTGACGGCGCTGAGGAGCTGACGGTCGACGCTGATTCCGCACCATCGCGCGAATGTCTGGACGGTGTACTGCCTCGTGTTATTGGGAGCTCGAGGACCTCCAGGTGAGAGGGTGATTGCGACTGGGATTGTGATTGTTGAGTGATTAGTTGCTGATCTTGGGCTGGTATCGCGTGAGGCGACGAGAAGGCATCCAAGTGTGGAGTGACCTGGGACAGCTGGTGAGAGATGGCGGGGGATTGAGCATCAATTGCTTGGTCAGGCCTTTCCGCTGGTGCTTCTGCTGGGATAAAGAACTGGTCTCCTTCTCCTGGCATGTTGTCCTGGACATTCCAAGACGGATCCAAGTTGGATGCGGCGTACCGCTGTTTTCGCCTTCCACCCGCCATTTGGACAGCATAAGAAACTTCCAACGTATCGAGGCAAGAGACCGTGTTTGTAGGTTTGGTCGAGAGATAATGAGTACTTCGCTTGGGCAGCAAGCTCACATTGGTGATAAGACAGCGACAGTTGCCACTGAAGTAGCTCGAGATCCGAGACCCATGTCACACCCCTGCAGAGGCTGTACAAGCAGCAACTGGCGAATGTTACTTTGCCCAGCAGAATAACGGCTGGACCCTGGACGCAGGGCTTTCCAGCAGCGCTAGAGCCGTTCAGCTGAACTGGCCTGTCTTGACGCATCAATATGACGAGGGCCTCTCAACCACCCAGCCCATTGCTTCAACCTTCGCTATTCTTTCACGGAGTTGTTACAGTGTGCCGTGAATATGGCATCAAGGCAGAGCAAGAGCAAGGCATACAAGGCCGCTCAAGCACCAGAGCTGTAAGTAGGAAGTGGAAATCATTGTTGCTGGTATCTGTGCCGCAGAGATACGCCTGATACTAACCGGACGTGACATTCGTCGCAATCCAGCGAGCACGCCAAGTCGATTTCACAGTCGTTTGAGAGCTTCCAGCAGTCGCAATTATCGGCTACTACAAACATCAATTATGTCCGCTACCAATCTGAGGGAGAGCCCCAGGAACTGACGCTGAGATCTCGCGCGGAAATCACTAGATTGGTAATCCTTTCATCTCAGAGGGCCGGATTCATTCCATCTCGGGGTCGACTATGTAACTTGATCTTTTCTCTGACCGCATTTGCAGCCTGACGCATCAGCCAACAACAGCATCGAAGTCTTGTAGGATGAAATATCACTCCCTACCCTTTACATTTCAGGGAACTTACCAATTACTCATAGCTTCGTATACAAAGATCTAGTTGCGAACCCTCTTATGCCAGCCGAGCAAGAAAAACTGCAAATCTCGGCGCCAAGCTTCGAAGCGCTGGCCACACGACTCACCCTTCCATCGGCCTTCATTTTTGCGCTTTCTCGCCATTACCTCCCCAACGGCAGAGGATTTCGACAACTCAAGATCGAAAATCATGCCTCCCAGGTGTACGACTGCTGGTACTTCATCCCCGTCCGCGTGCAGATGGAACCCCAAGCGGGCGTTGCAGAGGACGAGCGAGGCGCCGGGCAGATGAACCCGTTCCACAAGCTTCACCTCCCCAACGCCCGACGAAACATATTTCGCTCCTGCGTGGGCATCTTTACCAGAGTAGATCCGACCTCCAAGAAGGTGACGGTGGTAACGTTTGACTTCATGCACGGGCGATGGTGCAAGGTCGCCCAGGAGCCCAAAACTCGCATCGCCGAGGTGATGAAGCACCTGAAGAGCACGGATGAGACCAGTACGAGGCACTGCAACGGCGCTTTTGTCCACCTCGTCTACATCAGCAGCGCCGTGCGGTGGTGGACCAACTCGCTCAACAGCGTGAACGAGCAGCTCATCGCCTACGAGATGGAGCTTCAGTCGGAGCTTGATGCGGTGGGTGTGACGCCAGAGGCCACGCTTACAAAATTGAGCCGGGCGCTTCATTCGATTTCTGCACATCTGCATCGCTACTTGTCAGAGCTCAAGTCTCTCCGGGGAATTGTGACGGATTTGATTGGCTTTTACGATTCCATGTATTGCGACGAGGAGGGAAAAGACAAGGATGAAGGGCTGGAGAAGGCGAACCGCGGCTTCAAACAGGTTCTTTCACAGATCGAAGCATCGCTTGACTTCGCAACAGAGCTAGAGAAGAAGACGCAGAATATCCTTGATCTTGTAAGTGTCTCGTCCGAAATCTTCTGGGTCGTGGCTTGGGTTTTGGGACTGACGGTTGGTTGTTTCTAGCTCTTTAACCGCATCCAGATCAACAGCGACAGACTGCTTGTTGCTAACGGCAGGGCCATGGAAGAGATATTGAGAGCGATGCGGGCCGATACAGATGTTGGTCGGAAAATGGCCGATGCATCACACCAACTTGCCGTGGAGATGAAGAGGGATAGCATTGCAATGAGAACGGTATGAGCGACAAGGTGGTTATGTTTGGAAGAGGGCTAATAACTACCTAGATCGCTATTATCACGATGGCATTCCTCCCTGCAGCTACCTTTGCGGTACGTTCATCCCGTTTTACGGCTTCTCAATATCGTCGATTGACCTGGCTCTATCGAGATTCCATCACCGCAAATCATATTTTCCCGAGTAGCCTAGCTGACGCACATATCATAGACCGTATTGTCAATGCCGTTTTTCAGTGACGACCCCTGGCTCAAGGAGGCCGATCGCATTTGGGTTTGGGTTCTCCTAACAGTCTCAGCCACGTCAGGATGTTTTCTGTTTTACAGGCTATGGAGAAAGAAATCACAACGCAAAGTGGCTGACGAGGAAGAGGCAACAAACGGCGGCACTTAGAATATTTCTCTTTTTCTTCATCTGGCTAGAAATTTGTAGATTAATGAATTTAAGACTCACTGAGCCGACTCTCATCTCATCGTGCCCCTTGCCTGAACTCTTCAATCCAAGGACATATTCCGCCCGCATAAAGAACGGCGACTCAACGCGAAACCAGGCTGTTCATTGGTGTCTTAGATAATGTACCCGCAACACGTCCAGCATGGATCCTTGAAGCTCGGAAACTGTGTCACATGCTGTTAGATGTTTACCCAGGATCGTGGGTTATGAGTGGACGTACCATCTGGTCGGGGCATTTGCGCTCTTCAAAGCTACACAAGTCCCAGCAATAGAGATTCTCATCCTTCATGAATACCTCAGACGGCGCTGCCAGTGCTGCACCTATGGCGATGAGAAACAGAGTAAACTTCATGGTGGCCTCCAGCTGTTTGACGTCCAATGCGGGGATGGGAAGTCGCGTTGGGAGAATGGTAAGATGATCGGGAAATTCTATTTTGTTGGAAGAATTGGGGGCCTATAAATATGAAGATCGTATTCTACCTTCCTATCCCGATTGAAACATTATGACAAAACATATGGTTGATTGTCTTGGCGAGATTTGAAGCAATGGAATGCTACCCCACCTCACGGTCTCAGTGTCACATCGTTTCTCGCCTCGAGTGACAATTGGTCATGCTAGAACTTGTTGGATTATACACGACACGAGGAACTAACGCCGACAGCTAGCTCAGATACAGTTGCTTCATGCTCAATTACTTGAGGGATGGTGCATTGTTTTCTCCCGACTGGTTGACCGCGATCCCGTATGGCTAACAGTAGACGGAATAAGCACAAATAGAACCGAGCTAGAGTATTACACTATGGTTTCATGAACAAAAAATGGGTGAGGAAGCTGACAGGAATGGAAATCTGCAGCCCATTCAACTGAAGTTCCAGGTGCATCAAGCCAACATCGGCCAACGTCGGCATAGTTGCTGGCACAGCTTTGCGTCAGAGGAAAAAAAGGACAAGCGCCACCTAAAACTAGGCATTCAGAGCTGTAGCTACGCTCCGGATCTTGGAGGATCATATTCAAACGCGCACTCAGTGATATAAACTCGCGCACACCCTTCGTAAATGTCTCTTTCATTGGCTAATCTATGGCTATGCGGCGGTCAAAATGGATCTATTATACTACCCCTTGCTTCTAGTGACTGGGGGAAAAAAAATTATATGTTATTTACAAGGGCGAGCCCCAATTGATCAAGAGGCAATCAGGTCAACGGGCGCATATCCAGTTGCGGCTTGATCTGGCAAAATCATCAGGCTAATGGAGGCAGTCGCCAGTCGCGGAACCTTGAAGACGGTCGAAGACGTCCCCTCGGCCTGGCACTTCAAAGGCTGGCCTTGGCGGGCGGTATCGCACTTGATGAAGCTCCGGCTGGGGGAGTTGACGTTGCTTGCGTAGCCGAAGTAGACGCCATTCGTGGAGGTCTGCGTCCATGCGTACTGGCCGACGGCGCCGTCGATCATGAGGCGATTCGTGACCGGTTCGAGTGTGAGCGGGTTTTCGCTGTAATAGCTCGCCAGCGATGCAGAGGTGGTGAGATAGGCGAGGAAGCCACTGCCATTGTAATTGGGGCGGGTCTTGAGTGTCTGGTCGTTGGCGGCCGTGAGGTCACTGTTGGCACTGCGGAGGCTGAATGTGGCCAGGGCAGGAGGCAATGAACTTGTTGTCGAAGCAGGTAGATCGCTCGTGGGTGTAGATGATATTTGGACCTCGGATGAAGTGCTGGAGGGAGTTGCGCTTGGGGTATCAGTCGAAACGCTGGAAGAGGCGGCTGAGGTGGAAGCAGCTGTGGAAGTGCTGCTAGGGGTACTCGAGGGGGTTTCGATCGAAGTGCTTGAGGATGGTGTCGAGCTCGCAGCCTCTGTAGAAGTGCTGCTGGGAGTGGTGCTCGACGATGGAGTGGAGCTGGGAGTGATGATGGTAGGCTCGGGCGTGCTGCTCGTCGAGGAGATGATCACGGTGAGGGACTCGCTCGACGAGAAACCTGGGGTAGTGCTAGGAGAAGCCACAGGCGTTGGGGTCGTCGATGAGATCACGGGAGTGTCCGTCGTCGATGCCGAGAGACTGGATGATGTCTTGGGCCGGCATCGCTTCTTGGCATCTCCAGTGCCAAACAGCGAAGCACTGGCAGCCAGACTGTAAAGAAGATGCTGCGAACGCATTGTAGCGAAACTAACAATGTAACCAGGTGTGATAACGTACGAAAGCTGCAGAGCTAGGACAACCGGTAACGCCACAAATCAAGAGAGGGAAAGGGGCCTTTTAAACGCTTCTAAACCGCAAAGCTTGTACGACGCCATTCCCGTCGATGGCCAATGGGCCGCAACCACATTCGACAACAACAACTAGCGGCGGCTGGAAACCCACCAAAACCCAATAGTTCTGTCCGCTAATCACTCGCCCAATTTCAGTGATCCATTTTTTCTGCAGGAACCAGACTGCGCTAAACTCCCGCGTCGTCAGCTGGATCCTTCGTCCCGTCCACCAGCAGCTGAAAAGGGGGCATTGGGTGAGCATTAGAGGAAGGGGGACGATTTTGACTACCAGGAGACTGACGACAGCTCATTGATTATTGGGTAGAGTGGGCCAATATAAACTGAATCTGTACCACTTTAGCTGAAAAGCATGGAGTAGGCGTCGTAGTCTGATAGGGTATCAATAATGCCAAATATTAATCATAGGTGAAAAAGAATCCATCTGAAACGCCACGGAGTGTCCGTGAAGAAGCTCACTGACTGTGGAGCTAAAATTATCAAGCTGCATAGATACCAGGGGCAGACTCTTGCGTGAGGTCTCGAACTTTTCAAGGCTCTTAGAAGTTGAAAGATCAAGCTCACATATAACAGCTTGTCTGGCATAGGGTAGCAACTTTATCGAGGTAATTGACTCGAGATATTCCGAGATAAGAGTTGAGAATCCAACATACGACGTCACGTGTGTGGCCTGATCTTGGGATATCTCCCTTGCGTAGGACAAAAAAACAATATGAATTGGATTATAAAGGATATACTCAAGGACTATATAGGTAAATAACCCTCCGGAAGGCCCGGAGAGGTCAGTGAGGCAGTCAATTCAGTTACCCAAAAGTAGAATTCTGTAGATGACCACTCATTGCGACATAGCCGCTACTAAGATACGACAAAGAGGGAAGAATGATGACATCCACGTGTCGCTGGCAGACGGTTTCAAGGGCCCTTCAGCCACCGGAGATCATGTTCCCTGCTTTTTGAAACCGCTGTAGTATAGTCAAGCATGAACTTCAGCAGCCACCGGTCCATGCGGAAAACGTCGAGCTCCCCCGCCTTGCATGCAAGGTGGAAGGTTTCGAATTTGGCAACCGATGCATCGAGATTGGGCCAGTATTTCTGCAGTCTTGACAATCGGCCAAAGTTCTGCTCTAACCGTTGCTTTGCTCGCGATATATCCTCTTCATCAGGGCTGAACAGGAGGGTGAATAATTGAATCGTCGATGCCACAACTAAAAGATGAGCGATCAAAGGATACCTGACGTCACTTCCAGGTGTATCATCCGCACGTCGTAGTAGCTCACAGAGACCGGCTGCATGGGCTTTGCACTTTGCTGCGTACAGCTGCCGCGGATCATTGGCCGGGAGGTCGCTGCGCTGCTGACATATATAGAGAAAACGAAAGAGCAAGAGCTGGCCCGCGTAACGATGATTAATGTGAAGAATGGTATACTTACGCCCACTGCCCTTTCGCGCCCACGAAGAGTGATTCTCAGGAGTGTCCTTCAATGAAGGGGGCAGCTTGTCATACCAGTCTTCAAGAGAGGCGTAGAGCTCTTTTGTTTCGTCGGCTATGTCAGTATCTGCCGGTTTTCGGAGTACCTGACTGCTAAATTCAAATATGCGGTACAGCAGCTGATTCAGCGGTATCATTTGGGCGAATATGGACGGCTCAGGATCAACGAATGGCGATTTTGGTGAGTTGGCATCCCGTACTGGTTCATCGGGCCGGACATTGGCGAAAGAATGTTCATCCATAGGTAGATGAACGCCATGCCGCACAGGCATAGCTCGTGGAATCTGGTGCGAACCCGAGGACCAAGTGTCTATAGCAATAAGGGACCACCACACTGCTCAGGGCGTAACGTCAGTCAAGGCATGCGTGCGCTCTGCTCAAGAGAGCACCCACCTCTTAGGTTCAGGTCTCGTTCCAGACGCGTTTCAACTGCTGCATTTGGAAGATCTAATACCAAGCCCATGCGACACGCAACGCTTAGGAAGACTGACTCGGAATTGCTGTCGCCCTCAATGCTGAGATAGGCTGCCGCCATGATACAAGCTTGAATTGTTAACAACGAGGTAGAGTAAAAGTCGATAAGTTTCTCCGCCTCCATCCAGTACGGCAGTCCTCTTTCTCGTATGGGTATCTCAGCTAGAGACGAATGTGTAGAAAATCTGCCTGACAGACTCGCCATGAACAAGAGAAGGACAGCGGGCAATGTTCCCGTGCGGAGCCCTGCCTCAACTGAGGGTTGGTGAAAAATGTTGTGGAATGCCACATGAGCGTAGCGAAAATAAAGGCTGACAAGCTCCTCTGCAAGATCATCCTCTATGAACAAAGATGGAGATATTCGGAATCCCATCCCCTCGCGACATTGGTGTAGAGGCTGGTAACGTGTAGTTCTGAGAGCCCAAGTGCTTACCCCGGGGGGAGGCCCCTCCAAGGTGCACGGAATACCCCGTTTAAGGCACAGTTGGCAGCTGCCTGTGGGGCCTGGAATGCACTTCTTTCGACGTTCCCTAAGCGTCTGATCAGCGAAATGGACACACTTGCATCGGGTTGCCGGCGCCGAGTAAATGAGGTCTCACCGGCAGGGCGTGCACGCTGACACGGGTCTCATCGTGTCCTCACATGAAGCATGAGGTGTGAGGGTGGTCCCGCTGAGTGTGAGAGAGCCGAATTAGAGTCGAGGACCAAGGTGAGGAAGAATTGGGTCGAAGGGTAAGGTATGTAGGTATGTATGCTACCAGCAGACTATTCCTGAATCATAGCACCCCGAGGAAAATCACATGATTACTAAATGACCCGAGTCATGAAGTCCGACTGATCCTAGGTACCCTATACTATGACACCTAAAGACTGATGGCATCTTCTGGTCACTCGAAAGTTCAATTATTTTACACATAAGCCTTATGACAAATACAACGCAGCTAGTGAAAACCTGCACTTGATATAAGTGGACGTTGCTTGGCCAGTTGGGACCGCTGGGCTCACATATGTGCAAGATCCAACGCAATTTCGGGTGAGTAGCGAGGATGGCAATTTGTTCATCACGTTCTTCCAATATATATATATATTCAAAAACATCGGCTACTTTCTGTCAATCTTCCGAAACCATTGCATTTGATTTTACTATCCACGTGGGTAGGTCCTTCGTATAATGCAGAATTAAATCAGCCCTCCCATGTATTCTCATCGTAATGTCTCTTGAAACTATCTGCCCTTACAACGAAGACATTCTCCTGATTCCTGACACGAAGTGTGTGATATTGCCCTGGCAGTGAAGCGTGTAAAATGAACTCCTGCGCCGTGTTAAGGTCAATCTTGAAGCGGATCTCAATATCCCCCGACAACTGCGTGGTCCATGAAACGCAAGCCAGGCCCTGTAGACCATCCTTCGTCAAGCACAAAGGAATCTTTGCCCGAACGCAAGGATACAACCCAATCCTCGGGCAAAAGTCGATCTCGGCCCACATCGGTGCCTTCGGCTTCAACCCGACGACCTCGGAGAAGAACTCGTATACTGGCACACTTCCCCAGGCATGGCAATCGGACCTCTGAGACACATCATCTTCAGCCCAAGTCGTGAGGTTCTGTTCGAGCTGCCGTTTCCATGGTGCCCAGAATTGATGAAAGTGTTCGTTGTAAAGGTCGCCGCTCAAGGCACTCAGCGCTCGCATGGTGTAAAAGGACATCGAGACTGAGGGTCGAACCAGGCCGGCATCCTCCGCAAGGCACCTCCTCAACAGCTGACTGGCGTTCTCTCCCGAAACAGCCCGGCTCAAAACCCCCAATATCTGGCAGTGAATGCTACGATCAGATGAGCTGGACTTGCTTGCAACTGTGTCACAGAACATGCCATCACTCATACACAGAGCACGTGTAGCAGTGTTGACCTTCTGTGCACGAGACTGATACTCGTGCGCTATACCCTGTCGCCCCAGCGTGCCTACCAGTCGGCTCGCGTTGGCTAAAGCGTACGAGTAGAGGTGATTTCCAAAGGTCGATACTCCAGCCTTCTCGGTGCAGGGGGGAATTCCATGCGGCTTCCACTCCGTCTCCCAATCAACAAAGTTCCAGATGCCAGGGCGGACCTCCAGAGTAACGAGCCCCCTTTCATCTACTCGGGATTCGAAGTACGCCAGAACGGCGTCAACAACCGGTAGAAATCGAGTAGTGAACTTGACGTCTCCGAAATACGTGAAGTGATCGCAGACCATAAGAACCCAATACAGTGAGAAATTGGGTATATACTGGGGTCGGTGAGAAGGAGCACGACTGGTAGTAAGGCCAATCTGCGGATTGAAAGAGTTGTGTAATTGCACAATCGCCTGACGAGCTATCCGGTCGTCGCCAGCGAGGTTGTACGTGAACAGTGCGGAGCTTCGAGTGTCCATTGCGTACTGCAGCTGCTCGTAGAATGGGCAGTCCTCGTAGCAGTCGTGCATGCAATTTATGAGCGTGCGGGTGCTGACCTCAAGCAACCTTTCTGGGAGATGGAAAATCGGTCCATCCAGGAACTGCGACGCTTTGAAACTGGCGCGCACATCCAAGGGGTATGCAACTCCCTGTAGGTCCACGCCCTCGATTGTGAGGTCATCAGGCCCGACTTCGAAATCGAGGTTCAGAAAGCGAAAGGTGCGAAAATGGAAAGGCGCGAAGACCTCCCAACGCATGTCTGTTCCCTGCCCTTCAACCAGAGAGATGGAGTCTTTTCCTTGGAAGAAGTATATGTCTTTGGGCCCGATCAGTGAGCGAGAATAATCGCATCGATCCTTCTTGGCTCTCACCCATGGCGAATCAGGCGATGGATCCTCGTAGCTCTCCGAGTAAGTCACCGTTAACACACTACCGGCGCTGAGTGGCCTTTGGCAACATAGCTGGAGAAATGCAGTCGTATGGTTGGTGACCTCAAGATCAATCCGGTGCCGTGTTCCAGCACTGAGAGTGATCGGTGCTGGGGGTGGCGTCTTGTATCCAACAAACACGGACTCCCATGTTTCCTTGGGTAAAATGCTCTGAACGTTGTGAACGCCAGCAAAGACTAGCTTTGTGAGCTTCAACGGCGGTATTTGGCGAGGGGAGAGGTTCCATGGAGGAGAGTTGCCTGTGGAATTCTTGAATTCGTGCAGAATTGCTGCGTCCCAGGTCAGTTCCGTGCCTGATCTCTCCGTCTTCTCGTACAGATGCAAGAAAAAGTCCTCCGGGTCGTCCACACGGAGTACTGTGTTGTGATCAATTGCTGTTTCCCACGTAGAACTGCTTTGTAACTGTTCTCGCCACCAGACATCTTCGGTGTCGTCGGGCAGCCAGATTCGTAGACCTCCGAAAGGCAACCTCGGGAATGATGGGGAGTATGTTGTCGCGAAATAGAGTCGTAGTACTCGAACGTTGACGTGATTCTCCCCGGGATGTAGGAATGGCGCAATGTTGATCTGGTCGAAAAACCATAGGTGTGCGTCACCCTTGACTGGTCCAAAAGAGACTTGTTGTTTGTTGACATACAGCTTATATCGTGTATCAGCAGTAATGTTCACCATCAACGTTTGTGGTAGCTCATCTGTCACGGTGATCTTCTTTCGGAAATGAACAAATTGACCTGCAGAATTCGCGGAATTGTCAGAGGCATCTGGATGCCACATCCAACTGCGATCGTATTCAAGAGCCATGGGTGCTGCTTCTCCAGATCGTGATAGCCATGAACTCGTGATACTGTAAGAAATCAGGTCTCCCGTTCCCAGTTTTCATTCCATCGAAATCGAGACTGAATGTCGGCTCAATTGGCCCGAATTCAGACACCTATTAGCGTTATGTATCGCTTTAAAGTTGGCCGAGGTTGCACCTGATCGACCTCCGACGGCTTGGGATAGCAAATGCGAAAGCGAAGTGCGTTTCGAACATCACCGTGATCCGTCGAAAGCGGGGTATTTCGATAGTTCCCCGACAAGAAATTAAAGGTAGACGAATGATGTGAGATTTGCCCCGACAAGTTTCCCGACATCATTCAGTCCCACAGATTGGTGGGGCAACGGCGGTAACCTTGACACGAGACTCTTTGCCCATGGTTCTTTGAGTGTGAAGGTTTGTTCCTCTTTTGCGGGGGGATCCGTGAAAGTCGAGGTATATCTTGGTCTAGGATTTCAACTTTACCCGCTCAAATAGTTCATGTCTCAATCATGGTCGTTCCATATGTCACGTATTGGGTGTTAATTTTACTCTTTACCGGGAAACAGGCTGAAGTGTTCCTAACGTCTGTGTCTTGAGAGATACTCATCCTATGGAAAGTGAGTATAGTCATCTGCTCATCATCGATTTACCCAATGTCCATGGCTGTAATATGTTGGCTCTTCTCCATGTTCTCTGCTTCGACGAGCTCTGTAATGCCCCGGATCCCACCATGAGGACAGTAAAATTCATTTTCTAACAAGCGGAACATCCTCCCTCGAACCCCGTGCTAGAGCCCTTCTCTATCTCAAGTGGAGGTTAAATTGACTCCAGGCCAAGTCTGATTATTCCTGCACTGTGGATCAGACGTTGTGTATTCGACATCACCTCTTCCCCGTAGGCCCAATATTTAGCAGGCATTTGGAGAATAGAAGAATGGGGATTTGCTATTCCTCTGTACAGACAGTCGTTTAGATTTGGCCGAGCTCTCTAGGTTCATAGATATGAAGCCACGTAATTGCTCGGGTCAAATACCACCGGTACTTTACAATTACCCGCACGTTTCGTGTCTTGCGTTTATTAGATCGTCTGCGAGCCCCAAGAGGACACTCCGCACCCCAGAAACGGTTGCGACCACATGGCCATATTGTACTCGGTGTCATAGATGGGGTTCCGTTATAGAGTCACTTGTTCATATCTCTGGCAATTAGGTAGGTGAGATGAGAAGTGCACACCCTACCAAATCTATAAATGGAATCCTCAAGCCGCGCTGTTGGAAGAATTTTACACCTGAATGGTAGCTTTTGTCACTCCACATATTTTAGCTCTTTGCGTCGGTTCTCGCAACCATGAAACACATTAGAATCCTTACAGGCCTAGTCAGCGCCTCCGCAGCTCTTTCTATTGCACATCATCATATCCCTCGTAACGATATTGACAACAATGTTCCCTCTCCTCCCGAAGCCGAGGCTATCTCTCTAGTCAGAGTACCTTTGCCGCCAGTCGCTCCAAGCGACGAGGAAGATTCTTGTTCTCTTGACGTGAACCCTCGTGGAACAGGCTGCGTGGCAAAGCACAATCATCTCCATTCTGGTCATTTCTTGCCTGATAATCAGCATTTTGTTGCCATTGCCAACTTTACTGGCGCGCCAGCAGCACCTGATACATCAAGCATTTATCAAGGCCAGCACGTCCTTATATTCAAGGCTGATGACTCCGCATTCGCCAACGGAGACAACTGGAAATGCATTACCTGCGGCTTACCCGAGGAGAACTCCAAGGGGCGCAGTCTTAATGTCGATTATCCGCAGGTCTTCCAAGATGGAAAGCGATTATTTGTGGGCGACAACATTATTGAATGCGAGGAGGACCTAGTGAGTGAAGCTTGTACCCCTGAGAACACGTACATGCGGCCGATACGCTGGAATACTAGCGTCGACGGCACGGGGCCCGGAGGCCCTATGCGAGAGCTTCGCCTTCATCCCGATAATGTCCACTTGGGATGGAATGCTTTCACCATGACTAACGGAGAGTTTGGGCAATTCTCCTACTACGGCAGGCTTGCCTGGAACCCTGACCCCGCTGAGGGTGAGCCGTTGGTGCCTCGGTATGACGTCGAGAAGGTCTACAGGCTCTTTTCGGCTGACCCCTATCTGAATGAGCGTGTCATAGTTCATCCTGATGATCCTAGCCAGCTTCTGATTCAGAGTGAGGTGCCTACCGTCGGTGAGCTTCGCGGCTTCGGGGGAACTGGCAAGGAGATTACCTATGTCGGCGCAGCTGTTGAATCGTCCAACATTGACGTTTTCGCAACTGATCTGACCACGGGCGTGACTCGGCGTCTTACAAGCCACCCGGAGTATTGTGATCCTGTTGATATCTCGCCGGATGATGAGTGGCATGTAGTCATGGACACGCGCGGAACAGATCGCCAAATGTTCTTGAGTGGTCTGCGAGGCATCCCGCCACTGACCGATATCATTACCTCAAGCGTCACATCGGCTACTCGAAACAACGGACAGCGTCGCTTCTTCCAGCCATGGATCATTGACAAACACGGCGACCGCGGAACCTACTTTGGCCAACAGGTCAATGCGCAGGGTGATGGTATCCCAGGTGGAGGCGACTTCAACATCCTGTTTGGAACGGCAGAGCTGATCCAAGGTGGTCTTCGGACGGTACGAAGATCGTGTACACTCAGATCATGCCCTACGCTCCTGCGTGCGGCGACCCAAACCCACTCCCTTGCTACCCATCCACCGAGGATGGTGGTCGCATCGAGCGCATCATTATTGCCCGCCTCACGGACCGCGAGCCTTTACCACCGTATCAGGTCGAAGAAGCCGCGGACGAAGTGCCTTGGGGAGAACTCTACGTCCTAGGTGAGACTGAGCCGCAGCGAATGTCTCCACCACCTGGTCAGTATGTGCTTTGGGGAAAACATTCCGGATACGCCAACGTAACTCTGGGCGGCGAAGGCGATGAAATCAATTTCGTTGAGGCCACCTACCATTGTTTCTCGGACGACGGAGAAAACATCTTGAAGGGTACCGAGAACGTCACAGTCGAGTCACCTGAATTGACCCTGAGCCTTGTTGATTGGTATTCCAATCTCACCCAGACCGGACCTTGGAACGGTACGAAGCTTACAAGTGAGGATGGCTTTCAGCTGCGCATTGATGTCATGGTCAATCTGTTTGACTCAAACGGCACAATGACGACCACGGTCGACGGCAAGGAGTATTATCAACCGGCGAACGGACAATGAGATATTGCACGTGCGTGTCTTGTTGATTTGATGAGGAGACCTGTGCCCAGATAGCTTAGGCCATCTGCTTGTCCCTGCTAGTCAGGATACCATTATCTGAGCATTAATACAATCTTTTCCATATGACTTGACATTAGCCTGGTGACCATATTTCCGCTTGTTGACTGGACGGATGTTGGTGTCCATGACCTCTCGAAAATTCAAAATCTACACTTGAGGTTACTTTCAACACGTTTATCGTGTTTCAATGATGTCTCTCATGAATATCAAGGGCTAAATTACACATATACCACATGACTTCCAGATCCCCGTCAATTTCATGTCTCATACTCGTGATTAATACCGATCATACTTGTAATGCACTGGCTCGTACGTAAAGTAGTCAAAAGTCGCCGACTTCTCTGTCCCGTTGAGGTCCGAGCAAGCCATGCCCACAAACGCACCCGTGAAGCTTCCGGGTCCACCGCATTCATCTGATAGTATGGAGGCGTCCAGCACGGGACCAATCTTCTCCAAACTATCTTCAGTGCCAAGTGCATAAAGGAACTGTAGCTTATCCAAGCGGATCTCGAGTGCTAGGCGCAACTTGCCCTCCCTCGGGACTGGTACCGGCAAAGCAACCGGTGGCTCGTCGAGGTTGCCATATGGGAAGCTGGCCTGACTGCTCATGATGCGTAGCTCTCGTTGCCCATGATCAGTGGCAGTGACTGCGAGATAGAAGAAATTGAAGCGGGAGTAGTACGCTGTCAGCCCGGCGAACTCGCGCTCGTCAGTAGGACTGAAGCTGAGGACCGTTTCGGCATTATAGGAAAAGTGCACTTGCCTGCGAGCAACCAGCGCTTGCTCGTACCAAGAGCCAATTGCCTCACGACCAATGAGTTTGAGACCGCCGTTAACATCGATGGAGAAGATTCGTTCCGGCTCGGGGGTCCTGAGCCATTGGAAGTCGGAATGAAGCTCTAAGCCAGCCCCGAACTTATAGACTCTCTTAGCCCAGTATGCACTGTCGTCCTTTTGTCCGGGCAACTCAACAGAGAGTGCGGGTACCGGAGCCCCCTTGATATATAGCCAGTCATCCTCGCCCCAGTACGCTTCCTGGAGCGATGTTTCTCGGCCCAGGACGCACCGCCGTCGTTGCGTTATTGGGCGGCTCATAAGATGGGCCACGTATGTCTTACCGTCGGGCGTGTCGACGATATCTCCATGACCGGCACGTTGTAGAGCGGCGAGGGGGTCATCTTTGGACGTCAAGATGAAGGTATGTGGGTGAACCTCATAAGGTCCCCAAAGACTCCTAGAGCGTGCTAGGGTACATGTGTGGTAATACTGTGTGCCCCCTTCTGCCGTCAGCAGGTAGTACCACCCGTTGCGCTTGTACAGATGAGGAGCCTCCGTGTACCCGATCTCCGTACCGTGGAAGATGTTCTTCTTAGGACCGACGAGCTTGCATGTCGCTGGGTCGAGCTCCTGTACAATGATACCGGCGAAAGGGTTCTTGCGGCGGCGATGGTCCCATAGCATATTGATGAACCACTTGCGCCCATCATCGTCGTGGAAAAGAGAGGGATCGAATCCAGACGCGTTAATGTAGGACGACTCTGACCAAGGACCAGTGATGTTTGGGGCTCTTATGATGTAGTTGAGTGTATCTTTGAAGCTGCCTTCCTTGCGGCGAACGTCTGTGTACACTAGCCAGAAGCGCTCGCCATCGTGGGAGAGACAAGATGCCCATATCCCAGCACCATCTGGGTGCCCTCGCATGTCCAGCAGACTTTTGCGATTGAGCGGACGGGCAGCCAGTTCCCAGTTTGCCAAGTCTTTCGACTGATAAATGAGCACCCCGGGGAACCATTGGAAGGTCGAAGTGGCGAGATAATAGACATCCCCGACACGAATAATGGAAGGGTCTGGATGGAAGCCCGGGAGTACTGGATTGCGAACTAGAGGCATGGTTGTGTGAGGAGGGTGTAGGCCAAGAACAAGATGTTTGCCAATAGTCGGAATTCCTGCAAGACAAACACGCGACAGCAGTTTGTAGGCAGGATACAAACCACTTGTTGTTGGTTTCTTTTGTACACATCTTGTAATTTACGATCTGTAGTGCCTGCACTGATACTTCGGCGAACTTAACAAGGTTTCTGGGTTTCGCATACCCACCTAGCGTCGCCAAGTCGGAATAGACCAGAATAACCCGCAATGATAAGTGGGCGTTGTCGGCTTTGCTGTCGGAGGTCAAGACGTCTCATTGGCTCTTCAGGACGCTGAGGCTAAAGGCAGAAGGGTCTGGAAAGGCTACCATTTAGGCACAATCGGTTCTCGCGTGGTCTTTCGCGAGTCATTTGGTCGAGGGGTCAGCGCTAGAGGATAACCTGGCTTGGGCTGTGAAGTCACCCGAGAACAGGGATCTTTCCCCAAAGTCAATGAGTGATACGAGCCTGGTGGAGCCCGCTTCGCGGGCATTTTTTAAATTTACATGCGGTCACGTGATATCCACTTACATCCCTTGTGATGACAGGCAATAGCTGTAGACCTAACCTAGCTATCTCTGACCTTAACAGTCAATTCGTGGGTAGCCGACCTAGCTGTCTCTTGCCTTGACAGTCAATTCGTGGGTAGCTGACCGAGCTGTCTCTCGTTATGACGGGCAACAGCTGCAGGCCCGGCTTTGAAGTCAACCGCTACGACAGCTATTTCATTGGAAGCTGACCTAGCTGTCTCTTGCCTTGACAGTCAATTCGTGGGTAGCTGACCTAGCTGTCTCTCGCCTTGACAGTCAATTCGTAAGGAACCGATCTAGCTGTCTCTCGTCATGACGGGCAATAGCTGTAGGCCCGGCTTGGAAGTCAGCTGCCGCGACAGCTATTTCATTGGAAGCCGGCCGAGCTGTCTCGTCATGACGGGCAATAGCTGTAGACCTGACCTAGCTGTCTCTTGCCTTGACAGTCAATTCGTGGGTGGCTGACCTAGCTGTCTCTCGTTATGACGGGCAATAGCTGTAGGCCCAGCTTGGAAGTCAGCTGCCGCGACAGCTATTTCGTTGGAAGCCGACTTTGCTGTCTAACCTGGCCGGCTAATTAACTGCTGCTTCGGACAGCTTCTTCGTATATAGGCGATACGGCTGTCTAATTGAACTGACGAATTGACCGCTGCTCGCGACAGCCTCTTCGTGCGTAAGCGATACGGCTGTCTAACTGACCCGACGAATTAGCTGCGGCTCGCGACAGCCTCTTCGTGTGTGGGCGATCTATCTGTCCAACCCAGGCTGCTAATTGACTGCTGCTTCAGACAGCCTCTTCGTATGTAGGCGATCCGGCTGTCCGACCGGGCCTGCTAATTAGCTGCTGCTTCGGACACCCTCTTCGTGTGTAGGCGATACAGCTGTCTAATTGACCTGATGAATTGACTGCTGCTCGCGATAACCTCTTCGTGCGTAAGCGATACGGCTGTTCGATTGACCTAACGGATTGACTGCTTCTTCGGACAGCCTCTTCGTATGTGGGCGATACGGCTGTCCAACCTGGGCTGCTAATTAGCTGCTGCTCGCGACAGCCTCTTCGTAGGTGCGCGATACAGCTGTCTAACTGACCCGACGAATTAACTGTTGCTCGCGACAGCCTCTTCGTGTAGGAGCGATACAGCTGTCCAACCTGGGCTGCTAATTAGCTGCTGCTCGCGACAGCCTCTTCGTGTGTAAGCGATACAGCTGTCCAGCCTGGGCTGCTAATTAGCTGCTGCTTCGGACAGCCTCTTCGTATGTGGGCGATACGGCTGTCCAATTGACCTGACGGATTGACTGCTGCTTGCGACAGCCTCTTTGTATGTGGGCGATCCAGCCGTCTAACCTGGCCTGTTTACGTACTAACAGATCTGTGCGTACGGGCCATACAAAAGTGTTAGTATACTGACCGCAGATTCGTAGCCAATCATTTTTTGACGCCTTACGGCATTAGGAAAGGTCGCGTGAAATTGTATGAGTATATTAGATTCCAGTCGGTCTGCCATGACTGAGAGGCCGAGGGCGGAGGCTGAATAACGAGGCCCATTGAAATGGATTGATCACCGCCTTTCCCCACATCCACTGAACTGAACTCATATTCCCCATCCCGGGGACCCCGTGTTTTGACCTCTCTTTGGGGTTGTTCTGGGCTTGACCCATGATTTGTGAGCTCGCGACCTGTTGTTTCTTCCTTCACCGTTCTCGGCTCATCTGGGGCCGAAATACAATTGAAGAACTTGGTCAACCCTTTTACCTGGTTGATGACCTGGTAGACCGTCAACTGTATATATACCGACATACCTGGCGGACTCTTCGCACAATTTTCCCTGCAGCAGCCCAACTCCCTCTCTTAACCATTCATTCATACCACACTTAAGCGTCACAGCCTCCGCATATTACATCAGTCTCGAGTGGTCTAGCAACACGATGAGTTTGCTCGATAAGGATAACCAGACGCAGCCCAAGGGAGCGCACCTTGAGGTGATCCCTAACGAGATGAGCGAGCCCAAACACGATGATAACGGCATCGTGAATGTCGCCAAATCCAAGTTTGATGATCTCTCTGTTGGACAGACACTTTGGACCTTCCACCGTGTTGTGCTAGTCTCGCTTGCCGTGTATACTGGATTCGTCTGCGAAGGTTTTGAAGTATGACAAGCAAAACTCATTTCTGTCACCAAAATAGAAAGAATCTCATGGGAAGCATGTCACTAACAACGGAACAGCTCAAAATCGGAAACAACATTCTTGCTAACAAGGGCTTTATCAAACAATTTGGAACCCGGGGTGGCAAGGGCGTGGAAGCACTCGATCCTACCTGGGGTATGTCAAGCCATGGCTACCACTCATGATATTCCTAGAGCTAACCATGTCTCATAGTCTCTACGTGGACTTCGCTTCTTGTTTGTCTAGATATCCCTCTCAACACTCGCTCACAGCACTGACTCCCCTAGAATGTCGGTCAAATTATTACATTCCTCTACATTCCATGGTGAGCACCCATCTGCAAAATACCCAGCGGCCGAGAGAAGGCACGGCTTCTTCTTCGCGTTACTTACGCTCATGCAGGTACTCTGATAGATTCGGGCGGAAGGCTTGCTTCTATCTCTCCTGGTTATGGCTTGCCGTGGTACGTAAATTTTGTGGCACAAAACCGATCCAAAATGAACACATTGCTAACAGCGACAGGGCTGCGTCTTCCTCAATGTGGCCCAGACTCCTTCTGTTTGGGTTAGTAGCAATCATAGCCGAGATTTTCATTATGATAGGTTCATTTGATGATTATAGTTCGTACTGACGCCCCAATGCAGGCCCTCGGAAAGCTTTGCAACGGTGCAGGTGTTGGAATTCTTCAGTAAGCGCTCTTTGATACTTCCAAGCACTATATTCAATCAGATGTACTTGACTTGAGTACTGACTACGTCGGCAGAGTGACTTGTCAGATCTACGTCATGGAGATCTGTCCAAATAAAATTCGAGGTGGCATGATCACCTTCCAAGCCGTTTGGTACGCCTTACCCCTTATCGAGGCTCTCGATATGCCATGATATAAACTAACCTAGCAAAGGAGTAACATCGGTAATATCACCTGTAACGTCATGATGCAAGAGCTTAACAAGAGGCACCCTCTCAACTACACGCTGCCCCTACGCATTCTCATTGCTCCTGTGGTCTTGATGATGTTCTTCTGGGCATTCGTCCCCGAGTCCCCATGGCATCATACTCGCCGTGGCAACAAGGAGAAGGCCATGAAGTCTCTGCGACAGCTGTACGGTGGCGTAGAGGGTTACGACTTCGAACAGGAGTACGACATCATTGCCAAGACAATTCAGCACGAGAAGGAGTTCATGGAAGAAGAACCCGGCTTTCTTCACGTCTTTAAGGGTGTGAACTTGGTATGCAAGAATTTACTGTGTTTTCTCATGTGATGAAGTGCTAACTTCTTTAAAGAAGCGAACTCTGACGGTTATGCTGCTTTCTGTCTGCTCACAATTCGGCGGTCTCTCCGTCGTCCTGAGCTACTCGACTTGTTTGTACATCCACTCTTCCACTCTTCTATGTACCTGCTGATAGTGTGACAAGATTTCTTTGATCTCGCTGGCCTTTCCGATCCGTTCCTTGGTACTCTGATCCTCTCGTAAGTTCCACCACGATGTTGGCAACTGTGATCACGTTTATCCAAGAAATACAGGGTGGCTGACGTTAGAATGTTCCCATCGCCTAGCTGCTGCAACCTCCTCGCTGTCTTCCTATGGTCCATGACCACGGACACTTTCGGCCGCCGCAACTTCATCAACGTTTGCGAAACTGCCACCTGTTGCTTTCTTTCCATCACAGGTTCTCTGTGGTGGGCAGGAGCTACCTCAGGACATGTGCCTGCCAGCAATGCCCTTGTACGTTAAAACGCTCCGTCAATCTGCAATTCGTTGTGGGCCATTTCTGCTGACTCGCTTCTTAGCTGGTGCTCTGCTGTCTTTGGAGCTTCATGTTCCAAGTGGTCAACATGTCATATGCAGTCATGTCCGCCGAATTGCCATCCGCCGTTCTTCGAGGTAATCAATCAGCGTTCCAACTGCCATTGTGCAACTGCTAATCATCCGCACAGTTAAAACTGCGCCCGTGACTTTCTTTGCTCAGTCAATTCTGGGCATCTCCTTTGGGTATGTTGGATTGAACCCCTCTGGGTGAATGGATCTTGTGAGGTTGACAACGAGTACAGTTATGCCACACCGCGTATGCTTCTAGCGTTGAACATCAAGGCATGCTTCATCTTCGGTGCCCTATCTGTGCCATGCTGTATTCTCATGTGGCTCTACGTCCCGGAGACTAAGGGGTTGGTCATCTCCTCGCTAATACTATTAGCACACGAGAGACACCATTGCTAACAAGCATGCAAAATAGACGCTCGGCTGCTGAGATTGATGAGCTTTACGAGCGTAAGATTCCAGCCTGGAAGTGGTCCAAGACGAGGACTTCGGTGGAGGATCATTCCCTTGCTCTCTTCACAGAGAAAGAGTGATCTTCTTTAAGTCAAAGTGACTCGGCCCGATTCTTCTCGTCGACTTACATATAAGAACGCTGGCTGTTGGGGGGCTTATTATCAATATGCAGTAGGGGTTATATGACTATTGATTCAATGTTGTGGAAAAGAGAGATTTCGTGTCGAAATCCGCATCGTTGTCGGCGATGCCCTAGACGGCTTGTTTGTTCCTAGCCAAATAGAGACGGCTAATATGTGTCATTCTTCGACGCTTACATGATTCATCCCCGTCTCTTCCCCTGGCGCAACGGCCATTCATTGTTTCCTTCTGCAGAGGGGTTGTATGTTCTCACGGGTCATATTTCCCGTTAACTAGACGCACCCATTCCGATGCGCAGCACTTAGTTATCAAAGCAACTTTACTAAACAAGTCTCTTTCACCAAGTGTGTCAACTTTTGATTTAGGCTGTTGAGTGGAGGACTATGATTTTTCCATAACGATTCATGCTACCTGGGCGTGTAAATGAATTTGTCAAAGGCCCTCAGAGATCCTTGTGGCATGGAGGTATTTGACGGTAAAAGGTGTCTCCCGCAACTTCGTAAACCGTCTTGGAATATCGATTGCCATTCTCGCTGTCATACTCTGGGCCCATGATGTATTTCTCCAGAACCGGCTCCAGGTCCCATGAAATGCCGAGATCAATGTGGAAATCTGTAAGACTGGATAGCTCAGTCTTCACTGCCCGTACTAGAGCTACATATCCATGATATATCATCTCAATAGTTTCTGCTTCATCCTCAGCTTCCAAAACAGTGTCGATATCCGATGACAAATCGATTGCAATGCATAGTTGGGATATATCGCAGTGCTTGTTCATGAAAGAGAGTAGGGAATGCCATTGGAGTTGGTCCTGATCCCGGAAATATGGGTTTGAAAAGCCCATGTCAAATACGAGGTGCCGAAGCTGTTTCAAAGATCTGGGCGAAAGAGTCTCCAGCATTTTCTGCGTATCAGAAAAAGGTCCCCGAAATTCAAATGTGTTTGTCGAGAAAAAAACCTCGACGGCATCGACGTGCATTTGCTGGCTAACAAGAAAGAGCTCCAAGGGTAGCACCCGACAGCAACAAGAAGCGCTATAAGACGCATAGTTTAACGGGCAAGAGCAGTGCAGCTTGGTGAAGGAGCAGTCAAGACAACAGGTTCGGAATCCTCTTCGGAAACCAATTTCATGGGCAAACCTTCCGCGATCAACGTGTATAGTTTCCAGCTCATGGTCAGTGCTCTTCAGGAATATACCTCCAGGTCCAAGATTCGTGAACCAGAGGATACGTAGACGGATCTCCCGTGGTAAAGAGGAGAAAGACACAACAGGAGGCTTCCTTTTCTCAACGCCTCTAGTCAGTTGAACGGCAGTTGACTGAGCAAGAGAACGCAAGGAATAGTCTTTCTTCCTCCCAAGCCTTATACTACATTCTTTGAGGCGCGGAAGGGGGCTCATAGGCTCTATGACGCGCTGGGCAGTCTGTAGGTCTTGAGCATCGCAAATGAACTCTAGGTGAAGAGTTCCAGGGATAACGATACCAGAAAGGCGATGACATATCTCCGTCCAACATTTGATGATGCTCTCTGAGAAACCGTCGCCAGTGGAAAGCTCTGGGTCACTCGCAGATATTCGGCTTTGCGGCGCTCTGGTTGGACAGATGACGCAGCAGTCATACTTTGGGTTGCTGAGACTGTGGCCACGAGCACATGGCCAACTATTCAGGCGAATCAAGAGGTAACGTAGTGCCTGAATTCCATAAACCGGAAGTGTCTTGAGAATATCTAGATCCTCGACTTGGTGATGCGCACGAACCACGAATTTGTTCTCGCCATAGAGCAGCTCTACCGCCTCCTTATGGAGTGACCTGCAGACGCACAGCAGCTGCTTCGGAAGATCCGGGCAGTCGCACTCCGGATCATAACCATGCGAAACCCTGTCTGGCACCCTCTGCTTGCGATATGGGTATGCGCACCCGTAAAAGCCGAGGCCAGGGCTAAGCTGCTGGGTACCGAAGTACAGTGTTGGTCGGGAGACTGGAGTGATGGTGATAGGGCATTCTCGAACCAGGCCGGCGAAAACGAAAATTCGTCTTCGGATGTCATAAGGTAGAGATAGAAGCGGTGGAAGGGGGGGTGATGGATCCATGGCAGTGCGTCTTGAGTTGTTGATGAACGAGGTGGGCGATGAACGTGTCAAGAGAGAAATGCACCAGCTTGCCCAGCGAACACAACACCGTATTTTTACTGATCGCTGGAACACCAAAAGTCCCGGCAAATGTGGATCTCAAACAAAGTCCCGGCAAATGTGGACCTCAACCAAAGTACCAGAGTAATCCGATCCTTTATAGCCCTCCAACGCGAGTGAGTTGATCTCACTCGCCCCCCCTCCAAGGCTGGGCTGATCGCGTGCTTTCGAATGGGTATGGTCGTATATGATAGTGTGTATGTCGAATGCACACTATTATATTCCTTGGGTGCTTCAGTTTGGGTCCGCACCTTCTCCATGGAACTTCGAAGGCCACGCACAACAACTTCATTTTTGGCCCTAAGAATGAAAGTAATACGTTGAATGATCGTCAGCAGCAATTTTACTTGAGAAATCAGACAGAGCAAAAAGGGGGAGTTGTTTCGCTGGTAGCTGGCGCGTCCCACATAAAGGCGTTTAACCAGCTCTTCAACCTAGTAACACTCAAACGTCCTGACATACATAGTAAGATTCCCCATGACTCGGTCAAGGAATTTATCCTTGACCCTTGAACCCTAACTTTTATATTCTTTTTTCTACACGGGCATGACTACACAAACCACAGTGATCTGGAGTAATATATCTTAGGCTTGGCATACTTTTGATTTGCACGCGTCCTTGGGCTCTTGGATTAGGGACCAATCGTAGAAATTCCTCAAAGGCTCATGAATAATGAAACATCAACACTAAAATATTGTTCATCACGGGATGAATATGGACACCACCACTTTGGTGGCATGGAGATCACAACGAATAACGATATAGCGAATGGTTTCTACCATTACCACCAGAATCATGCCCTCCCCATCATTGAGATAAGCCAAGAACTTAAATAGAAACGGCGGGCAACCTGACCAAAAAAGCCTCATAGGATGTAGCCATGGATTTTCGGCGTATTCGCTACAGACACGTTCACCACACTAGCAACAGGTACTATAATTAACGCCGGCCTTCTTTTGTAGGCTGAATCTCCGCTTGGCCTCTTTGCTAAGAAATTTGGCTCATTAGAGCTTCCCACTTGCGCGTGTGTTGGTGCTTTCTATTCGTGGCTCCTCTCCCCACAACACTCATAGTCGGCATTCGGTGCAACTCGGCCACTTTTCAAGTCTCCGACATCAAGAACTGACCTAAGAACGCAGGCAGTGTGTATTATTAATCCGCACCTCCGCCAGGATTGCGGACTTCTAGTCTCACGTCTTGAGTTTGGCAGAAGATAATTGCGAATTAATGGGAGATTTCAGGGTGGAATGTTAATCTCTATACTGGTCGGTATTGGTGCCGAAGATTGGTCTAGGCGGAGATGATACAGTGTGGGACCAGGCAGGTGACGAGTCACTGGTATATATTCAGCTTGGATGGCAGTTATAATATAGACTGCTCGATTTGCAATAAAATCACTTCATTAGTTTCTCAAGAAAATAATAATTCAAACTTCTAAAACCTCGCTGATACTATCCATACCCTCGGCAACATTGCCTCACGATGCCAATCTTCCAGCCACCGGTCGAGCCCCTTCCTGCCGGGCTTGATCTCTCCGGTCAAACTGCCATCGTAACCGGTGCTAGCCGGGGGATAGGACTTGAGATATCCAAACAGCTCTTGGATGTTGGTTTATCTACTCTGATTCTTGCTGTACGAAACACCGCTGGGGGCGAGACAGTCAAGAACCAGCTCCTTGCGGCTCACCCCAAAGCAAAGATTGATGTCGTCCGGTTGGATACGGCTGAATATCCGGAAGTGCAGAAGTTCATCGACCAGATCCGTGCCGACTACACCGAGGTAAACATACTCATGCTCAACGCGGGCATCGGCACCCTCCACAAAGAGGTGGCGAGTACAGGCCACGAGAACAACTTCCAGGTCAATTTCTTCTCCAACGTGTTGCTCACTTTCGGCCTCTTCCCTTTACTGGAATCTTCCGCCAACAAATCAGGAAAGCCATCCCGTATTACGTGGACGGGGAGCCGAACCTTCTTAAATTCGTCCCTTGTAACCGGAAAAGCACAGCTGAAGTCAACAGATTCATTGTTCAAGTACGTCGACAAGACCAGCCTGGGGCCGTATGATCGGTATGCGTACAGCAAGCTCGCAGTCGTCATGTTCCTCGACGAGCTTGCAAAGCGCTCGCCACCCGAACTGGTGATTGTCAACAACTTCTGCCCCGGAATGATACGTACCAACATGAGCGATGTCCTTCCCTTCCCCCTCCGCATCCTCATGAAGACGCAACTTGCCATCCGAGGCCGCCCGGTGGAAGTATCAGGTTGGGTTGCCCTCCATGCCGCCGTCGTTACGGGCAAGGAGACACACGGGAAGCTTCTCGGAGACAAAGAGATAGTTGAGTAAGTTATTCCTATCCCGTGCAGATAAAATTCTATATATGCTAATAATATAATTTAGACCTGTTGCCTTCCTCAAATCTACAGAGGGCCTACGGATACAGAAGGGTGTCTGGGACGAAGCTATTGCTGAGATAGGTACTCTCATAAGCCTTCCAAGTTGGGTGTAGGGGGATGAGGCAAAACTTACTCTCGGGTACGAGATTGTCTTTTTGAATCTAGCCTTTCCCTATTATTGATCTCAGTAATAATCTCTATAATTACCCTCCAATTGTTTAAAGTCTAGCTTGAGAGTGATTTAACCCGGGAGTATACTGAAACTTTTCTAGAGAGCGCTTGAGCTTTTCCCTTGCGAGCTGGCTCATATATACAACCTTATACTACCCTAATTTTAGATGATAGGAATTTCAGAATGGTGGAGAATGTGAATACTGAGTTTGGCTCTTTGTCAGCGTGGACTCGATATTTCAAGAGTAGGCGCCTGGGGCAAGCTAAGAATACAGCGATCTCTTTGGGTGGCGACATATGTTGATATCTACTGAACAGGAATTTATTAGTAGCGTCTACAAGAAAGAAGATGATGAGCGCTTCATTGGTAGTAGATGATAATTGATTCCGCTAGACTGTTTCCGGCTTCGAATGCCCTTTGCATTTCACAATGATAATCTTTCTCACATAAGTTTGGTAAATTCCTGCATAGTCTCCAAAACCAAGCCTGTCTGCGATTCGGAAGATTTTGGGGCATCCGATGGTCGGATCGTAGCGGGGAGATCGAGTCACCTGCTTGCACTGAAACCTTCCTAACTTCCTCTATGTGAGTATGAATAGTTTATCCAGCAGCCCCTCCCGGACACTCGACGGCCTCGGCATCTATTTTGCCATTTATATTACGGTTCCGTTCTCAATACGTCAATATCGCATTCTGTCCGTTTTGATTGGATGTGCCCATTTAACCCCGCACTCTGCTGCATGCAAGTCATCTACTTTTGGACGTCATTTCACATGGGACAGGCTATTCAATCCCGAGAGAATTACAAATCCCTTCAATCTTTAATCTCCTTAAACCTCTCTTCTTCTTCTTCCATGTTTTTCCTGTTTTTCAAACCTTAACCTTCCGATTAGATCCTCGCCACGATGTCTGAGTTTACCATTAATGACGCTGATTTTGCGAATCTTCGAGGGCAGACTGTGGTAGTAACTGGTATTGTGGCTACTTCGCCCTTATTATTGTGCAAAAATATATCTTCTAATATAAAAACATTAGGATCATCATCTGGAATTGGCCTACAGACGGTCAAGTTGCTGCTGGATGTCGGGGCCTTCGTCGTTGCAGGAGATTTGAACCCCGTCCCCATCGAACACGAGAATATCGCCTCCCGTCAGACCAATATCACAATATGGGAGGATCTTCTGGGACTATTTGAACTGGCTGAGCGCAAGTATGGGAAAGTGGACCATGTATTTGCAAACGCTGGGGTCGCGCCAAAGGCGCTCTTCGTCGAGGATGAAGTCGACGAGAACGGCAAACCAGTCCCGCCAAACTTGAGCGTTGTTGACGTGAATCTAAAAGGGACGATCTACACAGTTACTATGGGTTTGCATTTCCTCAAGAAGCAAAAGAAGGGGAGCATCGTTGTTACTGCTTCAGCGTCAAGCTTCCAAAGGTTTGGATGTACAGACTATGGTTAGTCCGATTTCGCCCGTATTGGAACAACCGAGGCTGACTTGATACGTGACTGACTAGGGGTAGCAAAGCATGGCGTTTTGGGCCTCATCCGTGGCCTGCATTTGAACCTCAAAGTCTTGAACCCTGCAATTCGCATTAATGGCATTGCTCCCAATTGGACAGAAACCGGGATTGCCACACAGCGAATCACTGAAAGAATCGGAGCCAAACTACAAGGAACAGATGTTCCTGCTCGATCAGCAGCGATATTGATGGCAGATGAGTCTAGGAAGGGGCAACTTATTTTCTCAGTCCACGGGAGACAAATTGAGATCGAGGAAGCTCTCTTATTGAAGTCGGTGAATGAGGGTCTTATTCGAGAATATTTGCCGCAGGAAGAATTTGCGTTTGATAAATTGGCCGACGTATATCTTTCTTTGCTTCCCAAGAAATGGAGCTGAACGCAGCCTGGGAGGGCGATGAGCGAAGGGAGGCCTCTCACTTTAGATATATGATGATAGCTGGCTCCTTCTCTCCTGACCGAAACGCTGGGAAATATCTGAGAGACATACTTTCACGAACCCTGGAATAGCATCTGCTGATTTTCTCTCCATGAACGTGCCAGACTTCCCGGGGGCCGGCTGAATTTCCTATATATGTAACAATGTAGTAGAGGCTAGCTTCTATGATGACATTCATAATCGCGGCGTCTTTAATCCACTGGTACACTGGAAGAGTTTTGAATCGATCTTGAAATGCTGGAAAGTGTAAGTTATTCATTTATATTCAACTCGAAGCAAAGGAGACGGGTTGAGCTCGTCTACCGAAGGCAAAAGCTTCATACACTATCAATGTTCTTCCCATAAGCCGAAGGGCTTGACAAATTCTTAAGCTTA